GCATCAAGCCAACCCCACGAAGCCAGAAGTAGCTCTGTCCGAAACCTCGTAGCGCTGCGATTAGTTTGTACCATTGAATGACGTCCGATACTAGCATCCCTGTTTCGTAGCGATAGTCCTCGACGAATACAGTCTCGCAAGTCTTGGCGTTAGATGAATCGATACAATCTCGCGCTCGAATAGTTGTACTAACGTCAGATCGGCGGAATCCAGTGAACGATAATCCACCTCGAGACACTTGCAGATCTTCTTGACTCTCTAGGAATGTCAGATCAACCGTCGCGTTGGGAAACCGAGCTTGAATTCCTCGAAGACGTTCCATCGTGTGCACATACAGCAGTCCGGCAGCTCTGGAGGTGGTGTCAGCCGGAGCACACGATCGATCCAGGTTGGTCCACAGCTCGTGGCAAAGGCGCGGCACTTTAACACGACCCCCATTGGCAGGGAAGCAAATACTACGAGCGTTTGACTTTGAGAGCAACTCCGGTGAGTAATAAAGCGCTTGGTTTGTCCTCCAATTGAAGTTTGTAAACCACTTCGGAAGTAGGAATTGGTGAAGCCGGTCAATATATTCATTCTCTGTCCGCAGAGTAAGCCCCACGGGTCCAAAATTATTCACCGATCGAGAGTTATTTAGCCCGGCGATAGCGTTCACGATACTGTCGATCATTCTAAACGCAACGTCACCATCAAAAGCCTCGCCGGCACACTGAGAATTGTACAACCAACAGTCGGGATATTCTGAAACTTCAAAGTGGTTGACGAAAGCGCGCCAAACGATCGACGTAGAATCAAACTTGTACGTCCAGACTGCTGCGTCTACCTTTCCACTGTACGCATCCTCTTTGGTTACCGCGAAGACGGAATAATTCCACGATGTCCCGAATCCCAGCACTTCGTCTGGGTGTAGTGAAGGGTAATATTTCTCTAGGTTCGATACCCCAAGGCCACCACGAAAAATATCTGAGAATACCAAAACCAGCGACACAAGACTAACAAGAAAGCGCAACCAGGAGAACGGGAGTCCTCGCTTGAACACTTTACTTGCGATAAGCTGTCGGGTCTGGGTTTCTCGGATGAGAACCTCTGCAGAAGTGTGCGTCTCCCGAAAATTCCTTCTGCCCAAGTGGTGGGACGTCCACCTCGAAAGAACAGCGAGTGCCCAGGCGCCGTCGCTGCCACCTGGATGCGGGCCATGTTATCCCCACGTGATCGGTCTACTAATGCCGCTATAGACCGGAGAAATATTAGCCTGGGGCTAACTAATGCCACTTCAGACTGGAGTGGCTAATTCCGTCCATTATTGCAGTATCGCAACTGTGGAGGTATTTTGAGGCTGCTGCAGGTTTCTCTGTCGGCTTGATAGGCCCATGGGCCTCTGTTTCGATGCTGTCGGCCTGTTGCGGCGACTAAAGACCCCCAAGTACCATCAACAGCCCCAAGTAGAACCATTTGAAGCATTAAATATGCGCATTTACTGCCGACACACGGCCGTCATTGGCCGCAGATCGAGATCGACCACGACCCCTTCCGCTCCTGGGTCGGGTTTGCGGTACATGGCTCGAGACTCTTGCATGACCTGGCCCTCATTGATCCCCAAGACGTCCTGCTCCTCAACACCGCAATAGTAGACACTGCGCTTCTCGGCGTCCGCTTGAGCTTGACTCGCTGAGAACAGCACGGCCTGTCCAAACTGCTCCGTCACCTTGTGCACCTTCCCAAAGCGGCCGCTAGCTGCGTGGACATCGGCCGCTGGCGCCTTTCTTAAAGATCCAGAGAACAGGTGCATGTCGTCCAAGTAAATATCCACACATTTCACGCCGCGCTCGGGCGTCTTGCTGTAGTTCCAGAACTTGATCATCGACAGCACCACTGGCGTATCGAATCCAATGTACACGATGTTGCCTTGTTGGGTCCCTAGAGAACTTGCCAGAGAGGCCAGCCACGCGTCATGCGCCTCCCACGTGTTCTTGTCGCGACCGCTTAATAAATTATCAGGAATTCGCGTGTCTTGCTGCCGTCCACTTGAATTGTCCAACTCCGAGACTGAGTACGGCACTGCGGTAACAATCGGCGGCTTATCGAGTATCCGAGCGCCAGCAAAATCGTACAACTCGAGTCCATTTAGGCCGAGGTAGTACGGATCTCCCCATGTCGTCCAGCAAATGATCTTGAGAAAGAAGCCTTGAGGATACAGAGGCGCTTCGTAGTCTTGCCGAACGATTGGCGTCTTGTACGCTCGAGCGTTGAATGGATAATGGACGCGCTCCGAGTAGGTCGGAAGTTTATCCTCGGTCCCCGTGTCTTCTGAAAATCTCACAAGTTGTCCAAAGTCAAAGTCCGCGACGCCTGGCGCTTTACGCAGCAAGAAGCCGGTCTCCCTAGGGGAAATCACAACGCCATCTAACGCCACGACAAGCTGCTTGACACCGCGGTAGGTATCCTCTGGAGACTTGCTGTAGTTCCAGATGCGCAGACCGTAGAAGTACTGAGCCGTCTTGAGCTCGATCCGCACTTCGGGGGCAGCTCCAGATTCCAGCGGGACGAGCCACATGTGCGTGTCATCGCAAGTTAGTAGCTTCGCCATCCATTAACTACATCAAATAATACAACGCAAATGTTATCATCATACTTCTCCGTGAGATTCGACTGTGTGCAAAGCTTACCTTGTCAATTGTGCGTGGATCGCCAACGTATCCCAGCTACACATCAAGTAAAAGACACACATTACATTGGCTCCCAGAACTATGAGACCAGCCGTAAAACTGATCGTACCGATGCTAAATCGCGTGGTGTAGCGTCGACATTCGAAGTGTCTAGAGGGATCGGAGTGCCTCGTGACCCGACGAGCACGTCAACTTGCGTTAGCCCGATGTAATTCCTATCGCCCCATGTACTGTGAAGCTGCAGCGTGAGGCGCCTACCACGCGGCAGGTTTTCGTCCAAACCCACCTCACCACTGCTACTTCCACCTCCAACGCCTTCACTTGTTTTCATTGCATCTGGTGATCGCTGTTGAGGTTCCTCACTGATCACCCAGGAATCAATCGAAGTCCTCAACGTCGTATCTCGACTTGCGAGGGAACGCGTTGCCGTCGTCATAGGTCATAGGTCGTCCGTCGTTGCCTACGCGTAGCTGGTGACTGTCATCCCTGTCGCTTTCCTGGTTCTGTTCGACTGTGCGAGAGCCAGCATCGGACGTATGAGGGCGTTGCAGCTCCATCGATCGATGCACGGACGCCACAATCTCTCGAGTCTCTTCATCTTCCCGCTGTTGCTCTCCAGCCAGAGTCCGTAAAGCCTCATCATTCGCCTCAATAGCCTCCAGAATTGCTGTTTCCTGAGTGAAAAGTATCACCTCGTTGGAGATCTCCATACTGTCAGCTCCTACCAAGCCAGGAGCTTGCCGTATCTCGCCTTCAAAAATTATTTTTCCAGACTCAGCTAACTTGCTCTCACTCCCTGACATCAACGAGGTTGGGACGGATTCGTAAAGAATGAGGCGAGCCTCACGCACTCCGCGGCACGTGTGCGTGCGCGACTTGTTGTAGTTCCAGATCCGTACCATCGATATTGAGACTGAGGCGTTCATCTCCAGGAGGGCGTAGTGCGCCTGGCCTGGTGTGAAAGGTGCCAGCCACATGTGGAAGTCGTCGCATGTAAAGTTGACCCCATCCACGAGATTCTTGGGGACGCGTGGGTCGTCACTGTTCTCTTCCAGCACGTTAATGCTCTCAGGACAGGCAGTCACCTGCCGTACGGGATCGTGGAATTTCACCAACTCGCCGCGTTAATCGAAAATCTCCACCCCATTGAGCCCGACGTAGTAGGGATCACCCCACGTACTCAGAATCTCAATCTGCAGCCACTTGCCACTCGGGAGCACAGGAATATCCGCTATCATCCCAGCGCTGGTGTAATCCACGTCGCTGGCGATAAATTGTGTGGTATCAACAAAGCTTGGTTGAGACGGCGAGCTCTTCAAAATGTCTGGATATGAAGTCGATCTAGTAGAAAAGTTGGTCGCCATTGATCCTTGTCGTAATTCCGCTAGTAGTGCGGAGGTTGTAAACGACGTACGGGCTGTTGACGTCTTAGGTTTCGCTTCAAACGAGTCAAAACCACTGTCCATTCCAAGTGACGGTGCCTCTACAACGTCGGTAGGCTGAGCAAGCCGACTTCGGTTCGTCTTGCTGAACTTCTCGAGGCTGTCCCAGGACGAGAGGGAAGCCAGTGAAGGTGCCACCCCGTTTTGTTCGTATCGGGGTTTCGTATCACTGCCGAGGCTTGAATGCAGCTTTGCCTCAGCTCGACCTGTGTGGAATTCGCTCGTGTTCGTGTCTTTCGCTGTATCCGCAGTGCGATCGACGCCGTAGACCGGTTTCCCTTGCCTCCGTCGGCTAGTCACGTTGCCGGAGGAAGGCTTCTCGTCTGCCATCCACGTATCAAGATTGCTTGTAGACCGGCTCGTCACCGCTGAGCGATCTAATGTGGAGGGGGAGGAGGTACTTGATCCCGAAAGCCACATCGGAGTGCTATCACTTGGTTTCTCAGTAGGTATTCTCTCCGGCTCTGCTTCTGATCGCTGCTGTGATCGGATTGTCTGAGCCCACTGCGACGATTCCTTCACGTCACTTCGATCTGCTGCTGGAGCAGAGCTGTTCTCAAGACGAGCAGTACGCGACGTCTTCCGAGCGGTACCAAGTAAATCAATCCACGTGCACGTGCTGTCGTCTGGGTCTCCAAAGGTTTCAGGCAACGAGCCCGTCCACACGCATTTGCCACTGACCAAAACTTCGATGTCGCGTGTGCACGCAGTATGGGTTCTCTACAGAAATGTCAATGATGTTCCAGTTAGATTGAAAAATAAAACAAAATACCAGAGGCGAGGTGGGGTATAAACTACGCACGCTGTTGTGGTTCCAGATGCAGAGTTTGCTTGGAGCTGACGATACTTCGAATCTAACAAGAAGCACGCCTGCAACACACATTCATCAGAATCTATAGCACAGCGGCACCGGCACAAAGTTTAATTTCCAATACCTGAGTCCCCCAAACGCCCCAGCCACATGTCCTTCTCAGCATTCGTCTGAGCCACTCCATTGAAAAGTTTCTGCAAGCCGCGCACCATATCGTTCGTTCTGGGTAGCGATTTCCCAGTAGGCTGATCGAAAAGTTGTACGGATTCCACATCAACCGGTAGCTCTTCGCCGTTCAGATCATACACGCAGATCTGAGTGAGCCCCACAACGCGCGTTTTACTCCACGTCGACAACAACTTCACGTGAATCTCAAATTGTGATGAACCAACAGCAGAACTTGCGCCCAAACTGAATCCAAGATTGAGCTTTGGGACAATGGGAGCGGGATCCTGCTGAGCTTTCGAGCCTTGTAGATCCACTTCAACCTTTTCTTCGATTGGCATCGCCTGAGGCGTGCTCTTAGCCTCAGCAGCGTACAGTCCTTCGTCCGCTGAGAAAGCTTCTCGAGCTTCTTTGTGCTTCTTCTTGGTTTTCAATTTGGCCTCCACCTTCGCTGACGGGATGGCTTTATCAGGTTTGGCACCCCTCCCTTTATTCGATGCTGCAACCGGTCCATGATCACTGAGCGCGGCCTCTTCCTGGAGCGCTCGCAGCTTGGCGAGGCGCTCCTGCCGCTTGACCTCCATCAGTCGTTCAATCTCCCGCTCTTCGTCCTCTAGCTGCTTCATCATCTTGGCTCGCCGCTCCTCGGCCTCCTTCAGAATTCGCTGCTTCTCCTCTCGCTCCCGTTCAAGGCGCTCTTTCATCTCGTTGGCGTACTCGTCCTCCCATCGGAGCTGCTCTTCCAGCAAATTCTTCATTCTTCAACGGCGCCACAGTCGGAACCTCGTCGACTGACTGTTCTACTGCCGTTGTCTTTGCGTCTGTAGGTGCAGACGTGGACGGATTCAACGTCGACGTGATCTCCTTCCAGATAGCAGGATCGCCAATCGAACTCTGCAGCACCTTCACATCGTCCGCATCTTGCTCACTCGCCTGGAACTTGTGGAGCACATCAACCAACGCTCGCTGCTTCGTTCGAGAAAGATGTTGGATGATCCTCACCAGCTCCTTCGTCGTCTTCGATAGGTCCACAGGACTTGAGCTGCTCTGCTCTGCTGCCGTTGGCTTCACATCATCTTCAGCCTCCACGTCTTCCTCAATGTCGTCAATCACCAGCTCTTCTCTCTTTTGCCGTCGGTCTCTCTCCCTCTCGTCGTCGTCCTCCTCGAACTCCTCGAACGACTCCTCCAAGTAGCTCTCCTCTTCATCCTCCTCCTCCTCTTCTCCATCTTTCTCCTCGACCTCCTTCTGTGTCGTCAGCCGGAACAGCGGCACTCCGTCCTGATGCTCCACCGCGACGCCCATCGGAGCTTGAGGGCGGCTCCACTTCGCTCGTCGCACCGGCCCCTTCTCCTCGTCCGCCGCCGAGCCAAAGTTCAGCGTCGTGGACGGCGCCGACCTGCACTTGGAGAGGGGTTTGGCCTCCTCCCGCTTGGACGAGAACTTGGTGGGCAGCACCGACGTGGTGGATCTCGTGCTGCGTGAGGACGTCGAAGGGATTTGAGCTGCGCCCGCGGCTCTCGCGGGCACGTTGAAGGCCGTGACGAAGGCCTCCTCGCGCTCCTGCAGCCGGTCGTTGCGCTTCGAGGCGGCGGCCAGGCGCTTCTTGACGCGGTTGCGCTCCTCCAGCACCTTGATGTACTGCAGCTGCCGCGTGAGCACGGGGTCCGCCTTCGCCTCGGCGGCGGAGCTGCTGTCGCCTCGGGACGGATGCAAGTCCTGCTGCTGCTGCTGCTGCTGCTTGTCCCAGCGCTTCCTCTCCGCCATCCTCGCTCGATCAAGATCGCTTGAGGCTCTAGGGTCGTCGTGATACGACTCGACTCGACTCGACTCGACAGTACCGAAGTCTAACCGTCACAAGTCGCCAACGTCTTTTCGACGCAGGACTTGGACATGGTGAAGATGTCTCGGTCTCCGCTTTGGTCAAGAAGACAGAGCAGGGCCACGATGCTGATCGAGGTCACGCATTGTGCTGAGACGGGAGGGTGCAAGCATGCATTCGGGCATGGTCTACATGCATTCTGCAGCACTGCAACGTCGTCACTGGACACGCGCCTTCATTGGACCTCCCGGTTCAACCAGTGGGCTCGTGCGGGGCATCTCGCCATTCGCGAATTTGCCGCGTTCGAGTCGCATCTTTTCATCCCTGCAGTCGACTGTGACTGACACGAGTTCCAAGCACGATGAAGTTCCTCAAGTCGCTGTTCCGCAAGACCCCTCGCGAGATCTCCGACCAAGCGAGTGAGCGCGCTACTGCCGCGACGGCTGGCACGCTGCCTCCGATCGACTTGGCCCGGACGACCCGCCCCATCAGAAGCGAAGGCCACGGGGACAAGAAGCCCCGAGTGGGGAAGCTCACGCTCTACATGCTGCTCTCGGGCATGTAAGGCTCAAGCAAGGACGGCCGGCCCCGATAAGTACAACCGAATTGACGTCGCGTAATTAACTTCAGCGATACATTCGCTTATTGTGAACATGTTGGTCTTGATGGTTCATTGCAAGCTTCTGATGCTCAGTTTGCTGTCTCTGGTGGCACCTTGCGCTCGCGTCTGCAGGGAATCGTTGAAAACAAGGTCCAGCAGCCACAAGCGAACAAGATCATTGACTGAGGTGTGAACGCTTCCTGTACCAACGAAACAGTGACCATAGGCTAACGGTGAGATGACGTTATGCCCGCTTCACACAACCAAATCCCGTTCCGTCTTGCAGATGAGCGCGCCGCAGAAGACCCTCAAGCCCTGGTGGGGAGACGGACCCCGCCCCACGCGCGAGCAGATGGATCGCCGCGCTGACGAAGCGTAAGAGTGTTGCTTTGGGTGTCTTTAGGATAATTGAGTTCTGGTATCAACGATGGTTATAGGTCCGCCAAGTGCCTTGAGTATGTGAAGGAGCACGCAGAGCGTGGCAATCCTGCGTCGGTTGTCGCCTACATCGACGAGTTCGCGTCCAGTACCCACATGGTGAATGTCGGTGGCGTCAAGGGCAAGATCATCGACGAGGAGATCGTTAAGAAGCAGCCTGAGGTCATGGCGGAACTCGGAGGGTACACGGGCTACAGCTCTGTGTGATTCGCGAGCAAGCAGCGCGAGGCCGCGGGCAACAAACGCTCGCACTACCACTCGATCGAGTTCTCGCCTGTGTTCGCAGCTCGTGTGCGCGAGATGGTGGAGCTCGCGGGGCTGACGGACCACGTGACAGTGCATGTTGGACCGTTCTCCAAGAACTACGAGGTTCTCCGCGGCCAGGCTGTCGACGTGAGTGCGTTGTGAGTTGACTGTTATCACTGGTTTGCTCTAACGCGCGATGCTTGTGTGCAGGTGTACTTCATTGACCACGACAAGAAGGCGTACTTACAAGACTCGAAGCTCATCATCGGGAGCGAGACGCTGGTCCCAGGATCTGTCGTTATCGCTGACAATGTCGGGCTGGGTCCTGTCCCGGGAGGCAAGAACGAGTACATCGAGTTCGTCGAAGAGAGCCCGAAGTTCTCGGAAGTGCGCCACACCGTCTACATGAAGCGCGAAGACATGATGATGCCAGACCTTTCGGTCGCGACGTTCCTCGGATAACGTGCTGGATCCTGAGCATTTGCTAATAGCAAGTTGCTATCTTCCAAATGATGTGGCAGCGAAGCAGTGGGTTGTTACTTTCAATTCGCAACCCCACGCTGCAAACAAGAGCCGTGGTTTTTGGAACACTTTCGATCGAGATCATACTCAACAAGAATTTTCATCTTCGAAACTACAGAAGTACATCAGCCGTGCCAAGTTAGCGCGGCAGTGCATCAATTTTGTATCTGCAGAAATCCTTTCAGCCGCGGAAAGTAGCAATCGACAGGTCCGGCAGCAGCTTGCGGTCGCGCCCACAGTGAATCGTGTGGCGCACCGCAGAAAACTGCGGGTTGTTCTCGATGAACTCCAGATAGTCCGGGGCACCCGGTCTCACGACGTTGTCTGCAGCGATGACAGATCCCGGCGCCAACGTTCCGCTGCCGAGGATCAGCTTCAGGTCCGACAAGTACACGGTCTTCTCGTGGTCAATGAAGTAGAGCTGCCAGCATTAATAACGTACCACCAGGTCAGAACAGACAAACGAAGGACTAATCTCCCCCACAAGCAGCCACTTACATCGACGGTCTTGCCTCGAAGCGCCTCGTACTGCTCCGAGAATGCGCCCACATACACCGTCACCTGGTTCGTCAAACCCGCGAGCTCCACCATTTCACGCACGCGAGCCGCAAACACCGGCGAGTACTCGAACGAGTAGTAGTGCGAGTCCTTGCCCGCAACTTCGCGTTGCACGCTGGCAAAGCGCACGGTGCTGTAGCCCGTGTAAGCCCCCAGCTCCGCCATAACAGCGGGCTTCTTCTTGCGGATCTCCTCGTCGATGACAGCGCCCTTCACTTCCCCGATGTTCATCATGTGGTGCGTGGTCGTGAACTCGTCGATCGTGGCAATGACGGACGCCGGGTTGCCGCGCTCCGCGTGCTGCTTCACGTACTCCAGACACTTGGCAGAACTGTGACGCATATCACATCAGATAACCCGTGAGTGAGCAAGATGACGTCAACCCTTCACCAACCAGAGCGTGGGAAACTTACTTTTCGTCCGTCCAGCGGTCCATCTCCTCCTTGGTCGGCATGCGGCCGAGTCCCCATGGATCGACCGGCTTCAGTGATGAGCTCATCTTGCGAGGCTGGTGAGTTGTGGTTGCTCCGGCGCAAATTGGTGAATGAGGCTCGAATAGCGCGTGGCCTGGTCCGGTCCCGAAGTCCGACGACAGGCAAATCCGAGGGGAGTGCCTTGCAGTGCGGAACGCATCATCAAAATCACAAAGAGATTATGGTACAGTATGCACGTCTTCAGCGGAATGATGGTTGTCAAAGTATCCACTGCCCTGCTGGATTGAATCCCTGGACAAACTAGGACATAGCGCTGGTTGACGTCATTGTGTTTGTATTGTTCTCCTGGGGTGATGCCGCCTATCAAGTGGACCTAGTGAGCACGTACAAGTACTGGTCAACCAGTAAGTCTGCGTTGAACACGTGAGGGGAGGCTAGCGTGTCCACGTGCTTTGCGTCGAATCCGTACAGTTGCTTCGCCTTAGTGAAGAACGACAAGTCATTTTTCTCGTGGCCTGGCACATGGTGCGCGAAGCTCACGAATACCTGATGCATGAACATCACACCGCAACAACCAACCGACCACAGAGTTAAAAGTGATAGCGATGACTGGGGAGGAAAAATCGCCTTACCTTCCCATCAGACGCCAGGCATGAGTCGATGGAGTTGAGTAAATCTTCGTGCTGGGTAGTAAAAAACAGAGAAGTCATAAACCCCATCAGCTACTGTACCACACAGAGACACACACGCCAACCATTCCGAAAACTTACCAAGTGGTGAAGCCATAGACACTCGGCAACGACAGCCACATCGAATCGACCCTTCGGTGAGTTGTTGCCGCCATCATCAGCACTACTATCCACCACTGGGTCGTCACACTCCTTTCCAGCCGAATCAACAAGGTCTGACGCTGGCTCTGTTGCACCTAGGCAGCTCAGCAGCCCTTTCGTATCGCTGCCCCACAAGTGGCCTCGCACTTCGCGTCTCCCGCTGCCCAGCAGGTGCTCATTGCGCTTGATGTTTGTCCTAATATTCTTCAGCAGTAGGTCGTTCGGGTAGTCTACAGTATCACATCCCAGTCAGCTGTGCGTCCGTCACCAGAATCCGAGCCAGACGCACCCGTCATTACTGCCACCTCCGCTCCAAAATGCAGTGCCACCAGCGACGGCAGCGCTCTACAACACTCAATCCCCCGCACAGTTAACCGTCAGCACTCGTTCCCCCCTATTCTCCTCTTCGATACTCACGATGCCGCGCCGAACTCCACGACACTCCGTCCCTTCACGAGCTCTGGGTGCTTGGCGATGTGCATGGCGATGAACCTCTAGAATACACAATAATCACAATAATGCAAATGAGTTAGAAAGACTGAAGTTGCATCAAAGTCCCCCAGCTAAAGCTTTGAAGTTGACACGCACGGCTCCGTTCCAGACGGCGCAGGCGAAGAGCGAGCCGGGGATTCCGCCGTCGTCGTCGGCCACGGAGATGCGGAAGTGCGGCGCCGACGGGCCGACGTCCAGCTCCTGCACGAAGTCCTCGGGGTCGTACCCGTTGTCCTCCCCGTTCTGCAGGAAGAGCGCCCCCACCACGTTGTCTTCGTCCATTTTGGTCAATGAAGCGCATCATTGCGACAACTATAGAGTACCATGTTTATGGTACATCCACTGCTTCATTTTTTTGCTGTGGAAGATTGAAAAAGGGGACAATCTTCAAATTTAGTCGGTTGCGCTAACGCGACCTTGTATTGTGGCTTTCATCCGTTTCGGCAAGTTGGGTGGTCCGAGATCTGATATATCGGGTGAAGAGCTCCGATTTAGCAGGAGGGGCTGAGGGAAGCAAACTATATCTGGCCCGATTTGCGTCTGGGGGCTGCGAGTTGCGAAGCAGGGCCCAGAAATGCCGCTTTTCGCCGGCAAAAGGGACTGCCGCGAAAACGTCTGGGGCCCTCTCAGATCGGCGTGGCACGACGGTCGTAGATGATCACGCGGGTGATTTAGCTGGCCATAGTGCTATCAAGTGGCTATATACAGTGTACTATTGTCCCCAATGTCTTGCAGTTCTAATGCGTCATGTGAGGTGGGGAGGTATGGCCAGCCTCCCCTCTGAGCCTTATGCTACTAACTCAGGTCAGATATAGCTAAATTGGACTAACCGATCATGAAGGAGCTCCATTTCATATAAATCGGACTCGGAGATAACACGTCAAATCGGCCAGCAAAATAGTTGAAAACTACAAATAGTACTCCGATTAAGTAATCTCGTCGTATTTTTATACAGCACTAAAAATTAGGTGTAACTATAAACGCACATGTGGCACCGAAATAATTCTGTAAGTTTTTGTGCACCTTTTTGAATACTGGATTCTGATTGGCGATAGTAGCCCTCTTTATTTCACACTATCTATATTTTTTTACATTTCAGAGCTGCATTTCCTTTCATGCGCCCACAAACATGCTAGACTGATTATACTGCAATCCCAACAGCTAAACTTTTAGAGTTTTGAAGTTACCGGACAAGTACGTTACAGTCAAACAAATATTTATAAAACACACTAATACTATTAGATATAGGGCTAGTATGAGCTTGACGGGTGCAGCCGTTTGGTGCACCCAAACAGTTGGTTTGACACACAAAAATACAGATTTGACTGTTTTAAGATTCGTATTTAAAGTTTTATGCTCAATTTTAGTATATCCTCTCGTGTAGTATAATAAAGGCTTTCGAACTTTGTTGTACATGAAGCCCTCTTGCCACAATGTAGTGGTTTCATTCAAAGCTGCCTAAATAGGCAGATTACTCGAAATAACTTTTTTTAAGCAACATAGCGCATTTTAAAATCCGACATGACCATATCTTAGGAAATGGTTTTCTCTCTGAATTTGTTTTTCTGGCCGCAAACCCTGATCTATGGGTCCTACAATAGCAATCCAATAAAATAAGAACACATATATACATTATCTGACAATGTTTACAGTTTTCACGAAGTACTGAAATATCTTTTGTGCGAAAGAACATTTAAACAATTGCAAGGGTTGACCGATAAGAGATGAACGAACGCAAGCTAAATAAGGTGCCCGCAATTGGTCTTTCCATTGGGACGAATGTAAATCTTACATATAAGTCAAACACAAACTCAAGCACCCCCGATGCCAAATCCAAAAGAAGACGGCACTGATGTTACGGCGGTAACATATCACAGGGGAATATGCAGCGCGCGCGAGGCAGCGGGGCGACGTCCCGAGGCGGGGCAGGTGGGCCATACTGGCTGCAAAAGCGGAGTATAGCTGGCGTCAACCTGTTCTCGAGGACACGCCTAACAGACGTGTTTAACGATGCTACCGGTTTCCACGCGAATCGGCAGACTCCACGATGCTTTTTAAATGAGTCGCCACCTTGTGTAAGTCCACGTTACTGAGTGTAGGTATCCCGTACCGGCAGTCGTCAGCATCCATCACCTCCATGAACAACAGCGCCTCAAAAATCACCGCGTACCCAATTTGATCGCTCTCTCCACAACATTGTAGTAGTTGAATGTACCGGCCAGAGTGTCATGTTCTGAAACGCTAATAGAACCGAAAATAGTGCACCAAATGTGCAAGGCCGTCTCGCGGTCGCCGCGTTCCATGGCCTCAGCAAGTCGAGGTGCCACCGTATCGACGTTGAGAAACGTGATGACTATACTGCTTAAGGACAGCCTGTGGCGCGCCCAATGAATGTAAATATGCCCGAGGAAGAGATACCCGCGCTGGCGTTGGCGAAATTTGTTTTTTTTTTTTTTGGGGGGGGGGGTGGTCGCGGCGTCCGAGGTGGAGGGAGAGAACTTGCGGTCCGTCATGCTCTGGTCCTCCATTGTCCTCCTTCTTCTGTTGGTACCAGACTGAGGGGAGGTCAATCGGAGTACTTTGGGCAGGATACTGACATTGAGACGACGCGATACTTCATGATGTTCGGGATGTAGGATTATTCGCTTGGTTTGATAACTAAAGTCGACGGTTGTACTACATCTCCGCATGCTCAAATGGATGAGTCTCCCGACATCGAAATTGGTTTCGAGATTGGTTAACTTGATCTAGTAATGGCCTTGAGCCCATTTATGTTATTAGCGTGCGGGCCATGGGTGCTTAAAGCACTTTACTGGGATAGAGATCGCGTGTAGCCCGCGCTCTGTAGTCGATCTTCGCCCTTCTCACGCAAGTATTTGGCGTATTAATGACGCTTGTACAATAATTTCAAAATCACCAAGATGTCTCCTTCATTCAAGTATAAAAATTAAAAGAACTGTTAGAATGGTTATCTTTAACAAATAGTATTGATAAATATTAAAGCATAAATGTAGTTGACCATTGGACGCCGCCCAAAACCACCCTATTGGCCTATATGTCAAGTCCGGCGAGAGTTGATAGACCTAGCATATCCCCACCTCACATCTGGTGAGACCTAATGTGGTCTCAATAAACTCGGCGGTACTTCAAGGTATGCGGCCTCTGATTTGGCAACTTTAGTAGTTTTAGCTTTGTTTTTGTATGAGCTTATCCAGAAGGTACCACCTCGACCCTCAACAAGCAACCTTCTTTAAATCCTGGCATATATCACGAACCTTCGACATGCAGTACCTGTGCAGCTTTGATTTTTAGAGATAAAATTAGAGATTGAGTATGACACCCCCGTAGGGTAGTTTTGGGCGGCGTCCATTAGTTCCATTAAGGCTGTTTTTGACTGGCATCTACTTAAGTCGGCTTAGGCTTCATACAGCATATGCTCAAAAGTGCTGAATTTGGAAATCGGATCTAGGCAAATATTCAATCAAGCTGGATAAGATATATGTCTTACAAGCCAAAAACCGGATGTACAAGTTGAACACGGTCTAAACGTCATACTACACCTTTTCAACGTCAAAATGGCAAATTGCTAGTTCAAAATGACAAAACGTAAGTTCAAACTGTCACGAATAGAGACAGGACCGTCTCACAATCTTATACGAGCACGATTGGCTGATACAGCTCACTGTCAGCCAATAGATATTCGACACTTTGTTTTTCTATATATCCCCATTACAAACAGGTCTAAGTATCGGTTTACAAAGGATTGTCGTTTTGATTTTATATTTTGACGTATTGAATTTTCTTTTTGCCATTTTGAAGTTGAAAAGGTGTATAATTATATCAGTGTTTTGCAATAAGGTTTCTTAACACAGATTATTTACTGGAAGGCCACGAAAAGCCGCCTTTTGCTATGCTAGGTCAAAAGTCTTTAAATCCGTTAGGTCCTTCCAGATGGGGATAAAAACATCGTTGGAAAGCGCTGCGTGTGCTCTAAATGATACGCAATTGCACTTAGGAGGAAGAGCATTATTAAAAGCAGAGCATGCTATGATGTGCAACCACTTCACTGATAATGCTGCTATCGAGTCGATTCTAAAAATAGCGCATGCTCGACCCTTCAAACAACTGAGCTTGAGTATCGAAAATGAACAGCTAAGGGGTGGTCTCATGGGTTGGAAGATAGGAGTGCTAATGACGCCTGAACTAGCAGCAACCACAGCGTGAAAACGTACCAGAGCATGTTCTAGATGCTTCCGAGGGCACCATCAAAGTATGGGGTGGCTTGGGCCACTTGCGGATTTAATTTTGATGAAACCAGCATAATTTGAAGTGACCTTCCAGTAAATAATGTGTTAAAACCTAAGTCCGTATGCGTTGTCGAATTAAGAATAACAATAAATTGCAATGCGCTGTCAAAATCTTGACTATGCTCACTGAAGGTACTGTAGAAGTCAATGAAGATGCCATTTCACTTTAGCCCACGTACGCGTTTTAGGACCATATCACTATCCTCTCAACTCAAACAGTTGCGAAACGTTTCAAAATACTTTCACAATAGTTTTTACTGGGATAGGAAGCAACGTTAGTGCTGCTTTCGCAGACCAAATAGGATTATATCCGTGGTACATCAAGTCAAACGATGACCCCCCTTGACATCCAACTGGTATATTTCTTGAAACCGGTACGACTCTGTTGCCGCACTGGGCCGTCCAAAAGGTTTATATGCGGGGGCAGACTGAACCAGAGGATACCCATCACACGGATATGACCCCGGTCTCGCACTGGGCCGGTTTATATGCGTGGGCAGATCGAACCGGTGTGCTACCGATGACACTGGTATGAATCAGTGCATATATTGAGCAGGGTACGGATGGACGAAGTGAAGTAAAGAGAACGCTTGGACTGTACAATAGCACTAGAGGTAAGCATTTGCATTTTCTAAAAGCTGCAAAACAGATCTAAACCAAGGTTCGCATTTTTAATTTTGTAAAGCATTGCCGGTTTATATCTTGCATCTACACTTTAAGAAAAACTCCGGACAGATGCAGGAGATGACCGGAGCAAGTAAGAAAAGTAATTAATAAAAAATAAAAATGGGATTCATACCAAAATCCTCCTATCCCAGCCGTAGCAAGTAAGAAAAATAATTAATAAAAAAATAATCAAGGGATTCATACCAAAATCCTCCTATCCGGAGCCCTAGTTTAAACTGTATTTAAAAAATATGTGAGTAGCTCACACTGATTTCCTTACTGTTTTTTATCCTACAAAATTGGCACCACCAAAATATGGTACACTGTACCCTCAATCCAATAACACTGGCATTGCGCACCTTGCAGCCACCTGCAGCGCTGCTCGGCCTCAAGGGGAAGCTTCACGCCGCCGTATCTCCGCGCACAGGTCGCCTCTGACGCTCGCGCCTAGCCCACCTCCAAGCTCCGCGCGTGCTCTCTCCTCCCACCCTCCCCGCGCCGCCCAACTCCCGCTGCTCGCTCCGTGATCCATGGGGCAGCACTTTCTGTTCCACCGCGACCTGGTGGCGGCCACGGCCGTGCATCACGCGGTGCACGCGCGGCTCTCGAGCGACCTGCAGTCCGACCTGGTGCTGCTGGGGCCGCAGTGGCTGCGCGTCTACCGCGTGGAGCCGAGTCCGAGCGCCGAGACGTCGTCGTCCAAGGGCCAAGTGCTGCACCTGCTGGCGTCCTTCCCCCTGGCGGGCGTGGCCCAGAGCGTCCACGTGCTGCGCTTCGACCGCAGTCTGCTGAGGAAGAAGCACCGCTTCTTCGGAGGCGAGGAGGTGCTGCTGCTCACGTTCCCGCTCTTCAAGTGGGTCATCGTGGGCTACGACCGCCGCTCGCGCAGTCTGGCCACGCTCGCCATGTTCTCCTTCGAGGAGGACGCTATCGGCCCTGGAGCCACGCTCAAAGGAGAGATGAACGGCCGCGAGCAGCTGCTGGGCCTTGCGACCCACGCGGCCGCCAGAGTCGACCCGCAGACGAGATGCGGAGCCATGCTCGTGTACTCGGACCAGTTGGTGATCGTGCCCTTCCGCAGCGAGTCGATGGAGCTGTCGTTCTTCGAGGAAGACGAGGATGAGTTCGACGATGGAGACCAGGCTGGAGCCACGACGGCGGACTCGGACGATGAAGAGGATGACGAAGAGGAGAAGAAGCTCGAGGAGCTCGTGAACGAGAGCAAGCACAGAGGAGTGACGAGCGATATGAACAACACGCTCAACGCGCTGCTGGACAAGAGTGTCAAGGTGGGCTCGAAGAGGAAGAGGAACCACATGAGCGGACTCATGCCGAACGATATCACTGGACGCGAGTTCTTGCTGCGTCTGCGCGAGCTGGAGATCATGGGAAAGGTTATCGACTTGGCGTTTCTGGACGGATACTTGGAGCCGACGCTGATGGTGCTGCACGAGGAGAACGAGAAGAACTCGACGTGTGGACGTCTGGCGGCTGGATTCGACACGTACTGCATCACTGTCATCTCCATCAACATGAACACACGGTAAGCTCGACATTCTTTTTATTGGGCTGGGGCAGTGCATGCAGTTTGCTGATGGTCGTGTGGCGTATGTTGTAGACTTCACCCCAAGATTTGGACTGTGAAGAATCTTCCGTCAGATTGCTTCAAGCTGTTTCCGTGCCGTGCGCCGCTGGGTGGCGTGGTGGTCTTGTCAGCGAACGCCTTCCTGTACTTTAACCAGACACAGTTCCACGGACTCGCCACCAACGTCTTCGCGAGCAAGACGGTGAACCAGTCGGTGTTCCCCCTTAGCGATGCCGTCTACGAGACTCCAGACCACGAGATGGCGCAGCTCCATATCGTGCTCTATGACTGCCAGTTCGAGTACTTGCACGAGAAGGAAGTTTTGCTGACCATGCCGAATGGGGACGCGTATGTGCTATCTCTTCCGTACGAAGACACTTCCAGCCGTGGTCTGTACGGTTTTGGAGGAGCATCGTCCAGCCGGAACGCGTCGTTATCACTGCGAATGCTTCGCTCTGGCATTCAAGCGCATTGTCTGTGCGTGAACGAAGAGAAGAAGACGCTGTTTGTTGGCTCAAGGTCAGGCGACTCAGTCCTGTATGCATTGGATCAGAAGAAACTTACTAGTGCTGGAGGCGAAGCTTCGAAGCAGCAGGAAGACGAGGAGATGCTGATAAAGGAGGAGGTGGTTAAAGAAGAAGTGACCGCTGAGGTGAAGGCCGAGCCTGCTGAAGAAGAGGAGGAAGACGAAGATGATTTGTTCCTGTATGGTGCAGCGCCTACGAAAGAAGAGCCCACGACAAGTGGTTCTACGGAGGCTGTGAATGGTACAAATGGATCCGCTGTCAAGAAAGAGGAGAACGGGCATGCTGTTGAAGAAGAAAGCGGTCCGTACGATTATGTGCTCCACCAGATTGATGTGCTTCCAAGCATCGGGCAGATCACGTCGATTGAGCTGGGCATTGAGAACAATGCGGACTCGAATGAGAAGCGCGAGGAGCTTGTTATTAGTGGCGGATACGAGCGCAGCGGAGCTATCTCGGTGCTACACAATGGATTGCGTCCGATCGTCGGTACGGAAGCTGAGTTGAACGGCTGCCGAGCAATGTGGACAGTGTCGTCTTCGCTTCCTTCTGCGACAAAGAGCTCCGATGGTCGCAGCTACAATGCGTACCTGATTTTGAGTGTTGCTCATAGAACGATGGTGTTGCGAACTGGAGAAGGCATGGAGCCCTTAGAGGATGACAGCGGCTTCTACACGTCTGGCCCAACGCTTGCCGCTGCAAACCTTTTCAACAAGCAGCGGATTGTTCAGATCTTCAAGCAAGGCGCGCGAGTGATGATGGAGGTGCCCGATGAGGAAACGTCAAACGGAAACGATGGAGCTGAAAAGACTGCCAAGCCAGAGGATGAGGAGGTTGACGATGAAGACGACGGACCGAAGGTCAAGTTGGTTTGCACGCAGGAAATTACTCTGGAGGGTGATGTCGAGTGTGGAGGCATGAACGTTGATACGGCAACGGTGGGAATTGTGTCCGTGGACGTTGTCGATCCGTACATTTTGCTGCTTCTGACGGACGGGTCGGTTCGCCTGCTTATGGGCGATGAAGAAGACATGGAGTTGACAGTTATCGATCCAGAGATCGACTACCTTGACGGCGTCACGGAATCAAATGGAACTGCGGACGCATCCAAACACGGCAGCAGCTCTGCGTGCCTCTTTTACGATTGGGCAGGCATGTTCCGCGAGAACGCTTGGGGTGAAGACGATCGGGAAGAGCGTGCTGAGTCTGCTGCAGCTGAGACTAAGACCGAAAGTAATGGTGATGACGACGATGACATGGACGCATTGTACAGTGCAAAACCCAGTCCGAAGGCTCCATCTAACCGGAGCAGCTCAGCAAAGCCGACGCCGAGCCAAGCTGCTCCGACGAACGCTGATGGCTCCGTGTCGATCCCGTTGCTAAAGCAGAAGGATGCCAAGATGATGTGTGGTATGTGCTTCGGGGATGGCTCGCTGCACGTGTTTTCCCTCCCCGACTTTAAAAAGAGAGGAGTTTTCCCGTATCTCACGTTTGCACCACAGTCGCTCGTTAATACGTTGGAGCACTACCAAGTCGGCAAGAACAAGACTGTGAAATTCTCCGCTCCGGTTCTAGGCCTCAACGCATCGACATCTTCTGCGAACGACGGCCGTATCAAGAAGTCGCACACAATGAACTCGCCGGTGGCTGACATTATCATCCACCGTGTCGGTCCTAGCGAAGGCCAGCATAACGCGCAGTACCTCTCACAGATGGTGATGCTGGTGTTTTTGGCGAATGGCGACTTGCTGATGTATTCTGCAACTCCCAAGTATGAGAGCTTGAAGCCTCGAGCGAACGGAGAAGTTGCCCCAGTGTTCCATTTCGTCCGCGTGGGGTCTGATTTGATCACTCGACCGTTAATTCCGCCACGAGCACGCACGAGCGCCCACAACGAGGCCGGCAATAACCCCGAGGTGAACACAAGTGCAGTTCTAGCCAAACTCCGAGCTGGATTCCGATACCCCATGCTGACAACCTTCTACAACGTGAACAACATGAGCGGCGCGTTCTTCCGAGGTGCGCATCCAATGTGGATTTTAGGCGACCGCGGTCAGCCAACCTTCATCCCGATGTGCGTCGCTGGTTCTGCGCCGCCTGCGCCACGAGCGAATAGTGCATCGAACAAGAGCGCAGCCCCCAAGGTGAGCGTGCCAGTGTTGAGCTTCACGCCTTTCCACCACTGGAACTGTCCGAATGGCTTTATTTACTTCCATTCTCGTGGCGCACTGCGTGTGTGCGAGCTTCCTTCAAGCAAAACGTCGACGATCCTGCCGTCAAGTGGCGGGTTTGTCCTTCAGAAGGCTGAGTTTGGCGCCACGTTGCACCACATGCTGTACTTGGGCAACCACGGCCCCGGCGGTGTGTCCGAGGCGCTTGAAGCACCTACGTATGCTGTAGTCTGCAGTGTGAAAATGAAGCCGACGGACGCGGAGCGAGCCACCGAAGTCGAGGATGCAGACGAAGAGAAAGAGCCTGAAAACCTGGACGCCAACGGAAACCCTGTGGGAAGCAACGTGATGGCGCCCACAGCCGAGATGTTCCCCGATTTTGAGATCGATCAGATGGCCCACACTGAAGAGGAAGTTTACGAGTTGCGTTTGGTGCAGACGAACGAGTTCGGCGAGTGGGGACGACGCGGCGTTTTCCGCGTGCATTTCGAGCGGTATGAGGTTGTTCTGAGTGTGAAGCTCATGTACCTGTACGACTCGTCGCTGATGAAGGAGGAAGTGGCTTCTACTTCGGCCGAGTGGAACAAGAAGAAGCGGCCCTACCTCGTGATCGGTACGGGCTGGGTCGGCCCGCATGGAGAAGACGAAAGTGGCCGCGGACGTCTGCTGCTGTACGAACTTGACTACGCCCAGTACGTGGACGAAGAGGGTGGCTCTACTAGTAGCAAGCTGCCCAAGTTGCGGCTAGTGTTCATCAAGGAGCACCGCCAAGGAGCCATTTCGTCGGTGGTACAGCTTGGACCGTACGTACTTGCGGCCGTTGGCTCGAAGCTCATCGTGTACGAGTTCAAGTCGGAGCAGCTGATCGGCTGTGCATTCTACGATGCGCAGATGTTCATCGTGACTCTGAATGTCGTCAAGGACTTTGTCATGTACGGCGACGTCTACAAGAGCGTCCACTTCTTGCGCTGGAGGGAGATGCAGCGGCAGTTGGTGCTGCTAGCAAAGGACTATGAGCCGCTGGCGGTCTCAGCTACTGAGTTCAGCGTGTTTGAGAAGAAGCTGGCGCTACTGGCTGTGGACATGGATGAAAACCTGCACGTCATGCAGTTCGCGCCGCAGGATATCGAGTCTCGTGGCGGTCAGCGCTTGCTGCGTGTTAGCGACTTCCACCTGGGGGTACAAGTGGCTAGTATGTTCCGCAAGCGAGTGGATGGTCCTGGTGGACATGTGGCTGTAAACGGCCGTGGCCCGCGGGCTCCTCCTTCCTACTACGTGAACGTCATGGGTAATTCGGAGGGTGGAGTTGGCGCTTTGATTCCTGTGGGTGAGCGCGTCTTCCGCCGACTCTTTACGCTGCAGAACGTGATGGTGAACACGCTGCCGCAAAACTGCGCGCTGAATCCGCGCGAGTTCCGCATGCTCAAGACCAACGCGCAACGGCGATGCGGCCGACCTGATGCGTGGAGCAAGAAGAAGTGGAAGAAGAGCTTCCTGGATGCGTTCGTGCTGTTCCGCTTCCTGCAGCTCGACTACGTCGCGCAGAAGGAGCTCGCGCGCTGCATTGGTACCACGCCTGAGGTTGTCATTCACAACCTTCTGGAAGTACAGCACGCCACTGCGACGTTCTTGTAGAGCAGTTAAAGCTTCAGAAAACAATACAACTTGCTGCTGAGTTTATCGAATGTGAAATTTGCACGTAAATTACATGGCCACCTTTGCCGCCACTCGATGTGTGCACTACGACAAAATCCACACTTAAACAATTGTATTATAGTGCTAGTACGTCCCAAGCATGAATTCATTGAGCACTCCTTACGACAACGAAGTAAGTAAAGTAACCCATTCTCCCCATGTGATGGCGATTGGAGTTACTTTGCCTTTGCCTTTAGGTTTAGCGCCTGTCTGTGTTTGGTATAATCCGCAAGCAGGTCAGCGACGCGCTTGTGTTTTCTAAAGTCGGCAAGTTGCTTCGTGACTTCCGGCAAGCTGTAGAACTTGTCCCACACTTTGAACATCCTTTTTCGATCGTTGCTTGTTGCGAGCATGTTTGCAACAGTCTCCATCTTAAAGTCTTTCTCGACATTCTGGACAACGGCGGTGCGGAACCACTTTCTCACGTCGAACACTTTCATGAAGTCGATGATGGCTCTTTCTTCATCGTCGGCGTCGATGCTGTAGTCTCGCAGAGCCTTGTGCTCGTTGCCGTGCTCCAACGCAGTGACGTCTGGCTGGTTCAGGCGTGGCGCAAGCTTGACTGAGTCGGAAGCTGTGGCTTGAAAGTTTACGTGGGACACCGCAGCAAGCACCAAGAGAATGTAAGGATAGCTCAGACGCATCGTATTCGATGGAAGTGCAGTAGGGAAGGACGGCTTGGGTGTTGGAAGTCAAATTGAAAAGTAACCTTCTCAATTTGAGAGTCTCAAACCATAAGTACTGTACCAACTGCTTCGTACGATGAAACGATCGGCTGCACATGCACATGATGTGCATGTATTCAGTCCCACATGTATTGTGAGAACCGGCTAAAGCGCCCATCTGTAGAAACCCCTTATTAGTCCTCAATTATCTAATTAATCAGAGTATAAATCGGGTTCGAAATCGATCGTGATCCATACGCATCGCTTGGCTGCGCGATTGCCCAGTACAAAAGGTGGGCATTCTGCTCGAAACGCGGCTATATCGACTTGGTCTCCATAAAACGATCACCTAATCTGCACATCCACTCACGTATGCACCGCAGGGGCGCGATCGATTTACAAATCGATCGAGCTCAATCAGGGTGCTAATCGATCGATTTACGACCAAAATAGGCAAAAGAAGCGGTTTTCACAATACCGGTCCGGAAAAGAATTAACAGTTAGGTTTTTTTCATAAAATAAAACCTCGAACAAATCGATTTATGATTGGTCGAAGTACCCTATTATGCACTGATCTACCATCTCTCATTGGACAAAACGCCAACATCAGTGATTTGTATGAAAAAAACTCAAACATGATTGGCTGTTTTTCAGGCGTTGGAAGATTCGATTGGTTATGGCGACATAAGACACGAATAAGCTCTCTTTCAGCTTTCTAAAGAGTATTTTTACGCTCAAATGTGATCATTTTTGATAACGCTGCGAATTTAAACCTAACACACCCTAAATTCGACCATTTAAACTGGCGGATACTGACCGCAATGGCGGGAAAACGCATTAAAAAAACAATCGGTGCGATACAGCAGACAAAGGGCTTTACGTCAAGGCCAATTACAGCTCTGTTGGTGTAGTAGAACGTGAATTATGGTCGATTATATGAGCTGTTAATTCTTTTCCGGACCGGAGAAGTACATGTATTTGCATGGAGCGACACGGTCCGCCAGCTGCGTGTCACTTAGATTGTCATCGTGGCGAGCACCAATATAACACTGAACAACAGAGTTTTGACCACGGCTTCTTACGTACGAAATAAATGTTCATGTTCATGCTATTTACCACCTGCAATTGCCGTGCACTGAAACATCATGCATGCACTTCGAAATGCCTAACCTAGTATAACCTAGTAAGCTTAAGAGGCAGAATGTCGGTCGGTAAAGCACACTTGTGAGTCGATCGAAGGTAAGATCCCAGCTGGAATCCATTCCAGGCTGTACTGTAGGATACTGTACACTGCATTACTGTAGCAATGTTGAATGAATGGATTACCGTCAGCAATTGATCTGCTCCGCGTCGTGTCGTCGAAAAATGTGCACACATCAACAGTACTGTACTGTACCATTCGCATTCGCATTATCAGACCACTTTCCGAAGCAATGACGCCGTGGTCATCAACGATTGCGAAACCTCTCCGAGAAAGCGAAGGACCCGCGTCAGCGACGAATAATACCTAGGTCCGCGCTTTCCACCGGCACGATACAGTAGTTTCGACGAAGGCTGTTCCATCCGCCAGGTTACGCCAAGCAATTATACGCGACTTATCCAACTTCTCAGTCACCGCAGAAAACTTGAGTGGACAATATACCCCTCCACAAAAGTACGCCCCATTGGTCATTGGCATATTATCACAACAGATCTCCAGGTTGTTGGCACGACCCTATTGCATGGCTCCTGGACCTGGGTCACTCCAAGTTCGGACCGCAGGCGAAGTAGTATCTACTTCCATGGAGCACGCTCGGCAACGGTGGAACTGATTCGTCTCTATACACGGCGAGCTGGAGGCTTCAAGTAGTCGACAAGCATCCACAACAAGCGTGGACTCCATAACCCCACGCGCTCCACTTCGAAAGCCAACGATATTGTAACTTACTGTCAAACTGCCTCCCAAACGTTGTCATTCCAGATCCCTTCACGTCTGGGTATGGTGTCCATTACTCTCCACTGCAGTCACTGCCGGCTTCGAAGCGCTGATGATCCGTTGCAATCGCTCTGCGACTCGCATAACCTGTTCCTGCAGCTCCTTACTCCTGTCTCCACCTGCTCGTGTCTGCTGAGCTGCCACCAGCTCAATTCGGGCCAGAACTCCGTAGTAAAAGTCTACTTCGTCCCGCAGACTTGAGGCCTTGAGCCGCATCCTGGCATTGTCCCGCAATAACTCCTCCTCCAGGCACCGAGCCACCTCCACTTGACGTTGTAACCCCTCTGCGTAACCTGTGTGCCCCTCGTCTTCCTTGGCCTCTGTTGCTGCTTCCACGGCATCTCCAGCGGCAGAATCTTCACCACTCGGTGCCACAGTCTTTTGCTGTGTGGAGGTCTGTGCAGCGCTCAGTTTAGTACGCTTGGGAGGCGGTAGCGCGCTGGAAAGTGAGCCGTCTCCAGCTTCGAGTAGCCTCTTCTTCACGTCCTTGGCTTTCGACGCCCAGTGGGTCTCTCGTGGCCGCGCCAACTTGGTCGGAGTGCGGATCTTCGTGGGCGAACGCATGCCAGTCGGTGGGACGGACGGAGCCTTGGCGGGTGAGCTGCAGGCACGCGAAGACACCGCTCCCTCAGCCATATCGGTCGGCATTTTCCCGCTAATTTGAATTGAAATGCGAAATATGGCAAACAAAAATAATGCCACAAATAATTTTTTATCTTGATATTTGCATTGGGCTGAATGTGGCTACAGTACCCACATGACACCTGAATGTGGCTACAGTACCCACATGACACCTTTGAGCTATTCCCTTAACTGTCGGTACGTGACGATGGAGATGGCATCGTTGACCCAGCTGAGTAGGTCAAGTGGCACTTTGTGGAGGACGTGGTCGAGCTCCGGATGTTCGTCGAGGAACGCGAGATACTCGGGGGCACCGGGGATCAACACATTGTCGGTGATGATTATCGAACCTGGTGTTGCTGGCGAGGATCTTCTCGGCGTCCGCGGCGTACAAGCTCATGTCGTGGTCCATGAAGTATATCTACACAATACCATATAGGGTTAGTTTAGTTCTCGGTCATGGACCAAGTAAGTGGAGGTGCATGTACGAACGTCGACAGGGTTGCTTTGAAGACGGTGGAGCTGCTCGGAGAAAGCTCCTTCGATGATGGTCACCTGGTTGTCCAGCCCAGCGAGCGAAACCATCTACAGTACAAAACCAAAAACAGCTAAGATGTCTAATAGAATACCATCGATTCACAGACACTTACCTCCCGCGCACGAGCAGCGAACTCCGGTGAGTACTCGAAAGAATAGTAGTGTGAGTCAACCCCACTGGCTTGAGCTGCGTCGCGTTGGGCACTGGCAAAGCGCACGGTGCTGCAGCCTGTGTAGGCGCCGATCTCAACCATGACGCGTGGTTTCTTCTGGTGGATCTCAGTGTCTACAATGGCCCCTTTCGCAGCCCCGACGTTCATCAGCATGTTAGTGGTGGCGAACGTGTCGATGGCTGCGATCTCGGACGCGGGGTCGTTGCGGGTGGCGTACTGCTTGACGAACTCGAAGCAGCCAGCCGAGCTGAAGAAGTTGACAAAGCAAGGTCAGATTTCTGGGTCTTGGTACAGGTTGGTGTTGTAAAGCGACGTACTTGCTGTGGATCCTACCACGCAATAGCGGAGCGATGGCTTTGATGGCACTAGCACTGACGGCGTCAAGCATGGAAACGCTGGTCATGGTAGGAAAGTGTGTAGTTGGGGATCCGCTGGCGTGTTGATAGCGAATTGAATAGTGAAAAGACAGCGTCGAGTGCCTTGACCTCAGTTCGGACCTAGCACACTTCGACGATGCTAGGCAGTAGTGTACTTCCACACACATGCATTCCCGGTAACAGCACAAAATCAGTCTTGTGAAGCTGCATCCATTCCGATAACGCTGGCGTAGGGACAAGTCTGGGATCCACTTGGAACGGCCTGAATCCCTGACTTTCGAGCGATTCCATAGCAACACGCTAATACACCCAGCACGTAATATGGACCCCTACATCTTCAACTCTTGTCACCTACTTGCCTACTCCCACGTGCTTGAAGAACGATAGACTCAACGCCATGAGGATCATTCCGGCGAGTCCGCCATTGGAGACGAGGTAGATGCGGCCATTAGCGTACGTATACGCGGTGGGGAAGATCTCCTTCATCGTGATCGTGGACATCATTCCGGCCACAATGCCGTACAGCGTGGCTTGGGCAAAGTCGCGGACCTCCTTCCCCACAATGAGCAACGCGATGAAGGCCCCGATGTGCTCAGCAACTGCAGCAATGATGCACCACATGATTCCCTTCCACTTGCTGCCTGTCGCGAAATACACCGGTGCTGCGACGGCAACACCCTCCGCCATGTTGTGAAGGCCGACTCCAATGGCCATGGGGAGTCCGAACGCGGGGTCTTCTAGTCCAGCGGTGAACGTGGCGATCCCAGACGGGATGTTGTGCAGCGCGATGGCGATGCCACTAAGGATGCCCATGAGTTGCAGCTTCTGCTTGGCGGCCTCGTCCATCTTGACGAAGCCCTGCTCTCGTGGCGACTCCAGCAGCACGCTGTCCTGGATACTGCCTCGGAGGGACCCTTGCATCTCGACACTGTTGTTAGAAATCTGCTTAGGGGTCTCGGGGTCGACCCCAGGCGTGAGCTTCTGCACCACTAAGTCCACCGCGTAGACGATCAAAATCCCAACGCCCAGGCAAACCGTTGCGGCGAGCCACGACTGGCCGTCGAGTGTGTCGCCGCTGTTCACTTCGGGTTGGAAGGCGGAGTTGAACTCGAGCACGGAGAAGCCGAAGAGGATGACGAGGGACATGAACACCGTGACTCCACCGGAGACGCTGAGCGTCGTCGACAGCGCCATGGGAGTGGCCAAGCGGAGCGTGCGCGGGCTGCAGACGACCAAGCCGCCCACCACGGTGGCGAACGCTGCCGCGAGGTTGAGCTGGAACGCGGTCGCGATGTAGTTGTCACCGCCTGAGCTCATAGTGTGACTTGGTCTTGCTCAAGACCCGAAGGAACGAGACTGCGCTTGCTCTGGGAGAGCACGTTCTTGAATGGAGGAAGCGGTCATCAGGCTCGAGACCGCACTGAAGTGTATCGTCGCCTCGAAACCACGTGCCATCCACACATCCGTCCTGGCTGTAGTAACTAAAAGGCGCAGTGGTAATGCACCAAGTTGATTCAAGTGGCCCGAAAGGACCAGCTACAGGCGTTATGCACAGCGCTTTCTTTCGTGTGTATCGGGGTGATATCTCGGCCGCAACTGGCCATCAGGTGGGTGCGAGAGCTCTGCCTATTAGCCGCCTCGTAGAGAGCAGCGCGAGCTAAGTGACTTGAAGAACTTTCTCTAAGGCAGCTTGGTGATGACACGGGAAGCAGAGGCCACTATGTAAGCCCTGGGGATGGCTACTCTCAATTGTGTTCGTCACTGGCCAATGCAGCCAGCAACAAGCAACAAGGGTGTGGTTGAGTTGCAGGCGCCACCAAGATCAGCCACTTGTCAGTTTTTCGAGTACCACCCTGAGTAACGAGCTGGCTATGAATGGCGAGTCCGGAAGCCCATTTTAGCTGCACATACTGCTATTTCCCCGTTGAACAGCATCGAAGACGAGGTTCTTGGCATCTAGCTATTCACAGCAAGAGGACAGTGCTGCATATTTTTGACTGCACCTCCAGTGATTTCACAGTCATTTGACCTCGGTCGACCGCGCGTCGAGGCAACGAGAGTCGGATTCGACCATCCGTTTAGGCATCAGTGACGAAAGCAGCTTTTGTCGGCATGGGTAGCGCTTCAGATCCCGACAACATGCAGCCTCCACTAGCTTCGAAGAGGGTTGAGCCGAACATCAAACCGATAATCGCTCCCGCTCGTACGCCCGAGCTCAAATCAGAGGTCAGCGCTCGCCGGCTGAGCAGAACTCCACCATTGGCGACACCAGAGCGACGGCCTTCGATTCGTCAGAGCGCGTTTGTTCGAGGCACGAAGCGCCTCGTTCGTCGGTACTACGCGTGGAAAAGCACCCACCAGTATTTGGGGCGATACACCGTCGACAAGCTGCTGGCCTTTGAGGAGTACCAACGCGTTGCTAGCCCCCTGCGAGTCTTCGCCGTCATCGCGCTAACGCCTCTCCCCGGTTTGTTGACCATCGTGTTGATTGCAGCGATCCCTCTCGAGAGCCCCCTGAAGGGGGTAAGCGCGAACGCCAGCTACTTCGTGCAGTCGGCTCTCGCGTACACCGTCATGACCCTCAGTTTGCTCTTCTTCATCCGCGGTGCGCTTCAGCTACCCCAAAGCGTCTACTCTCACCGCCAGTGCTTCTTAATCGGATTATTGACTGCGGGTGGCAACGAGCTTGCCATGGTCGGTCTGTCGATTATTTGGGCGTTCCCTTTGCCGTTCCGTGACTTCGTCGGGATCCCAACATTCTTCACACTGCTGACAGCCACCCACGTTTGGACACTGAGGTCGAGGCTGCGTCACTACTACCGGAAGATGATCAGGTACATCCCTCTCGTGTGTGCGCAGGCCTCCACGCTCTTCATTTTCCAGGGGTTGGAGATATTGTTCGCCAATGTCCCTCAAGAAGCCCAAGGCGTGATCACCGTCACGTTTCCGCTTCTGCGCGCGTTCATGAAGCGGATGATCTGGACCTTCACAGACTGCCTAGACGACATCAGCACGGACGTGACGGTCTGTGTCGTGGAGATTTTCGGCTCACTTTTCCAAAATGTCTGCGTGCAGAACGCGCGATCGCCTGCAATCGGTGCGCTTATCATCATCGTCGACTTCGCCCAAGCGCTTTTGGAGGTGTACATGTATCTCAACCACAAGTTCATAGTGGACGGGTCTTGCGCTATGACCACCGCCGTACGCATTGTCGAGAGCTCGCTGTACCCCACCGTGCTAGCTTCCACAGCAGCCACCGACCGATCAAAGCCTGATCCAAATGAAGCAGCACTGGACATCTCGCACAAGGGCAACTCCAAGATGTTGTCCTTCGAGGAAGCCTTCCCTCAACCCAAGATGACCAACGTCACTTTGCCCAAACGGAAGTCTAGAATTCTGGCAGGAACCCAGATGGTGGACCTGGGGTCAGTGAACCCTGCTGTAGTGACCGCAGACCCGACTGCCGGTAGGCCTCCACTCATCTCCCCAGCCTCGGTAGCTGGAGGCAAATCGACACGAAGAGCGTCCGTGGACGACATCGATATCACACACCGAGAAAACGCAAAGCTCCTGAAGCAAACGCTGCAACTTTTGTTCTCTTCCGAAGTGCTGGTCTTCGCTGAGTTTGCTGAGTTCTCGTGCTCTGTGGTATATGGGCTCTACACGATCACGCTCTACCACATGCCGTACGCCAAGTACAACCTGTCGTTCATTGGATTGAGCGAGAAACAGTTTTGGAAATCAGTGGGCAATACCGCCGTTTACTGTGTTCTTGAAGGATTTACGCTGCTGTTCCTCTTCACACTCATGCGCGGAAAGTATGGCATATCGACTTTGCACCAGCTCGCTTTCGTTCTGGAAAAGTATTGGATGAGCGTGCAAGGCAAAATGTGCGGCAGCCTCTCGCTGATTTTCATCCTCAACACCGTTCATCATGGTACGCACAGGTTCTTGATGAATAGCTTTTTTCCGTACTAACGTTACTTCATTTTCTTTTGCATGAAAACTGCTTAGGCATGGATCTGTCGTTGGAGTTCAACTGGGAAAAAGTGCTAAACGGCACAACAGAAGCTTAATTAACTCTACCACCCGCGCAACTAGAAAGTGAAATGAATAGTAGTCGTTTAGATCAACTATTGCTACTAGCATAATGCTGTCAAGAGCCACCGTTCATGAGCCGTAGGGCTTTTATTGTCGACAGATCTATAAGCTGTGGCATTGAAATTTTGACCATGTAAGTACATACAAAATCCGTGGATACGTATGGACTCCTGTTTTTTTTATTCACAGGTCGAAGACCTGTGCTTTGGCCCCGGCAAAAAAACTTGTAACTTTCCAAAACTGGGTACCAAACCGGGTCTCTCTTTCTTAATTGTAATGTTTAAGCTAATATCTGCCGGAATCGGGTACCCGTCGATAACTGCTAAGATTTATGCGCATTATTTACCAAAGGTTGATACTAATCGTTTTATTATTTACCAAAAACGGCATCAAACACTTACGGACGCTCCAGTACACTGCGTCATGGCTTCGCCGAAGGCGTATCAATTTGCGCCATAATCGACCAAGCTTAGCTGAAGATGACCAACATGACTTGTCTAGGTGCAGGCTGCATTTTTTTACATGTCAATTTGCTCAATACCCAATCACTCCTAGCCGAAGATGGCCAATCTCGTGTCTGTCGCCAAACCAATCAGCTCAACTCGACAGTGACACGAGCATCGTTCGTTTGAATAAGACTTTTTTTCCCTGCGTTGAAGCACCCACTTCCAAGGAATTGGCCCATTAGCGTATTTCTCATTCCGCAACTTACCCCCCCCCCCAGCCCTCAAGTTAAAGGTTTGTTTGTTTGTTTTGTTTTTGAATTGAGGATCATTATTGTCACTTAGCTATAATAACATCCTCAAGTGAAAAGGTCAAGATCAACGCACCATGCGTCTCTCCTTCGTCCCGCAACTGTAGCTCTCTCGTCTGATCGTTAGCACAGAAAGAGACGCGCTATTAAGAAGTCAGATGCAACACCTTAGCTAGCCAGGCAACTCGCGCTATTAAAAGTGTAATGCAATTCGATTATCAGATCGTTAGCACACAACATAGTGCAAAAATGAGCACGGTATACCTTACCTGCAAAATGAATGAAATAGCTCTCTCGTTGCTGGCGCCAACGCAGCCATTGGAGATGACCAGGGTGTTATGTCACCGATGGCCTCATCAGACCAGGCAACCTCAATTGGTGACTTTCGGTTCCTGAGAACCCACCACGATAAAGAAGAGCGGGGCTTGCTGGTTACCAGCCTCACAAAGGTTTGGCTCAAACATCATTTCCGTATCGATACACTTCGATGTGCGCAACTATTTGTTCAATTACGCATTCCGGGGCAGATGCTGCGGCTGCGAAGCAGGCGCAGTAGATGCCCTCGTTAGAGTCAACTAAAGAGTTGGGCTGGTAGTGCCTTTTTAAAGGATTAAAAACTATACAACTTTGGGATTTCCTCAATTATTATCCGTTATCATCGTCCATGAAACTATTCTATGTCGACCTGTGTACCCTCCCGGAGCAACGCTCCGGGTTGCCTATTATTCACAGGGCGGCAGAAATGTTTTGTAACTTATCGAAACCGGGTATCTTCTATCTGAAAGAGAGTACTGGTTAACCTAATCAATTATATCTAATAGCTACGAATGGCTACAAGTATTACTCTGCAGCTCAGCGGTTGTTTGCTAACTTTCACACAAAATCCTAAGGCTACCACTAAAAGCTATGATGCTATACTCAATTCTGTGCTAAGGATTTCACGACTACACTATGCTGCGAGTCCGCTGAAGCATACTTTATCACTGGGCAACTCTTGTCAATATCTCGTGCTATCATGTCGGCTAGCTCGAGCTACGTAAGCTGTACACCTCAAATGTTGAAAGCTTAGTACATCGTCTCACATTATACGCGTTCGCCAAACATGGAACGGATTATAGGTGACATTCTGGCCCATAACGAGCTCTGTTTCGAATGTAGACGATGCGATGAGTTGCGTAAATTAAATTAAAGAGAGAGAGAGCGATCTATCGTCCTGGTGGATGAGCAATTTCCGAACTGCAACTCAATCGGAGGGGGGATTATCGCTCGATTATGGTTCGTGCCCACGGTAGGGCTGCTCACGATAGAGCGTTTGGTTCGTGCCCACGATAGGGCGTGGTCAGGCGGGTATCGATTTACCGCGCTGCAGCGAATCGAAAAGTAAGCTCGACCTACTCCGACTCGTGGCCTCGTGCTCTGGTTCTAATGACTACCTATCCACCTAACTAACTAACTGCTAAGGTTGGCCTCCTTGGATCTCGTTGCAACTGGAAATAAGGTTATCCATTTAGAACTAACCCGCCATACCGCTCATTTTGTGAAACTCTGACGATTGCTACTAAGGCTTCGCGGGGGCTGGGATAGCTCGTTCATACTTGTCTAATCCGCTTTGCAAGCTACTTCGGTGCGGCGCACATGCTGCGCACCAGTCACTCTCTGGATACTTAGATACTTGCCCCATTCAATATGATAATGGCATCAAAATTTATAGCAGCAGGGTTGCGTGCTTCAGCCCTGTTGGGGGAATGAGCACATCTCTTTCCGTGTAAAATTGTTTTGGACTACATACATCACTTTGTGAATCTATCTGCGAATATCGGTATCTATCCAGGGTGCACTTCAACTTGAGTATCCTTAGCTTCCGGTTAAGCTTCGATGTACCAATATATCAATTACGTATACAGCTGTGCCAGCTGAAGCCTATCATCATGTGAAACCTCAGGAATGGTTTCGAACAGTGAGCTACCAAAAATCTGCGTGCTTTTGACGATCTGCAATAGCTCTCTCTCTCTCTCTCTCTCTCTAAGTTTCCAGTTTCCAGGCCAAAATGAGACACTAGTCGTCCTCAGTATCTTCTTGATGTAGTTCAACCAGGGCTTCGCATTAACCACCTTTTGAGCTGTACCACCACAGGTAATACGGATGAATGGTGTGCATTATTATAGTAGCATGCTGCACAGAAATAGACAGGGTGTGTAGTAATACAGTACTATAGTAGTAGATACAGCAGTAGTCTAATGAGCTCCCAAAGATTTACTAGGATAAACTATAGTATCCACATAAGTGCGATTCACAGCTAGTAAGTACGAATTGAGAACTGATCGGATACGATTGATCTCGGAATCAAGTCGGCGGAGTTGGAAGTAGATGGATGCTGCTTTGTAGTTTGCTGTTATACTGTTGTGTAGTCTACTGTAGAGTCGTGTGCATTTCGTAGAGAACTATAATGAATGAAAGTATAGGATGGAGCGCGTTTCGGTGGTTCGATATCTCGGTGGACAGCAGGAGTCCTGTTCAAGCCCATTGCATGCTAAAGTGTTGGGATTCAATGCCATTTCCGGCCACTCTATGTTCTGGTAGACATGGCCCCGTCTGTATTACGACCGTAATAATACAAACTACGACTATAGTAATGCAGCTAATACATAAGCCAGATAGTGGTGCACCCAGTAGCAATACAGTAGGCATGGGGTGCTGTATTAATACCGTATTGAGTATTACCACTTAATGCGAAGCCCTGAGTTCAACACCCAAAATACTCGACTTAGTCGACTGTCAGCAAACGATTTATTTAGCAACTATTCATTCTTGCCAGCAACGTTATCGTGCTACTGTAATGTTCATCAATTAATTTCTGAAGCCTTATTAACAGAAATGGCTCCAAGTCGGGTTCGCATACAAGACTAACTTGCGATTTGAACATGTTTCACTGAGGTCGAGCCATTATTGCTGGTAAATACCAGTTACAGAGGTCAACTTTCGATTAATTCGACCTGTGTACTCTCCCGGAGCGACCTATTCACAGGTCGAAGAGCTGTGCTGAGCCGGCAGAAAATTTTTGTAGCTTTCCAAAACCGGGTACCTAACTGGGTCTCTCTTTCTTAATGACCAGGGTGTTATGTCACCGATGGCCTAATTAGACCAGGCAACCTCAATTGGGGGCTTTCGGTTCCTGAGAACCCACCACGATAAAGAAGAGCGCGGCTTGCTGGTTACCAGCCTCACAAAGGTTTGGCTCAAACATCATTTCTGTACCAGTACACTTCGATGTGCGCAACTATTTGTTCAATTACGCATTCCGGGGCAGATGCTGCGGCTGCGAAGCAGGCACAGTAGATACCCACGTTAGAATCAACTAGAGAGTTGGGCTGGTATCTAGTGCTTTTAAGGATTAAAAATAATATAACTTTGGGATTTACTCCATTATTATCCGTTATCATCGTCCATGAAACTATTCTATGTCGACCTGAGTACCCTCCCGGAGCAACGCTCCGGATTGCCTATTAAAACTGGGAATCAATGCCTATATCTTGTAGACTTTTGCAGCAAAACCACCGAGATCGGAGGCGGTCTGAACAACCCAGTCCGATTACCGCGACACAGGCCACTTGTAGATTCGGTGGTTGTATCTGTAACCCACAAACATTTCCGCAATGCGTTTGTTCTTCAGAGTCTTCGGTCCAATTATCTGCACCAGCCTGTCCAACTTGATTTTGTCCCACTGCTTGAACATAACATCCCTGAATTGATGGTTCTTCACCATTTCCTTGAGCGTCGCCTTGGAGTACGCGCTGAGGACACCGTTCGCAAAGTCCTTGGGGACATCTCTAAACCCAAGCAGCTTCTTGTAGTCAAGCCGTTTCTTGAAGTCGAAGGCGCGGTCTTCATCCTGCCTTCTTGTAACTCCGCAAATGCCTCCGACTCTGGCTTTCAGACGGCACTGCATCCTCTTGGTGTGTCGGGCTCGCGTTATCCAGTTCCGCAAGGCCAAAGGCAGCATGGCAGTGCACCACGAGAATGACTGCAACCAGCAGCAACACGTGGCCTAGACACATGAGTGTTTTTGCTTGGATTCTAGGTGCTTGAGCTCTAGGGGTCGAATTCGATAATCAGGGCACTCTCAGAGGGTGTCACATCTTTCCAGCCCGCCGATGAAGATCTTACCGGTTCTGTGCATTACGCTACAAGCGCATGCTTCACGCTATCGTGCGGTACCACTCAGAGATAAGCATCGTTGTTAGCAGGAAGGGACTGTACTGGTGAGAAACCTGCTGTACTTGATGGAATTTGCAGACCAAGTCTGTATTAGGTATCGTAGTCATTATTGTGAAAACCGATTAGTTTGTCCTGCTAGTAAAGCGCCACTAACAGAGTGTTTGGAGTCTGCTAAATCGGGGATGTCTCAATTATAATCGGAGTATAAATCGTTCATCGGTCTCATAATTATGTTCAGCCTAGCAATTTCGATCAGCATGCATGAACTTCGGCCGGAGACTCGCCAAGTCCAGCGGCAACACCGCGTCGCCTGGATATCTCCGCTTCATGTATTATAGGGTGCGGCTTTTCTTGCTTAGTTCTGATGTTAGTGTTGTAGCCTTGACTACCTAGCCAAGAGCGACTGCAGCAATTGTTGTCTGGCGGCTGTTTTAGCCTACAAGGAGCGAATGCTGGTTGCACATCGGACATTCCGTCTGAATAGCAAGCAAATCAGCCGGCTCTGGCTTAATCGGCCGATTAGCAAATGCAAATCCGACTCATATGCTCTGACTCTGTATCGTCCTTGGTTTTAATCTTGAGTACAAATCGAGGTACCCCCGTCTAATTAGGAGGTCGAATTTATCAAATCGGTGGTCGTCGGTCATATTAAGCCACTAAATCGGCGGATTAACAACCCGACAAGACATTCTAATCGGTTTTCACAATAGATGAAGCTCTCTCAATACTTCTTGTATCGGATAGCGTACTTCTAAGGCGCTTATACCTGGAACATTGATACCGCAATTTATACAGTTAGCACAAGCCGATCACAGGTAGATCCCAGCTGGTCCTAGGATTACGCGGTACGTATTTTAATACGTACCGCGTAATCCTAGGACCAGCTGTGATCTATTTTGAAAAAATTGTAATCGGCACCCCGAATGTCTAATCGGATAGTAAATCGGTCAAGGGTCTGGCTAATTTAAATTTCGATGTCATATTTATCCTGGTAGTGCTGCTCTGTAGTACGAGAATTCCAATAGGGATAAATTCGAGGCTTCACATATGTGGTCCACAGAAAAAGTACTTTTAGCCAACCGCCCCTGTTTGCAATATTGACCGCAAGGAGGTATGAAATTGTAGCTCAAGATTTCAGCAATCAGAGACAATACCAGTTAACTAAATCCATACATTATTCAGCACATTTAACGCAAGCTACGAAGGTATCTCGACTTCGAGGTTGTGCCAGTTTAGTAGAGATTTAATTAGGGATTTTGCATTGAAATACCAGCTGTTTGCTCCCTTGCGCCTTAAATAATTATATTATCAACCAATCATGGAAGCTATACGCGAAATACTGTATGTTAATTGGTCAATGTGACACTCTACTAAACTGCTAATTCGTTACTAAAGTGGCAACTTGCCTTAAATAATTATAGCTCTGTAGGTGCCGACGTATAAGTCACCAGCTTTGTAGAGTGCAATATGGAAGGTGTCAAAGCATTTAGAGGTGGTGCACTACATAGTCAACTTGGTCGGAGCCTTACCAGGCATGAACGACTCCAAACTTCGGGCTATATTAGCCCAAAGGCGTCTCGGTAGCTCTTAGCCGCCGTCACTAAATTAGACAGAGTCGAGTCTCGCTAGCTTGTCCAAGCAGGATTACACACTCCTATTTGCTAACCGATTTCGCTTTGTAGCTAGTTTATACCCTTATGTACGGCAATTCAAATCCGATTAAGATAAATATGTTAGCTAATAAGGCGTGAACATTTCAACCGCGGTTCACAATAACTCAATACTCAAGTAGCTATTAATACAGGCGCCTAACTTTTGGTCCTTCCATTTGTCTCACAGACTGGGCTAAGTGGGGAAAATTTTGACAAAGCGTACCAAAGGTAACGTATACATAAAAAAGATTATTAATTGTAAAAACATTTTTTAAATTGGTCCGCAAATATATTTTAAAATTAATAACCCTTTTTTAGAAGTATACGTTACCTTTGGTACGCTTTGTCAATTTTTTCCACGAAGTATTGGTAAGTAGCGTGTGCGTTCTACTCATAATTCCCACGGACGGTTGGTGGCGTTATACGGCCGAGACACCAATCCGACCGAAGAGAAAGAAAAGAGGCGGGAGAGGAGGAGTTTGAGCCGCGGCAGCTGCTGCAAAGTTGCCTCAAGACACTTATTTGACGCCTTCGTGCCAAGCGTCTTGAGACTGATACTTTGACGCTGGTCTCGCCCGAAGTTTGTTCGCTTCACTGGACAGAAAGTCTTCTCTTTCTCGCTGCGCAGATCATGTTACCGGTATGTTCTTAGTGAAGTGCTAGTTGTTGCAAGGCTCGTCATGGGACGGCCGTTCCGTCCAGCACCTTTTGCCAGTCAAACTCGAGGGACACGTCCATTCCTTCAGCACAACGGAAGCAAACGAGCCTGTGAGCTCATGATACAGCAAAAGACGGCATTTCTAGCCTTTGCTTACCTTGGTGCACGGTATTGAGGATAAAGATGAGCGCGAGGCTGCCGACCAGCTTCCCCTGTACGCTCATCCAGTACTTCTCCAGCACAAACGCGAGCTGGTAAAAGGTCGAGAGCCCGTACTTGGCACGCACTAGGATGAACGGAAACGCTAGCGTGAACCCTTCAAAGGCGGCGTACACGGCGCAGTTCGTCGCCGCCTGCCAGAAGCTCTCCTCGGACAGTCCGATGAAGTTCGGGTTGTACTTGGCGTACGGCATGTGATACAGCACCAGCGTATAGATCCCATAGAGGACGGTGCACACGAACTCCGCGTATTCAGCGAAGACCAGTACTTCAGACGCGAACACAAGCTGCAGGGCTTGCGAGAGCAGCTTGGCGTGCTGACGGTGGGAGATGTCAACATCATCGATCGTCGTCGTGTGGAGCCGCTTGGCTTCTGGGGGTGCAGCTTGTTCACGAGTGGATTTGGCGGTTAAGTCGGGCTCGATCGTGTCGAGGTCCAGCATGTTCTGCGAGCCGTTGGTCAGACACGCGATCCTGGACATCCTTCTGGAGTTGTTAACGTTGAGTTTCTCGGGCTTGGCGAAGACGTCGGACGGGTTCAGCAGCACGGAGCTACCTTTGCGGGAGACGCCCATAACCGCTTGCTTCGGGTCGAGTTTGGCGAGACCGCGCGCTTTACTGGAGCTGAGAGCCCCCGGGAACAGCGCTTCTTCGATGATGCTGACTGCCGTCTTTGTGGTCTGGCGCCCGTCGACGACGAACTTGTGCGCCACGTACATCTTGACTTCCACCACGGCCTGGACGAAGTCTACGACGATCATGAGGCCACCGATTACCGGTAACCGTGCGCTCTGAAGACACGCGTTCTGGAAGAGCGACCCGAAGATTTCCACGACGCACAGTGTTACGTCCAGGCTGATGTCTTCGAGGCAGCGGGAGAAGCGCCAGATGAAGCGCTTGATCACAGCGCGCAGGACGGGGAACGCGACGGTGATCACAGCTTGCACGTGCGCGGGGACGTGCGCGAAGACCAGAGTCACACCTTCGAAGATGAAGAGCGTGGATGCCTGGGCGCAGAAGAGCGTGGATGCCTGGGCGCAGAAGAGCGGGAGGTACTCGACGATCTCGTCTCGATAATACAGCCACTTCCTGCCGATCACCACGCGGTGGAAGAAGAGCAGGCTCATAGCGTACGTCGGAATGCCTAGAAGGCAACGGAACAGGATGGGGAACCTCCACAACGCGCCCAAGACGAGCATCGCCAGCTCGTTTAAGCCCGCAGTGAGGAACGCGACGATAACGCACTGCTTGTGGGAGTAGGCAGAGTTGGGCAACATGAGAGAGGCTCGGATGAAGAACATCAGCGCCAGAGTCATGGTCGTGTAGGCGAGCCACGACTGCACGAAGAAGCCAGGGTTCCCCGTCAGTCCAAGAAGGGGGCTTTGCAGCGGAATAGCTGCCAGCAGGATCATGATGAGAAGACCAGGCAGTGGCGTGAGAGCGATGACGGCGAACACGCGTCCTGGAGTCGCAACTTGCTGGTATTCTTCGAACGCGAGCATTTTCTCGACGGAGTATCGGCCCAAGTACATGTGCTCGGTCTTCCAGTCGTGGTAGCGGCGTAATATTCGCCTTGCTCCCCGGTGGGAAGGGCTCTTGCGGATGGACGGACGTCGCACTTGACCCCTCGCCATGGACGCAGTGCTGCTTTTCCTCCGACCTGTTGCAGCGTCTGGATTTTGAATGTTCGCAACATCGGTAGTCAACTTGGGCGTCTCCTCTTCCGGCTGGTTCAATTGAGATGCGGTCTCCCCTGGAGTGTTCGAAGCTTGCATCGTCGTGGCTGTGTTTCGCAACAGTGCAGGCGGACCTTGGGTGAGCGAGTGTGATTTTTTAATGGGGCTGGTCGTGTCAGAGTGGTAGGAATCGCTCAAATGCCCAGATAGTGGACAAGAACTTATCAACTAAAAATATGAAAACGCGATCGTTCTCGTCTTGTCCACGGAGGATTGCCTACCAATTGGTGTGGGGGGAAGCCTCAAAATGCTCTTACAAATCTACATTGGGGATTCGAGCTTTTGCCGGTCGAACTGCAAGCAATTTTACAAAATACTTCAAATTTTACAGTGCAGAGCAACAAGTCTATTGCATATCACATAGCTGTTCCGTCAAGAACCTTCTGCCAGTCGAAATGTAGCGATAAATCCATGCCTGCAAATTGATGGGAGAGACATGTTGTTAGTCACCAAAATATATCAAACGCAGCTGCTAAGCTAACAAACGTGCCGTGGTGCACAGTGTTGAGGATGAATATGAGCGAAAGACTGCCGATCACCTTCCCTTGGACCCCCATCCAGTATTTCTCCAGCACGAACGCGAGTTGGTAGAAGGTGGAGAAGCCGTACTTGGCTCGGGCGAGAATGAACAGAAACAACAGCGTGAATCCCTCAAAGACCGAGTACACAGCAGAATTCGTCAATGACGCCCAGAAACACCCCTCCGACAGGCCAATGAACGACAAATTGTACTTGGCGTACGGCGTGTGGTACAGCGAGAGCGTGTAAACGCCATAGACGACAGCGCACACGAACTCCGAGTACTCGGCAAACACCAAAACTTCCGAAGCAAACACCAGCTGCAGAGTTTGAGACAGCAACTTGGCGTGCTCTCGGTGTGAGATTTCGATATTGTCGATCGAAAGTTTCGGCGTCGAAGCTGGTACCGCATTTGGGGCTGAGAACGGGAGCGACTGAATAGAAGCCAGGCTAAGCGCGTCTGTATCTGATGACAGACACGCGATCTTGGAGGACGTCCTGCGGTAGTTTCTAGACCCAACACTTTTGGAGAATCTGGTCCACGCATTGGCCGAGTACATCATGACCGAGCGGCCTCTCAGCATCGAGGCCTCCTCGACCTCCTCACTGCGTCCCAACTTCTCCAAGTTCCGCGCTTCTCTCGGAGTGGAAGTGCAATCGGCTCGACCACTTTCAATAATCTTGGCGGCAGTTAGAGTGGCCTGGCTGTTGCAACATCAAATTCGTGCAAGCATTACTCCGGTGATATGCGGCCAGCGAGAGCGACGGACGTACACACGCGGGAAAAACATCTACTGCGCATGCTCATTTCAATCCAGCTGAGAGGACAGGCAACGAGTACGACCGTGGCTTCCAGCCAGCTACAACTACTTCACAGCACCACAGACGAGACCAAGACGATAGCCCTACATGTAGTCCGAGCTCCTAGCTCTAGTTCCTTCTCATTCTCACTTTTACCTGCTAACCAACAAACAACTTGAGTCTCCTACATCGCCGCGCTCTTCAGTCGACTTCCTAGCCTTCCATCAGGTTATGAGCCCAAGACACGACTCGCACTAAAGAGTGAACAAGTCCTACGACCCGGCTGTACTGAAGACTATCGCCCCTGAAACCAAATACCTGTGTTTCCTGATACCCTTGTTACCTGATACCTGATTCCTGCGACGTGTGAGAATCTGCGACGTGTGACAACTTCAACCTGTTGCAGTCGTACAAGCGTCCAGGCTACCCATCCGGAGATATGAATCCGGACGATGAGATGAAGCGCCCCATCCAGCGGAACCTTCAGCAAGAGCTGGAGGAGGCTGCCTTTGAAACCCCAGTGAAACCGGAGCCGCCAAGCGACCAAGTGAGTGCTGAGGTCGCGTACCTGCTAGCAGAAGTCGCCAAACTGCACCAGCAAGCCGCTGCAGCATCTCGTGTGGCCGCCGACCTCGAGAAACTAAGGGCGGACTTTGCTCAGATGATGAGCCGACAAGCGGCTGCGCAGCCGAGGCTCCAGGCGGAGCTAGCTGAGCTCAGGGCCCATGCCAAGGCCACGCCTGAGCTGTATACCGAAATCTCCCAGCTCAAATCCAAGCTGGAAGCGTTCAGAGCCGGTGCGACTGCAGCGCCACCTGGACAGAGGCACCTACACGCACGACACCCAAAATAAAGGACGTGCTGTGCCGCAAATTTGGCGGGAACGAGGTGTACCCTGGCCTCGGTTCCGGGTTTGAGGATTTTATCCTTGAATACGAGCAAGCGATCTCCACCGAGTCGCTCCTCAACCACTCGATTTGGACCTCACAGATCAAGGCGTCTGTGCTGGTTAACTTCTTGGAGGACAAAGCCGCGCGATTCTTCCACTCAAACGTGACGCAGTGGCGCGTAGAAAAGGCGGACTTCAACTACATCGACTTCAAGGCTAAGCTCTGTGCTGAGTTAGGGTGCAAGTTGAACCAAGTGCAACTGTACAAGCGCTTGACGTCCTCCAAGCGTCCACAAGACTCGTGGACCGAATTCCTGGACTACTTGAAGTATGTGAACCGTCTCATGACAGGCGATCACAGTCTGTTACTCTTGGAAACGTTCTGTGTACACGCTTGTCCGGAACTATCCAATACCCTAACCGCCCAAATCGACCGCTCCAACCTCAATTACCTGTTGGAAGCTGATCGCATCCTGTCCCTCTTAGTGGACCTACGCGGTGACGGGCGGAAGCGTGGCCAGCCAGCGCGAGCTCAATCCTCCTCCGAGCAGCCGGATAAGAAACGGAATGATGGGCACCACCAACAGAACCAGCCGCGCGGAGCCAGCCACTACAGACAGAACTCGCGTAACAACAATGGCCAAGCTCATGCCGCGTCGGCAAAGCCCGCTGGCAAGCTAGTGTGTATGTCTGTGACGAGGAAGGCCACCGCGGACCGGCATGCCCAGAGCTGAAGAAGGTGGAGGCTGCGGTGAAACGCCAAGGTCAAGCTCACAGCGCTACTACCACGAACGCCGACACTGTCTGCAACAATGCTGAAGAAGGCCACTTGTGACTTGCAGCCTCGACCAGCCCGAATGGCCGGCCGCTCCCAACTGCCGAGTGGATCCTCGACTCTGGTGCAACGCACCACTTGTGCACCGACCGAAATCTGTCATTTGGTGTGGAGCCTGCGAAATTGACTATCAAGGTCGCGAACTCTAAAACAATTGTGTCTTCTCTCAAGGGGAGCTGTCTACTCCAGATTTCAGTCGGCGTGATCAAGCGCAGCATTCAACTTACAAATGTGTACTACTGTGAGCAAGTCGCGCGAAATCTACTGTCGCTGTCGCAGCTCCGGTCCCGAGGACTCCGTTTCATGTTTGCAGAGACGTGTACATTTCTCTCGCCGGACGGGACCGCCGTCGGTGAAGCCATCGAGCAAGGAGGTCTCTGGGTCGTTAACGCGACTACGATGGGCGCTCTCGGCTCTGACGCGCAGGCACTCTTCGTCAACGTGAAGAAGGACTCGCTGCAGCAGTGGCACGAGAGACTCGGACACGTGAACTTCCGGGACTTGCTGCGAATGGTGAACAACAACCTGGCCAATGGCGTCGAGCTTGCAAACAAGAAGATCACCTTTTGCGTGGCCTGCGCGGAGGGCAAGCAGTTTCGGAGCGCGCAGCCCACCCAGGATACCTCGGACTCGGCTCCCACGGATGAACTCGGCGCGGTGATATGCATGGACTTGAAGGTGGACCTGAAGCCCGATCGCAACGGCCATCGTCATGTACTAACCATCGTGGATCATGCGTCTAACTACAACCAAGCCTTCCTGCTGCACACAAAGGACGAGACATTCGACAAATTTTTACTCTTTGCAAATGAGTTCCAGCGGCAGTACGACCTCAAGATCAAGGTCCTTCGTACCGATGGCGGGGGAGAGTTGTTGAACTCGCTGTTTAAAGAATATGCCGCTCGGAATGGGATCCGGCTGCAGACCACGCACCCGGACACGTCCGCGTCCAATGGGAAAGCTGAGCGCTTCCACAGGACTTTGATGAACTCCGCACGTGCCATACTCTGGGCGTCGCCGCTGCCTCAACGCTACTGGGGAGATGCTGTGCTTTACGCCTCCTATATCCGCAATAGGGCCCCAACCAGAGCAAACGCCGACTACAAGTCTCCGGTCGATGTGCTGACCGGAAAACACCCTCGCGTCTCCCACATCCTCAAGTTTGGGTCTAAGTGCACGGTATTCGTGCCTCGAAAGTCCGGCCGAAGCCTGCCGAAACGTGCTGAAAAAGCTATTGTGCTTGGCATCTCGACCACCCAAAAAGGCTACCGGCTCCTGCTTCCAAGAACCAAGCGGATCATCACCTACCCCGACCTCCAAAACATCGACAAGCTGGACATACATAACCCCCTTACAGCAGAGGTACTCCGTGAGCTTCTCGACGAACACTTCGACGCAAGCGCCACCAGCACTGACACTCCTGTCCGAACTACAGAGCAAGAAGGCACGCTAGAATGCAACGACCAAAGTGAAGAAGAATGATGAAGCCGGAGTTCCTGACGACTTCGGACGGCCAATCCCCGCTGGAGTCCTCCGACTTGTCTTTGGAAGGCGCGAGCACAGTGAAGTCACTGACTTTGAGCTGCCACAGTCGTTTATCGACGCTTTTGCGGGGCCGGCGTACGCCATGATGACAATTAAGGCCGCGGACCGTGAAAAGGAACCCCAGTCAGTGGCAGAGGCAAAGCAGAGCAAGCATTGGGCCGAGTGGAAAGCCGCCATGGACAAGGAGCTTGCTGAGCTGGACGCCAATGGCACCTGGGAACTGGTCGAAGCACCCGACGGAGCCAACATCGTCACGTCCAAATGGGTCTATAAGATGAAATTCAACAGCAACGGCGAGCTGGAGCGGTTCAAAGCCCGCTTGGTGGTACGCGGTTTACCCAGAGGTACGGCGTCGACTTCGAGTCCACATTCTCGCCCGTTTTGAAGATCTCGAGCTTACGGTTCATTGTGATGCTAGCTGCCATCTGGAAGGTCAAGCTCCGCCAAGGTGACGTGCCGAATGCGTACCTAAAGTCAGCCCTGGACAAGCCGATCTACCTCAGGCCACCCACTGGAACAAAAACACCAACGACCATCGCGTGTGGCTGCTCCTAAAAGGGCTTTACGGCTTAAAGCAGAGCGGAAAGCTGTGGAACGACCTCATCGACTCGTTCTTACAAGCGCAGGGTTTCCAGAGATCTCGCATGGACCCCTGTCTTTACTTCCTTTGGCAACGCGGCGCACTCTGTGTTTTGGGGCTTTACGTGGACGACATCCTCATCGTGAGCCAGAACCCGACCCTATCTGATCAAGTGATGGCGAAACTCACCGAGCGATTTGATATCAAGGACCTCGGCGACGCTCAAAAGCGCCTCGGGATCTGGATTGGTTACTCTACGGATGGGATCACTATTCACCAGCAGCAGACTACGGATCTGCTCGCCAAAATGGGGATGGACCAGTGCAAAGCAGCTTCGACCCCTATGGACGTCAACCATCGCTTCTTCGAGGAGAACGGAGACCCATTTCTTGACACCACACTCTACCGTGAAGCGATTGGTAGCCTGCTCTGGATATCAAACTGCACGCGTTCCGACATCGCCACTGCGACCAACTGCCTCTCTCATTTTGTTTCGTGCCCAGCATTGGTGCACTGGAACGGGGTAAAGCGGATTCTCCGGTATCTGCGTGGTACGACCGACGTTGGGCTGTTTTACAAGTTTGGGAACGCCATCGCGTCAAAACTACAGCCAATCATCTACTCCGACGCAAACTGGGCTGGCGATTCGTCAAGTGCAAAGTCAACGAGCGGCTCAGTTCTCCAGATCAACGGCATGACCATCTCGTGGTCGTCGCGGAAGCAAACTACCGTGGCCCTGTCAACTATGGAAGCGGAATATGTCGCTGCGTGCTCTGCTGTTCAAGACTGCATCGCGATTCACCAACTCCTTCAAGAGCTCGGGCTGATGCAGCAGACCGATGAAATCCTACTTCGCGTAGATAACCAGTCAGCGATAAAATCGATGGAGAACGCAGTCACTACGCAGCGCACCAGCCACCTACCCATCAAGTACCATTTCATCCGGGATGCAATCGCCAACAAGAAAGTTCAAGTGGAATATTGCCCGACTCAGCAGCAGCTTGCCGATATCTTCACGAAAGCCACCGATCGCATCATTTTCGGACGAATGTGCAGCATGCTTCGCCTCACAAGTCATGCTTGAGGGGGAGTGTTGCAACATCAAATTCGTGCAAGCATTACTCCGGTGATATGCGGCCAGCGAGAGCGACGGACGTACACACGCGGGAAAAACATCTACTGCGCATGCTCATTTCAATCCAGCTGAGAGGACAGGCAACGAGTACGACCGTGGCTTCCAGCCAGCTACAACTACTTCACAGCACCACAGAGGAGACCAAGAGGATAGCCCTACATGTAGTCCGAGCTCCTAGCTCTAGTTCCTTCTCATTCTCACTTTTACCTGCTAACCAACAAACAACTTGAGTCTCCTACATCGCCGCGCTCTTCAGTCGACTTCCTAGCCTTCCATCATGTTGCAAGTAGGAAAACCTTGCAAGCATTACTCAGCGGTGATATGTTACCAATGAGGTGATATGTGTCATTGCGAGTTCTCATTCTGTCCAGCAGTAGGACAGGCAACAAGTGTAGCTAGGTTAGAGATCTAGCCTCACGTCTCCAAGGGAATGCCCCTATCCATGTCCGTACGGAGCCCCTGCTCCAAGTGTGTTCTCATTCTCAAATATACCTTCCTCAAAGGACTCGAGTCTCCGGCGCTGTCAACTCTTCGAAGTGGTCTTCCTTTTATGACCTCCTTTAGGTTATGAGCCCAACCTACGTCAACTACTGAAGAAGTTTCGTCATACGACTCCGGCAGTGCGGACTACGAGCTTGGTGCCGACGAGTACTCGTGACACCTTCACTACCTGCGACGTACGAGAATCTACGGCGTGTGACGACGATAGCGTGTTGCACCCGTAACGTCCAGGCTTGCTATCCGACATCGATACCGATAAGGAAGCAAGAACAACAAGTCCCGGCGGAGCGAATACCAGCCCATCAGTGACGACCCCAGAACCAATTGATAACCTGCGGCCTACGAAATTCTGCGGGAGGCGATGACTAGGACGTGTTGCACCCGTAGCGCCCAGGGCCTGGACTCCAGGCAACCATCCGAAGATAAGGCATCTTCAGATCCCGACAAGGGATACCAACGGCGGAGCTTCAAGAACAGAGCCCCAGCCACCAGTGAAAAACCCTCGGCTAACACCGAATCAACCGATGGGCAGCCCGATGCCGAGCCAGCACCATCAAGACCGCGTGGACAAGTTTCTGATATCGCAGCGCCAAAGGAAGAATCGAAACAGCTACGGTCTACAAGCGATGCATTTCAAGGAGCAGCAAATGAGCTGCGAGCCGTTGACTTCATCAACCCAGCTTTCTCATGATGTCTAGTGAGTACGAGCTCCAGTGGAAGATTGCGATCTTGCTACCACTCTGCCACAGTGCAGTTCCCAAGTACCCGAGTACCATGCTTCACCTTCGACGTTATGCTTGACGGGGAGTGTTGCAAGTAGGAAAACCTTGCAAGCATTACTCAGCGGTGATATGTTACCAATGAGGTGATATGTGTCATTGCGAGTGCTCATTCTGTCCAGCAGTAGGACAGGCAACAAGTGTAGCTAGGTTAGAGATCTAGCCTCACGTCTCCAAGGGAATGCCCCTATCCATGTCCGTACGGAGCCCCTGCTCCAAGTGTGTTCTCATTCTCAAATATACCTTCCTCAAAGGACTCGAGTCTCCGGCGCTGTCAACTCTTCGAAGTGGTCTTCCTTTTATGACCTCCTTTACTGGCGTCCGTCGACGATGAACTTGTGTCGCAGATACATCCGCGTCTCCAGAACGGCCTGGAAGAAGTCTACGATGATGATTAATGCAGTGACTCCAGGCGACCGCGCGTTCTGGATGCAGATGTTCTGGAACAGCGACCCGAACAGCTCCACCACGCACAACGTCACGTCGGTGCTGATGTCTTCGAGGCAGAAGGCGAACCCCCAAATGACTCGCTTGATCACGGACCGAACCATGGGAAACAAGGCGGTGATCGTCGCCTGCGCCCAGTCCGGGACGTTCTCGAAGACTATCGCGATGCCCTGGAAGATGATCAGAGTGGACGACTGCGCGCAGAGCAGCGGGAGATACCCAAGAATCTGCTGGTTGTAGTGGCTCAACCTTCGCCCCAGCACCAGTTTGTGGGAAATGACGAAAAATACCATAAATGACGGAATCCCCAGCACATCTCAGAAGGGAGTGGGGAATCTCCAGTACATCGCTACAATGAGCATGACGAGTTCATTTAGACACGCGGTGGTGACCAAGATAAAGAGTGCCTGTCGGTGCGAGTAGAAGGACTGCGGCAGTCGCAGGGAGCAGCGGATAAAGAGCAGCAGACTGAAGGCCATGACGCTGTACGACAGCGCAGACTGGATGAAGAACGTGGCGTTCCTCGTCACCCCAAGCAGCGGACTGTTTAGAAGGATAGCTGCGAGCATCAGCATCATGACAAGGCCAGGGACCGGAGTGAGCACGATGATGGCGACTACGCGTTTGACTGGCGTTGTCTGCCGATATTCCTCGAAGGAAATGAGCTTATCCGTGGAGTAGCGCCCCAAATACTGATGCACGTTCTTCCAGTCGTAATAGCGACGAAGCAAACGCCCTCCCCGCGTGATGACACCGCTTTTTTTAATCGTTGACAGACGCGCTGGAACTGCTTCGGTGGACTTTGTTGTCGCCATTCTTTCGACGCGGCGAGGAGAAAGTTGGACGCCTTAATAGGTGGTCCTGCCAGTGTAGACGTCCGCGACTCCGTGGCTGTGAAGCTCAGAGCGAGTTATGGCGAATCGTGATGACGATATTCGGCCGACACCATTGCTCTTATCTCTTTTAGAACGAGAATAGCCGTGGCCAAGCGAATGCCGATTAAAATACGTGAATAGGTCTGCCGATCTGAGGACATCAAGCCGGTAAACTGCTTCAACACGATCCCGAAAAATAGGTTTCTTTAGTTTTTTGTTGTTTCTTTACATTCGACAAAGTTTCCGCGGCTCAAAATCGACCCAATCCGACCTCATCTGAAACCTGATGCGTCGGATCCTAGGGCGGATAATGCAGAAGCTATTGAAGCCAAAATCAATCAATTCATTGTTTTCTGGACAGCTATTCGTCGATAGTGCCATTAAGAATGCCCTCCCAGTTGAACGTAAGAGATAGATCCATGCCTGGAGGCAATACCCACGACAGTCAGATAATATCCCTGGACAGCGCAGAGCCTTCGAAAGAAAACTTACTTTGGTGAACGGTGCTCAGATTAAAGATGAGCGAAAGACTACCCACCATCTTCCCTTGCACAGTCATCCAGTATTTTTCCAGTACAAACGCCAACTGATGAAAAGTTGAGAGACCGTACTTTGATCGAACCAGCAGGAAGAAAAGCACCATCGATACACCCTCAAAGGCTGCGTACGCGAATGAATTGGCGATTGAGGCTCGGAACTGATGCTGCGATAGTCCGATGAAAAATAAATTGTACCGAGCGTACGGGAGGTGATACAGCGCTGCTGTGTACAAACCGTAAAGTACCGAGCACGCAAACTCAGCGTACTCGGCAAACACCAGCACCTCCGAGGCAAACACAAGCCGCAGAGCTTGAGACAAGAGCTTGGCGTGGTGTCGATGGGAGATCTGGACGTCATCAATTACGGTTGACAACTTTGGTGCAAATGCTTCAAGTGAGACGTTGGGTCGAGCTACTGGTTCATCGTCGTTTGGTTTCGAATCGTTTCCATCCGATACGATGTCGTCCAGGTCGATAGCCTCCGCGTTGACACTTCTATCGGATGCGGCAGCGATCTTCGACATGTTCTTGCCATGGATCGACACTCGTTTCGGCTTTCTGATCACGCCCAGTTGAGAAACCATGACGGACCTGCCCGTATGCGTCACACCCACGACCGTGCTATCTGGGCGTTGCTTGGACAACCGATTCGGCTTCTCAGCGTTCACTACGCCGAAGTGAAGCGCTCCTTCGAGGATTTTGACAGCGGTTCGTGTGGTCTGCCGTCCGTCCACTACAAATTTGTGCTCCAGATACAAACGGGTCTCAATTATGGCCTGACGCTTACGCCGAAAGATCGGGCATTTTGCAGACAGACATTCTGAAATAGTGAGCCGAAAATCTCAATGACGCAGACCCCGACGTCCGTGCTGATATCTTCCAGGCAACTCGAAAGCCTCCAAATCACTCGCTTGAGTGCAAAACGCAGGAGGGGGATACCAACAGTGATCACGGCTTGTCCCCACACCGGCGAGTGTGCGAAGAGCACAGCGACGCCCTGGAAAATGACCAGAATCGAGATCTGAGCGAAAAAGAGCTGCAGATACATCCACTTATCTATCCGGACATCTCGCAGTCTCAGTCGCAGCACAACTCTGTGCAGTAATACGAGTAAGATCAAGAACGGAGGGATGCCGATGACTCCGCGGAATGGGATGGGGAACTCCCAGATCAACGCGACTCCAATCATTAGAACTTCGTTCAGTGCCGCTGCAATAACTGAGATAACCGCACTTTGACCATGTGAATATACTGCAAGGGGAAGGCCCAGTGAGCAGCGGATGAACAGCAGCAAACTGAAGATCATGGCGACGTGGATGAGGAACGACTGTACGAAGAACGCGGCGTTGCCCTTCACTCCTAACACGGGTATTTTCAGCGGGATCGCAGCTACCAGGAGAATGATCAACAGTCCTGGCAGTGGAGTTAGGAAGATAACGGCGAATACGCGCGTGTAGCTGGCCACACGGTGATATTCTTCAAACGCGAGCATCTTCTCGATTGAATTTCGCCCCAAATTCATGCGGTCGGACTTCCACTCGTTAAACTGGCGCGTGATTCTTCTTCTCGTCCGCTCCAGGGAACTTTTACGGGTCGATTGGCGCCGCAATGGGGCCGTGGAGGTCGACTGGTCTCGGGCTGTTGTCAAGGTTGAACGTTCGGCACTCGAGGCTCTATGAATCCCACGTGGGGGCTTTTTAGCAGGCTTCGGGTGGTTGACTGAGTTTGGTTGTGCGTGGTTCTGCTCCATCTCGGTCTGGAGGTTATTGTTTGGGGGACTGCGAGGTGCGTTGATGTCACGAGTCATCGATCGTCCGATGTGAAGGCGATGAACCAAGCTTCTTGCTCAGTCCACGACCAACTCGAACGAAAAAAGAATGTGGTTGTCAAACAAGAGGTTGGCCAAGAATACGAACTAACTATTCGGACGCGAAACTCTGAAATAGGCCACCAACACAATTGCAATGCTAAAACCTACGCGTGACATCACAGCAACAAGCAACAAACTCATGTCCCCAACTGCTAGCAAAATAGTTTTCCCCGCTGCAGAAAAAAAGAAGCGGTCGAGCAAATAGAATGCTAAAATGTCGGTTTCAGTGTTGTCTGCATTGCGCTGCATCCTTTTCCTTCCGTATCTACACAGCTCATGATCAGTTTTGAATCAAACCTTTTGATGGACTCATCGCTGTAGTTGATCGACAGCTGCCTCTGATCACACACGCCACGTTGTCAGAATTTGCTGGTCACTCACTCCGCATCTCATTCCGCAAATTCGCCTACAGTACAGAACTCAACTCGCCGTGTCCAAGCAGAATGCGTTCAAGCTTTCTCGTTCTGCTGCTTTTAGCCATCCTGCACGCAAGCAGAGCTGCTGCACCGACGTCTCCGCCCGTATTCCAGCAAGGCCACCCTGAATTGGGCGACAACAGCGAGAGAAGGTTGCTGCGGAGCTTCAGAACTGACGAAGAAAGGGCCGCCAGCCTCGCTGAAAAGCTCAAAAAGCTGCTCGGTTTGAGTAAAACTGCCGCTACCAATGCCGTGGACGATTTCGCCGAAGCGATTATCCAAAAGATGCTGAAGAGCGACAAGTTCAACCGCAACATGTTCAAGAAGTGGGATAAATACTCCTTGGAGCAGATCAAGACGAAAGTGGACCGCACGAAATACGCGGAGCCGCTGTTGGAGTACGCCAAGAAGTTCCGATCCTACAAAAAGTGGAAATAACTTCGGAAAGTCCAGGAGAAACAGCGTCTGATGGCATTATTTAGGCTCAATAACTACCCAAGTAGGACGCTTACGGATTATGGCAAGTTGAGCTCGTAAGGTAAGCTGCGAAGTGAGATTGAGAGTTAGAGTTCATCCTGACAAACATCGTTCCTACCAGCGACCTCCTTGGGCAGCAACTCCTGGGCTACTGCTGCTCCAATAGCTGCTGCTGCTGCTTGCCGGCAGCCAGTCCTCGGTGCTGCTGCGTGCCGCCTGCCAGTCCTCGCTGCTGCCGCGTGCCGCTCGTCCACTGCCGCTGTCGAGTGCTGCTCTGCTGCCTCCAATGCACGCGCCTCGCTTGGTCATTCGCTGGGCTTCTGCTCCAGGAGCTCAGCGTCGAGATTGGCATCGGCACCGGTGCCTGGATAGGCACCGGGATCGGATCCTGCCAGCGCGCAGTGTCGTCTGGTGATGGCGCTCTGACCGCGCCCAACACGGATCAATGATGGCTTTGGTTTGGCTCCGACACTGAGCTTTGGAGATGTGGCCGTCCCAGGGCGTTAGTAGGGTTAGTTGCACTGCAGTCCCCAGGGTTGGTCAAAGCACGCGATCTCCTGGACTTGGCTCTTGCCCGTCACTTGGAGGCGCCGGTGCTCGTCGAGAACTTCCTCGAGTCTGCGGGCTCGGATCGGCAAGCAATGAGTACAGCAGAGGGCCCCCATGCAGACCATCTCCTTGTCCCCCGACGTCTCGTTGAGAGGCTTGAGGACGATAGCGTTGGCCTAGGCCTCGGCGTCCCCCTCGAGCTTGCGCGTAGCATGGCAGGTTGACTGGCCGTTGAGGCAGATGACGCTGTCCGTGAGGTCCTCCGACGGGCCCAGGAAGAGCGACGCCTTGGTCCATTCCTGGCCAGCTGCGAAGATGGCGGGGCCGGTGATGGCGAGGACGAGGGCGGCGAGGAACGAAGTCTTCTGCATGGTGCGGACTTGAGTGGTTGGAAGCGGATTTGAAAGTGACCAGGCGAGAGGTGCTAGACACTGTTAGCACAGTTCACGCTGGCGGTTTGTCTTTGGTCCACTCGCTGCGACCATCGACTTCTTGTGGAGGATCCGACGCTACCTTGAATGACCCAACAGTACCGCGAGAGGTTTAAGCGCTCGAGATCTATTGCCGTCTTCGAGGTACTGGCGTCTTTTGTTCCCCTCGGTGACACTAGGAGCCAAACAGCACCAAAAAACAAAAAAAACGTTTCAGGAGTGAGAAAGAAAAGTTGTCGAGAGCGTATACTGTTCTGTAATCGAAGTAAGCGTTGCATTTGTCTGGCGGCCGAATGCCCTGACAGGGATTTCTTGTACTAAGCTACCTAAGTAGCACAAATATTTTCATATCAAAGAAAGCAGCGTAGGACGTTGCATGCATGCAGACATTTTACTGCACTTTAAGGTTTACCTTCAAAAAAAGTTTTCTTCTCGTCACATATATTTGCCTACGACTGAATACCGAATTTGTTTTGTAGAGGGATACACCCTACCGGAGCTAAAATACCAGACGCCCAGATGTATTTATCAAAATTACTAAACTGAGCACTCTACCTCAAGTCTCTCAAGGCCGAATCTCACCAATGCGGCTGCCGACACAGCCCAACTTATTAGCTTGTTCGCCGCCACCACCCCAACTTGAGATCGAAGTTCAGTAGAGCAAGCTTTGCGTTTGTTCCTGCCGCCGACAGAAGCACCCCACCACCACTCTTCCCCCTTGATACTTTTCTGTAGGTAGGCCCGGAAAGAACGTATCTTCAGCGAAACAAACATTGCAGTGTAGTCTCAGGTGCTCGACCATAGCCTTCTTCATTGCAGCAGTGTAAAATGGTAGGGCCCGCGTCGTTTTCCACCTGCCTTGACCTCCAGACAGGCGAGGGTGACTTGGTAGCGCCCGCGCCGTTGCAGAAATGATCGCGCGCTGAGCGGCCGAGAGTGCAAAAATTACTGGCTTGAAACTGATGTATCCCTCAACAAGTCAAGCCCTGTCAATCTGAAGACACAATTGTGATTGGCTAATACTATCCTGTATACTATACGTGGGTGTATCCCTCTACAAAACAAATTCGGTACCCCCATCCCGAAGTTGTTCTTATCAAACGGCATATATTCAACTCTTGCTCTACAGATGGCGAACAGAGAACTTTGTTTTGATGTGAAAGAACTGCTCTTTGAAAATACACTAATAGTCGCTGGTGACAACACAATTTCCATGCTAGTAATGTTGTCACTGGTGTCGGGCGTTTCCCTAGAGTAAGAATCCACAAGATCAAGAAAAACAAGTGGTATTAACAAACGCGTGAAGTAAAACAGATCGCAACTTAAGTTTTGGTAAGGATTAATCTAGGCTGAGACCAAGACAACCCCTTATTGTCGCCCCATAATATGAGGATGGTTAGTGTATTGCAATACATAATTATTTTGTGAAGACTGGTGCTAGCACATACAATCTTCGAAGGTATTTTTTTACTGCATAAAATGAATTATAAGCTAGTCGTTTCTTTTAGTGCTCTACGCTCTGAACATCCAATTTCCAAGTCCTATACTGACGATATCAGATCCAGCAAGAGAAAATCGAGAAGGCTCTCGAACTCAAGTCGTATTCTCAATATTATCAATAGCACCCTAACGGAAAATATTGGCTGGGTGGCCGGTGCAATCCCTTATTGGCCCCCACCCCACCTCTACAATAAAACCCCTTTCAGATTTACACTATATACACGTCGTGGAGAGGTCTTCAGTCGTAGCCGTTAGGCCTGAAGAGTCGAAGGCTCGATCGAATACTCTTTACGCCGCATTCTAGCGAATCCTGCAGCGACATCCCGCTTGAGTAAGAAGAGCTTCGAATAGATGCAGGGAACGAAAGGCGCCAGTGGCACGAAAAGCGGCAGTGTGTGGATGTACTTGAAACACACCATGAGCATTGGATGAAGCACCGGATCACTTGGAGGAAGTGCATGTAGATGGTGCCGACGAATGGGTGATGGGAAACCTGAGCGTGAACGCTGAGAGGGTGTACTCATGTGCTCACTTTCAAACCCACCACCAACTGCTAAAGTCCTCACAACTTCACCATGCAGAAGACCCCGTTCCTCGTGGCTTTTGTTCTTGTCATCACCGGCTCCGCTATCTTCGCTGCGGGCCAACCCGGCGGCCAAGGCACAAAGGAGGAGAACCAAGTTCTCAAGGCCTTCAACGAAACGTTGGGGGAAGATGCTGACAAATAGCCTCGTCCGCGATGTGAATGGGCCAAGGGCATCACATTAGGGACTTCTACGTCTACGAGGCCAACCACTGAGCGAAATGACCGCTTGTTCCTTAATACATTCAGCCGTCTTTCGTGAAATTTGACCTCTTTTCGTTGAGCTTGAAATTTCAATTGAAAGGCGTTGAGGGCTTTTTCACACTCGATAGTTTTGCATTTTCTGTTTGGTACTGTAAGCAACATTTGAAGGGGCTGTATCACTTTATCTTTTCTCAAAGCCAGCAGCTTCTTTTCTTCTGGTGGATCTCTCGTCACTCTGTTTTTTCTGCCCTAGCATTCATCATTAAAGGTCCTCGATCGTAGCTTTTAGCTGTGATCTAATATACATCCAGACAGACCGCTACCCGCGGTTGATGCAAGCTTCTGGTGGGGTTGCTGCCTTCCTGCTCGTCCTGCCACTTAAGCGGGTGGTTAGACCTCGATCACTTCCCAAAACGCCTCGAGCAGCACAAGTCTTCTCAACCAGCCACCGCTCCACCATGCAGATGCTGCTCTTCCTCGCCACTCTCGTCCTCGCCATCGCCGGCTCGGCCATCTTCGCTGCGGGTCAAGACACGACCAAGGCGACGCTCTTCATCGGGTCGTCGCAGAACTCCGCGGAGAGCGTCGTGTGCCTCAACGGCCATTCGACCTGCCGTGCTCTGAGCGCGCTCGAGGAGGAAGAAGCCGAGAGCATCGTCCTCAAGCCGCTCAACGAGACGTCGGGGGACAAGGAGATCGTCTGCTTCGGCAAGTACTGCTGCACCCGCTGCTACCAGTACCGCAACCGCAGACTGGAGGAGGTCGTCGACGAGCACCGCCGCCTCGAAGTGACGGGCGAGAGTCACGTCCAGGACATCGCGTGCGTCAGTGAGCCCTGGGGGCTGCAGTGCAACTAACTGTCTGAGACAACCTCGTCTCCAAAGCTCATCGTTTGAGCCGAGCTTTCGCTGATCCGTTAGCATTTTCCACGTCGTGTTTGGGTAGTTAGTGAGTTGTGATGAAACCTAAATGCAAGTAGACGTTCTTCGTTTATGTTGACCTCTTTTGTCGTCCTTTTCTCCTTTCGTTCCTACGACACCAACTGGGTCCGCGATCGAAGCCTTAGCTTTGGTCAAAAATATCCGAAAACAGATATGGATCCAGGTTGTTTCAAGCCAACATTGTGGTGAAATCAATTCCAGCCAGCCTGGGCCACACCGCCAAACTGTTGTTCGCTGCAGTATTCTGGCAGCTATTTTTGGGGGGCTGTCGGTATCCGGCTGCGGTGCTGGAGCTGAAGCTTGTTTACGAAATAGCACCCCTAATTGTGGATATTTGCGCCGCTGTATGGGTACCTCAAGCGGTCTCGGTGTCTCAACAGCAGTAAGTTCTCGCGAGGACTACATGTATGATAGATCAAAACTTTGATAAAGAAGAAATGACTGTGGGCTTGTGAAGCGGACAAATAGACCTGGTGAGAACTGTATTGCATATACTTGCAAAATCGTAGCTGCTCCAGCTTGGTACTTGGGAACAGAGAAGTCCCGGGCAGTGCCAGTCAGTCAGATCAGTTGCACTGCAGCCCCCAGGGCTCACTGACGCACGCGATGTCCTGGACGTGACTCTCGCCCGTCACTTCGAGGCGGCGGTGCTCGTCGACGACCTCCTCCAGTCTGCGGTTGCGGTACTGGTAGCAGCGGGTGCAGCAGTACTTGCCGAAGCAGACGATCTCCTTGTCCCCCGACGTCTCGTTGAGCGGCTTGAGGACGATGCTCTCGGCTTCTTCCTCCTCGAGCGCGCTCAGAGCACGGCAGGTCGAATGGCCGTTGAGGCACACGACGCTCTCCGCGGAGTTCTGCGACGACCCGATGAAGAGCGTCGCCTTGGTCGTGTCTTGACCCGCAGCGAAGATGGCCGAGCCGGCGATGGCGAGGACGAGAGCGGCGAGGAACGAGGCCTTCTGCATGGTGGAGAGGAGAGGAGTGGGGTGGGGTGGGGTGGGGTGGGGGCTTGTGCTGCTTTTTGAAAGTGAGGAAGTGAGTGGTGTGAGTCCCCGCACGGTGGTCTCTCGTGCTGGTTTGACAACCGGTGTCGCCTACGTACTTTGGGTGGCCCGACGCAGTCTTGATACCCACCTGTGTGGATCGGAGGAAGGTAGCTCCAAACTAGTGGTACCTTTCAGCTTCTCCGGGTTGCAATAATCTAGAACATGGTAAATGGAAGAAGGCTAAGCCGGTAACTTGCATGTTGCGTGGCTGCTGTTCATGACGTGTGGGTGGTGGCGTCTAACGCATTGAACTGCAGTGCAATCCCCATCTAGTGTAGGGCGTTTTGCTGTTAGTGAAATTTACTAGACACTAACTCACTGTTAGCTGTACGTTTGCTGACTGTTAGTTGACGAGTTAGTAGCAAGAGAATAATCATGATATATATTAACCTTAAGGCTGATAGCAGTTCATGTCTTTCTTACCTACAGAAGAGATCTAAACACTCTGCGCCCTTGTGACCCGTCTTCTAGCGAAATATATTCGGGCCAGGCCGAATTCAGCTCTGCGTCTTCAAACTCGTCGATCATCTCGATCGGAGTGTGACGGGCCAGGTTCCAGGTCGGTCTTTCCCACCCTACCCGTTTTATCAGGTACAGTCGCTGCATATCAACAGTCTTACGTGCGTAGATGCTTTTAACAACAAATACAGCACCGCCATCGATGCTAATAGAGGATCTCGCCTCACTATCAGTTCTGTCCGCACGAGTTGGTCCTTAAAAAATAAAACACAACTTAACGGATGGGACTATCCGTTCTAGACTGGCACTTCAAGTAACTGCGGCTCTGGCGCTGCACTGGCATCTAGAGTAGACTTGGAGCGCGTAGATAAAGTTACTGAAGTGTAAAAATCTTTAGTAATTTCCGTTTTTGTGCAAAAATTAGGGGTGCTCGTTCGGCAAATACATGTTAGCAAAATTTACTAGACACTAACTAACTGTTATTTACACGTACAGCTGACTCTACAGTTAGTGTATACAGGGGCGGACCCAGAACCAAAATCTGAGGGGGGCTGGGCCAAAAACAGGGGGGGGGTAAGTCTATATGCGGCTCAAAAATAGGGGTCAGAAATAGGGGGGTAAGCGTGATGTCTTCCCAAAATCTGGGGGGGGAGCCGGTGCCCCCCCCTAGTTTGTATGTAGGTCCGCCCCTATTAGGGAGAACGCTATCCCCATCGCACCTGGACTTCATTCCACGCGTGGCGTTAAGGTCGTCCACGGTGTCGTGCCCCTGTCAGTAGCTGTGGGGCTCAGTGGTCTAAGACGATTCGTCTTCTTGACAAGCTCCTAAACTAACAAAATTGGTACTGTCCATTCCTCAAAACTCATCCACGGAGGAATAGCTATTGCAAATATTTGAAATAGGTATTGCTGATTTTGCGCTCTGTCCGGAGATTCGCCGCCTAGATTTCTGAAAAAAAAGTCATATTTTCCAATGACAATTTTTATCGAGCAGAAACAGGCTCGAGTGCACGATAAAATATCATTTTTGTCTAATCCGGCGGGAGGACACTGGACGCAGGTTTTTGTGGACACAAACTTGCGCCCATTTATTGACTGGCCCGGCCAACACTAGCGCGATCACCATGGCAGCGACGGAGCCGCAAGTGGTGGCGGACTTCCTGCGGTTCCTGGAGGACCCGGACGTGGCGGTGGCCGTGGCGGTCATCAAGGCGCTCACGGGCGTGATCACGCGCAGCGGCGCCAGCACCATGATGCAGATGGAGGGCGAGCTGCAGGAGGCGGCGCAGCAGCTGCGCGCCTTCCAGGCCGCGGACGACAACTCGCAGGCCACGCGCTTCCACAACTCGATCGCCACCACGGCCGGCTGTCAGCTGTTCCTGCGCTACGTGACGCGCACGTTCCTCGAGTTCGACGACTTCGACCTGTGCCGCTCGCAGCTCATCGACCGCGGCAAGCTCTTCGCCGAGACGTCGCTCTCGAGCCGCAAGCGCATCAGCGACGTCGGCCACAACTTCATCCGCGACGGAATGGTCCGTCTCTATGATCGATGGCCGATCAAACTGTCGTTTTATTTATTTATTTATTGATCTATTTTATTTATTATTGTAGAAAGTGTTGACGCACGGCAAGTCCCGCGTCGTGATTGCGTTGCTGCGCGAAGCCGCCAAGACCAAGAACTTCTCCGTCTTCGTGACGGAAGGAAGGAGCAATGCCTCGGGGTATGTAGCTCTCTTGGATTTTGGATTTTCCAGGGATTATTCTGATGGGGTTTTTTTCAGAGTTGGCACGGCGGAGGAGCTGGCGAAGGTGGGCATTCCCACTACGGTGATTCTGGACTCGGCGGTTGCCTACTACATGGAGCAGGTGGACATTGTCGTTGTCGGAGCTGAAGGTGTCGTTGAGAACGGCGGAATCGTCAACTCGGTACGGATTTCTTTTACTTTTGGAAATTGCTATAGTGGTGGACCTTCGAGCTGATGATATTGTTTTGTTACTATTAGATCGGAACGTACTCGACGGCGGTGATCGCGCAGGCGCTGAAGAAGCAGTTTTACGTGGCGGCGGAGAGCTACAAGTTCGCTCGGCTGTACCCGCTGACGCAGCGCGACGTCCCGCAGAAGCAGATGGCTGCTATCTCCGGAGACATCGCTGGTGGCGAGTCCTCGGATGAGACCATGAAGAACGTGACATTCGCCAGCCCGTTCTTCGACTACACCCCGCCTGGATACATCGCTCTGATGTTCACAGATCTGGGCGTGCTCACGCCGTCTGCGGTCTCCGACGAACTGATCAAGCTTTACCAGTAACCAAGTGGCAATAAGCAATCAGTTCACTTGTTCAGCCTATATTCAGGTTATGATGACTACTGTCCTTCTCCAGATCCAGCTCATGCCCACCTCACTACTTGGTGCCTCTTCTCTTCTTAACCGGCCTGGCTCGTTTCTTCTTGCTGCGGTGCTGCTTTTGCTTCCTTGCATTAGTCCCCGACTGCACTTCTTCGGGAGATGACGGAACAAATTGTCGGACAACGCCTTTAATCGCCTCGTATCCTGGATCCTGTTTCGCTTCTGGCACTCGCAGCCACGCATCCCAGACTTCCAGCATTCTAGCTGAAGCACGGTCTTTAAATCTGGCATTGCAAAGCGCGAACGTTTTGTTAAATTCCCATGGTCGAAGTCAGCAAGTTTATAGTAAAACGAGTGTACCTTGTTGAGTCCGCCACACCTTTCCCGACGACATCATTGAGGAATGGGTCATTTGAGCCAGAGAACTCCTTGTTGGACTTCACCATTTGCGCGTACGCGAGTCCCAAGTTCTTCAGGTTCGAGGCCGGGTTCCAAAACTGACGTGGCTCGAACTGGTACGAGATTTCCATCGGCTTGGCTGCTTCGCTGAGCAGAGACAGATTCCCGGGGTCTTCTGCTATGGTCCGCTCCAGCAGGTAGGTGGCCCAGTTGAGCTCTTTCATGCCGTGGTCACGAGCCTAGCCACGATTCAGACAATATGAGAAACAGCATCCAAACGAAGCAGCCAACACCACAGTACACTCACGATGGTCCACTCCCACGTCTCATCATTGTATAATTCTTCTGGTGGCAGCACCGGAAGGCGCTCGCGGATCGTCGTCTTGACCTTCTGCTGCGACGAATACCACCTTTTCAACGGCGGAATGGTTGCTGATAGACTCTTGAACTCGTCGAGCAGTCCGAATGGCACCAAAGTATACTTCTGGTTGAAGTCTTGGTCGTTGTAGCTTAGTTTTCCGCCCAAAAAGATACGTGCCTGCTTGTTTGAAGGCTGGTGAGCTAAATCGCCAATATTCACGTCTAAGAGTTGAGCCATGCTGAAGCCATCACCCTAACGCACCAACAAACTGTTAAATATTTTGGCAAGCACTGCATAAATCATAGCAAAACATGCTCACCGCGGAACCAAACGGAACGAGTCTGGATCCTGGAAACTGTAGATTGGGGTAGTGATTGTGCTTCGTTGCGAACCAATTGTAGGTCATCATGGAGAGGTTGAGGATCGTAACATCCGGACGTCTTAGCTCACAGCGTTGAAAATACCGTAGCGAAGTCCACTGCAGATCAAAGTTCACGAACAGAATAGCGTCCTGAGGTAGTGGGTCCAGCAGTGCCTGGGCATAGTTTCGAATGTAAAATGCTTGACTTTGATCGCAGAGTTCGTGCCATCGCCAGATCTGCACCGCAATGAGGGCTAAACAAGCCACTTGGCAAACCGTAGACGCCACAGATTTCGCCACTTTGGAGTTTCGACCGACCACTTGAGAGAATAAATTCGCAATATACCCCAGACCGATGCCAAACCACGTGAATACCACAACATTCGGCTGCTGCCAGAAGCGCATCTGGACCCCGTAGATGAGGCCTTCGCTGATCGGAAGGTTCGCCAGTGAATGGAAGACGACCATGTAAAACGAATACATGGCAATCATAAACCATCCAAGCTTGCAGTTCATGCCAGCGCTACCTCGTAGAGTTTGCAGAATGCCGACAGCTATCACCGGAAAGGCGAGCCGGAGGGGGATCTCTCTATCGGACAGGTCAACGCCATACAGATATAACCGCGTCCACAAATCTTCGTTGGCTTCATTGCTCGCGTACAGGCGGAAAGTGCCATAGTCTACTCGACAAATATGATGAATCAGCCCCGCCAGCGTCGTGACATCCCCCCATGATCCAGGCTGTGGGTTCCAGATTGCGGTGATCGGCATGTAGATATACGGCATCAAACCCAGAGCAAATGCCCCAGTAAACTGAGCGAACTCTTTCCACCACAGTGTCCTTCTTCTGCTCCACAGCACCCACGCAATAATTGGCAGCTCGAACAGCACAATGGTGTGCTGGTTGCACATCGCCAACCCACACGCAAAAGCTCCCCACAACGCCGACCTCATATCTTGGCAGCGCGTGTACCGCAGCAACAGGTACACCACCAACGCTGTGAAGGCGTTATTGAGTGCGAACACTTCAGCCCCCACCGCGTACGTCCAAATAAGCGGTGAAAATGCGAACAAAGCCTGAAAACAACAACAACGGCCACGTTAGTCGTCTAAAAAGCATCCACCCAGCCAGCAACTATAATGCTAAACGTACAGCCGCAGTGAAAGCTGCAACACGCCGTCCCGCCCACCCAGTTGGCGCCATCCAGAGCAGCAAACTCAGATAAATAAGCACCACCGCCACTGTATCACACACTACAGAACAAAGGCAATTTGACACAATATGAGCCAACTAGAAATACGTTTACACTTGCGCCAAGCAAGCTTTGCTCTCACCAGCCGAGAAGAAGTTGGCTCTCCACGCCGAAGTCTCCCCGAACGGCAAAAACCTCGTGAAGACGTGGACGACCATGTTGAAGAGCGGGTATCCAGGTGGGTGCGAGACCCCCAAGTGGCACGACTCGGCCACGAGCTCCCCGCTGTCGCCCCCCGCCACGGACGGGTAGAGCGTCAGCGTGTAGCCGAGCAGCGTCCCCGACGCGAGCAACGCCACAGCCGCCACGTCGCCCGTCGAAAGAGCGGATTGCGCAGGTGGCGTTGCATTGCTGTCGGGCTTGTGGACAGCGTCGCGCGAGGCTGCATCGGCAGGAGGGACGGCGGCGCGAGGGTCCTTACGACGCCTCATGCTGGTCAAAAACTGGAAGGTGCAAAGATACGCTTTCCGTCTAAGTACGATTTGGTACGACGCTTCTGTTGGAGCGCTGGCAGCGAAACTGAGTGAGTTCGCAGGCAGACAGACATCACAAGCCACGGACCGAGATGTGGCTAGACCTTGCTGGCATCGTTTACCTGCTGTGACGCGTAGCTAGAACTTGCGCTTATGGTACTGTAGCTCCGAGCTACAATACGCGCATGTGCCACCACTGCTGTGCTTCACCTAATGCTCCGCATGGAGAGCGCATACGTCTACAGTACGAACTGGCACCGATATTGGCGGGATGTGCAGCAGCCCGCTTGACTACATGAAGAACCCACTGCAGACATTATTGCCGCCATCGGACGGGCCAAGTGGACACTGGAGGGAGGAGGGGCTCGTTTCACATTTACCTTGACACACGATCGGCGGCAGCAATGCATGCGCAGCTTGACGATCCGAGCCTTGGGCTGCCGTCCGAGCTGCGAGCTGCACACTAGAATCGAGCACCCAGCGACACCTCCAGCGCAACGACGAGTGATCCATCACCACCTAGCGCCATCTTGCGCTTCCGCAGTGTCGACAATTCGCGAGGCGGGCAGCGCAACTATCAGCCCTCGTGTCAGCACATACACTTCAACCGAAGCACGTCGGAATTCCCGATGCCGGGGTGTCACCAAACACCCTTGCCTTGCCTTGCCAGTACTTGTACAAGCGGATAGTGAAACGCAAGCCGTTTCACATCGTCCCGAGCCTACCGGCGGACAGCTTGGAGTCCAATCGTCCAACTTGGACGACGTGCTGGCTGAGGAGACTCGCGCCAATGGCCAAGGGGCAGCAAAGCCTCGCCGGGCTCCTGCAAGCTGCCGACAGTGGGCTTGACGCCCGAGCGCGATTTCGTGGTGGCCCGTGCCGCCCATCCTCCGAACCGTGTTGACGAATGCCCCAAGCACCAATGGCTGACCGTCAAACGTGTGGCCGCGAGCGCAGATTGAACATCAAACCAGCTGGCCGAGCTGGGCGGGGCCCGTCGCGTCGCCCGCGTCACTGCTCGACGAACGACCACAGCTTGCCTGTCACCGTCGGAAATCGGGGCATGCGCTGCTCGCCGTGCAGCGACGGCGGTCGTTATCTGCTTGCGCTCGGGTGGGCGGCACTGCAACTTGCAGCCGTGAGTAGCGGCGGTTTGAGCGGGAGGAACCGTCTACGGTTTTACGGACTAACTTTGCCCAAATTTTGCTAATTCGTGGCGCTAAACACGGCGTCGGGGTGCTTTAACCTTGAAGTTAGCGTCGTGACCACGAGCCGCGAGGCAAGATAGCGCAGCGCAGGCCTCGCTCGCCTCAGAATGGCGGCGAAAGCCCCGCGTAAAACGGCGTGTTACCCAATGCGTGCTACCCAACACAAGCAAGCAGTCCTTTTGCGATCGGAGCGGCGATTGAACTTCAAAGTCGCAATGACGAAATAATCCACGGGCTTCTTTTCTCGGGCTGACGCCTCGAGGCTGAGGACGCTTGCCCTTCAACCAGCGTTGAAACGGATCGATGGACCGTTGTTTTTCGCCACTAGCGCCCGGGGCTGGTCGCTCCTCGGCACCGACTCAAACAGCCCAGCACCGGTAACGGCTGCAGCCAGAGCGACAGCCACTAGGCCGCAGCCTGCTTGGCTCGTTGGCGACTTCAATTTGCCACCACGCAGAAAAAAGAACCGCGCAAATAGAGACGCGCTTCAAGACCACCACAAATTCCGCCGTGAAGAACGCCGGAGAAATCGCAAGAAAGCGTGCGCTCGCAGTTGTTGTGTCTTGTGTCTTGTGCTCATGGAGCTCCTTCGTCTTGGAAGGCCCAGAGGTGCAGGCATCGCGGCCGCAGGGTTGAGGAGTCGGCCCGCTTTGCTGCAAGCGCGACCCTTTTCTGCCGATAGTCCGGCGGTTTGCTTTCCGCTTGGTCGAGGCGCAAGGTTGAACTTTGCCGTGCGGTGCCGCGTCTCTGACACGCGCGCCGAGACAGTCGACGCCGAGGCCCCACTTCAAAATCTGCGCTGGAAGACGCCGTGTGCCCGTCAAAGGACAAACATACACCCCCACCACCCCCACCACCACCAGCGCCACAACTCAATTTGACCCGCACATCGATCGATTCATTCACCCCCATGGAGACCATCCTCGCGCCGTCAATGGACCTGCAGGGCCTGTGGAAGCAGCCGCCCTCGCCCGCGCTCAACGCGGCGGCCGCCTCGCCCAACGCCAAGAGCAGCCTCGTGCGCCTGCCCAGCCTCTTCGCCATGACCGCCAGCCCCACGACGACGACCGAGTGGTCGCCGCGCCTCGTGGGCATGAGCGACGTGCTCAGCGCGCAGGTGTCGCCCCTCAAGGAGAAGGGCCTGAGCCGCCTGCCGTCCATCGGCGTCATGATCAACCGCGGCGACGCCAGCCCCGAGAGCCTCAGCCCCGTGCAGAAGCACTGCATGGACCTGTACAAGCAGCTGCAGGCCAAGTCCCCGCGCCAGCCCGAGACGGAGCTCAACAGCCTGCTGGCCGACGCGGCCGTGAGCCAGCTGGCCGAGCAGCAGCAGAGCCGCGTGTCCAAGGCCGACCGGGCCAAGCGCGCCAGCAACGCCAAGCTCTGCGGCATGGCCGAGTGCAACAAGCGCGCCAAGGCCGGCGGCTTCTGCATCGCCCACGGCGGCGGCCTGCGCTGCTCCGAGGCCGGCTGCACCAAGCACGCCGTGAGTCTCGGGCTGTGCATCAGCCACGGCGGCGGCAAGCGCTGCACGGTCGAGGGCTGCCTCAACGCCTCGCGCAAGAACGGCGTGTGCTGGAGCCACGGCGGCAAGCGCCTGTGCAAGCTCGAGGGCTGCAACAAGGGCCCCAAGTCGGGCGGCTACTGCTGGAGCCACGGCGGCAAGATGAAGAAGTAAGAGGGCGTCCGGCCGGCCGTCAACCCACCCGCATATTTATCCGTCGAGTTTTGGATGGAGAGAGACGCCGCCAGCACTAGGCAGGCAACCAGCAACGTGTACATTGGTATTTTGACGTATTTAAGAAGCACAGCCATTTATCCTTCCTCCCCATTGCCATTCACTTTCCTTCGCTCCTCCGATCTCTCTCCTGCTGCTGCTGCTTGTCGACGTAAGCGCCACGCCAGTTGCTTGCCGTTTTAACTTGCAGCTCGGGCAGGACCGACCGACAGACACGAACGCAACAGGCAGAGGGCGACCGCCACCATACGCGCATTCGCCTGGCGTCCAAGGCCGCCCGTATTCGCAGGAAGCGCATGGCGCGGTCACCTTGCGCCCCAAGCAGCGTGCTGACTTCTTGAAGTTCACGAAGCACCATTACGGTATCATCTATGCCCCCTTCAATCCGGGACGGTGACGCCGGCGCATTGCGCACCAAGCAGAAATCCAATTTCTTCCTCCCCAGACCGCGCGCTAGGCTTTCCCCACACGTTCTCGCCGTCAGCCCCGTCATGTCACGAAGCCCTTGGGCCGAGGTGCTTGCCTCCATTCACGGCGGCACCACGACCTGGAAGGAGGAAGCATCTCCGCCAGTCGACGACGAATGCCTCATCACATTCGGGGCGCGGCTCTGTGCGCCGGGCGGTTCGGGGTTCAACTTGTGTGGACCCCCAAAACTGAAGGCAATTCCGCCGCTTCCTATCGACCTGCTTACCGCGACCGTCCGTCGGTGTCGTGCTCGCAGTGGCTGGCTGGCTGACTGGCCGGCAGCCGCTGGCGTGCAGCAGTGCAGGCTGCAGCGGCACCGTACTGGGGTGGGGGGAATTTGTGGTGAGGATTCTGAACGAAACATCCATTTTGTAGAAGCTCCAAGCGAAGTTGCAGCTTCGATCGTGCATGTAATACTGTAAAGCTTAAGGAGGCACTGCTGAGCGCTTCAAAGCGACAAACTCACTCACATTCCACCGCATTTACCGAGCGCAGCCTTTAGTGCCGATTGCGTCCATGGTTACTGTCTGTCAGACAAACTTTGTCTTAGTCAGGGCCAACAATGTGTAGTCTTCAACGTGGTCAAGACTCTAGGCTGGGTTCGCCGCGGTTGTAAGCACTGGTGAAAAGAGAGAGCGGATTCATAGCAGTACCTAAGGTATGCGGAACCAATTCGCACCGATGGTTCATCGCGCTCCATCGGATGGGCTCCATCATGGAGCACTTCGCCCCAGTTTCCGCTGCCGAATGGACCGAACAAGCTCTCGTATGGGACGAGGCCCACTTTTTAAGCGCTTCGACTTCGAGCTTTACTTACCTCCAGCCAGCAATAGTTCTTCCGACTGTCACTTTCCAGTTTACCAGCGTTGCCGATAGCCTCCACCCGACGTGTCCTGGCTGGCAACGATGGAAGCCTTGGTCGCTCAAATCGACTCCCTGCTCATGGAAGTCCGACTCAGCAAGACATCGATGCTCGTTCAGGACGACAGCATCCACGGGCTTACGCACCGAGTGGGCTGAGCTCACCCGCGTCGTGAGCGGGCTGACGCAAAATCCGTCCTACGCTCTCGTGAACCGCGTCGTGGATTTCGCCTGCCACTGTCTGGTGAAGATCGACTTCGTCGACGGGAGCGGCCACGCCACGGGCTTCCTCATCTCCTTGGATGGCTTCGTGCTCACTGTCCGCTGGCAGTCTCTGGATCAGTCAAGGAGGCTGTCGAGTGACTTTTGACGGCCAATCGAGTACGCGAAAGACTTCGAAGAGCGTGACCTGACACTGCTGAAGCTGCAGGGGCTGACCGATGCCCCATACCTGCAGCCAGTCGACACGCTGCAATGCGCCGACTCTGTGGCATTGATCGGCTTCGGGCTTCACGCGGAGGATGAACCGCCAACGCCAATCGTCACCACGAGCTGGGTCAGCAATGGGGTCGTCCCCGTTGACGCGGACTGGATCACCATCGGTACCTACCACAACTACGAGGAGGAGCCGAAGCCGACGATGCGGTCGGGTGGGCCTGTGATGGGGCTCAGTGAGGAAAACTTCGTGGGGGTCATGACGAGCGGCAAAGGCTGCAAGATGGTCGCTGAGGGGCTGGGAGGGTTCTGCCCCGTGACGGCCAAGTCGGCCATTTGGGGGGAGATCGAGAACGAGATGCAGCGATGCCGTGAGAAGCAGTAGGCGGGCTGAAAAGTAGCCGAGCTCACAAAAGGTGTGATTTGATCGTCTTTGGGTTACAGCTATTACCCGTGTGCTTCAACCTTATAGTTTATTGATTTTGAGATCCGCTCAGGTACTGACGGCAAGTTTTGACTTGCTCGTCAATAAACTTCAATCTGGCTGAAGGAAATCAAAAACCATCGTTTCCTAGCTTACCAGTCACTTTAGGCAGGCCGATGGACACCTGGGACTGAAAACGTAACAGAGTGTACTATCGAAGGTCAAGGAAGAAGATGGTGCAGTTGTACTGCGCGATCGTGAACGTAGCGGCGGGCCCGTTTCCAGTGGAGATTGACGAAAACGAAATAGCGGAGAACTTGAAGAAGGAGAAGCTGGGTCAAGTGCATACAGAAGACCAGAATGGCCACGTGCATGTCCTTGTGGAGCTGGTACAGCACCCCCCACGACTAGCGGGACCCGATGTGAATGTTACCTCAGCTGACGATCTCCTCGCCTTCTTGGAACGTGAAATGAAAGACTGCGATGCCATTTCGTCGAGCGCTCGCCTCTTGGGCGATGAAAGTCTGCGATTTTCATTGACTGGGCGGAAAGAAGCGGTCGAAGCAGCGTCAAGTCGCTACAGGAATATCATCAATAGTGCCGAGAATCACACATCGGGTGCCATCGAGATTCCTGTTTGTTCTGGCATTTCTGGAATGGGCAAAACTCGCATGCTGGAAGAAAGCAGGACGATTCAGAGGAGCGATCCATCTCCAGTGTCATTGTTCCGTACGGCGGCGCTTTTGGACCCCAACCAGTGGAGACGTCGATGCCGATCGAAGCTTCGTTCTCGTGGCAGCTGCTGTATCGATTTTTTCTCGAAAATAATTGCTCGCGTTCATTCTGCGAATGGTTTCGATGGCGACTGCCGCCTACTGGAGGCCAGCTGACACTTCCTACAGCCTTTGAAGTGATTAAGCGCAAGCTCCGTAGAGGTTCACAGGATCAAGCCTCACCGCTGTATCTCTTCCTTGGCGTAGACGAGTACCAAAAGATTGATCAGATCGAAGCTTCGCGGACGAATTTTGAGATTTCACTTCTGCATGAGCTCGTGGGGGCTGTCGGAGATTTTCTGTGCTCTCAGCCGTCGACGCGTTTGATTGTGCTGCCCATGTTTGCCGGGACAGATTGGAGCATTACTCAAGCGAGTAAAATTTATTCGGCTGTCGTGACAAAGCAGCTTCCGACGCCTCTCCTGTCAATCGATCAAATGTTCGGCGTGCTGAGGTCCGATCCAAGTTTCGCCGACATGCTGGGATATGCCGTAGTTTGCCGCTATCTGCTCACTCTTGGAGGTATTCCGCGGTGGGGTTTCGATTATTTAACGTCGTTGAAAAAAGTGGCGACGCTCCATCTGTGAGTTTGGACACTATCAACCGTAACTTCAAGGAAGTCTACGAAGCAAACGTTGACAAGTTCTTGGAGATTTTATCCCCTGAACAGTGCACTCGTTTGGCAGCCGCTGCTATAGCTGGGCAACCAATCTCCCCAAGTGCCACGTTCGATGGAGATGTTGCGTGGTCAAGACTTCGAGACTCTTCTCTATGTCTGCTGGCTCCGAGCTCAGGAGGTGGACGAAGGATGGATGTCCACGTCCCTTATGCGTTGCTGCAGAGGGTTGGAATGCTCCGTGATCAGCTGACGGCCCGTACAGACAAGGCCTTTGCGAGGTCTTTACATTATATGAAACAGTTTGTGGACGACCCGATGTTCTCACTCCAAGCGTGGCAGTTGTGGGAAAACTTCGGAGCTTGTTTCTATGCTGTGAGAATTAACGCGCTGCTGGTGCTTGGACGCACTTCGGTCACACTCGGGGAATCGCTGCCTGGTGCGCGGATGACCAAAGAGACGGAAGATATTTCAGTGAAACTTGTTCCTACGCGAGTATTCCGAACGAATGCAACATTTGGTGCGTCAACAAGTGAACGTATTCCGGAGAAATGGAGCAGGCTGTACCGAGAGGACTGGACGTCACGTGGCTGCATTGTTGTGAACGGGAATAGCGGGATCGGTGTCGATATTTTCTTTGCGCTTGAGGACGCTTCAAAACCTGGGAAACTTGTTGTCTTCGTCGACGAGAGAAGACGGTACTATGGTAAATTTCACCCAAGCCACGCCAATCTTTACCTTTACTTAGCAAGATGACGTCGCTACCAATATTTATTCAAAATCGGGGCACGCATTTGGTGCGAGGGGTGATGAATTGCGTGGCCAAGTCGAATCTTACGGAGTACAACGTGCCTCAAGGCTGCTTCCTCATGAGTCGAGACGAGACGGCCAGATTCCACGGCACATTGGCGCACCGTCCAGCGTGCTCGCCCATGGTCCCAGTCCACTCGGTGTCTAAAACCGCGCTCAAAACTATACTGGAGGGCGACCCGAAAGCAGTCGATGAAGTTGCTGGTGAGATTCGGAAGAACAAGTCGTTGAAGTTTCGAAGCGCTGATGACCTGGTTAGACATTTCAGTGAAACCAAGGGGGTGAAGGTTACGGTCGATGCTCAGTTCGCTCAATTTGCGAGGTAAGAGACGAATAAAATATTGTGTACGTACTAGTTAATCATTTGTTGCCTCTGGTGTATTTCATGTTTACAGCCACGTTGAGACTCCAGTCACAGGGTCATAGAGGTACGCTCGTTGGTATTCCTCGCTCCAATATTGCACAGGACTGCCATTCTGAGGTGTTGTCGCGTCTGGCGATTGTTCTTGCCATCCACCGTCGATAGTGGCACCATCAAGCGAGAAAGCGCTAGCCTCCGTCATGTTGCTGTCTAAGCTCAGAACTTGTGGCGAGCTTAGCGAGGTTTGCAGCGAGAGTTGTCGCGTTGCTAAAGTTGCAGCTTTTGCTTCTTGTTTCTTCTTGCGCTGCTGCGACTTCTCCTCCAAGAACTTATGCACGAGAACGCGTTGTTCTCTTCGTTTGATGTCCACTCGAAGCAGGATTCTGTACCGGTGAAGCATGCGTCTACCGTCGCGTTTGCCGATCATCCGCTTGAACATGCGCTGGATGGGGCGTGCAGCTCGGTTTTCGACCTCAGAACGGCGTTGTCGCTCGATGAGCTCGGCCAAGGCGCTAGATCGCCTCATGTGCTCTTGTTTCCTCGCAGAATACGCTCTCCAGCAGCGTGCAATCATCCTAACAGCATTGTTGCACCGTGGAAGCTCTTTGGCTAGTAAGCGAGAGATGAAGCGCCAATTATCCTGACAGAGGCGTCGATGCCATCGCTGGATAGTTGCAGCAGCCGAAATCTGCTCCAACACGTAAATGACCGAAGTCCTTCGAGGTGCGGGGATGCTTTGTCGGCTGTGAAGACGTCGTACCCAACGTTGGAGAGTCCTCGCTGCAGTGTCACGCCGACGGAAACGCGCTCCGAATACGGAATTGTGCCATTTCGCCAGAATCCCCCCACGTCGTAGGAACTTCTGGATTGTTGTTGCTGCTGAAAGTTTGCGTTGCTTGTCCTCCTTGTACGCAGAATAGCGCCTCCACGTCGACTGGATCACGAGAATTGCGCTCTTGGCGATAGGAAAGCGGAACTTTACACGAAAACTTTGCCCAAGATGACGAGCGCGCAAGTACAGCGGCCGTGTGGAGTCCCGAATCACACTCCGGATCTTGCGCTGCTCCTTCATTCGTCTGAAAGTGCGCTGCAAGCAAGAGGCTGCCAGTTCACGGTTCAATAGCATCATGCGTCTGTCAGCTCTTGCAGCCACACGGCGGTGAGCAGCTCGCCAGTCGTTCTGGATGCGTGCAGCACTAATATTTCTCCTCTTTTTGTCAAGACGACACTGAAACCCTCGGTGGTGGCGCTGGATGAGCAGTACAGCATCCATAAACTCGACTTGGTCGACAAAGTACCGCACCATTTCGAGCGGCAATTCATAGTCTCGCCATGTTTTATACGAAGCCCAAGCGCTTTGAATCCGTCGTGCTTGTCGTTCTCGACTTCGGTCGAAAAGGTTAGCAATCGCCTGTGCGCGCTTACGAGCTCGCCGCTTGGAATACGAGCGGTAAGCTCGTTGCAGGACTTTTGCAGCGTTTTGCCGTCTAATGAATCCATTATGCGCTGTGCGCCACATTTCAACCCGTTGGATAGTTCTCGCCGCAGCTTCACAGCGACGCAGTTGAACTGTTCGACGATGGCGACGGTATGCTCTTTGGATGATTCTAGCATTGTGCTGCATCTCCTCAAGAGCTCGAATCAATGCTTCTTGCTTAGCGACAGACTCTCGTTCTTTGCGACGATAGTGAAGAAATCGAGCAACGCGCTGAATGGTGATGGCTGCAGCCATCTCTTCGTCCGATTGGCACTCCAACACCCACCGTCGCCAGCAGTTAAACCTTCCAGACACACGATCGATGGACACTTTCTCAAGCATTGCAATAAGTCGGCGTGACGCACTCAGCTGCAGCCTCTCCTTGCGTTGGGCTTCGAGTAGCTTACCGTACCAGATCATCAACGCTTTCCGCAGCATAAAATTGATGCCGACATGAACGACTGCAGTCTTGAATAGCTGCTGGCGAAGAGGACGTGAACACTTGGTGTTGGCGAGCTTTAGCACTGGAAAGTGTCCATGAATCCACTGAATTTGGGTCTTCAATCTGTCTGCATCCCGTTGAAGCTGGGAGTTTGTATGCTGCAATCCCGAACGCAACTGACCAAGTTGTTGCTCATCGGGAATTTTAGGACAGAGCTCTCCGTTCCCTTGGTTTCCAGCCGGCGGTTCATGCACAACCGGGTGTGAGTTATCTCTTGACCGAGCAACTTCTGCTGGGATCGGGTCCAGCTTTCGACAGCGCTTGCGTCTGACACCAACGTCTTGCTTGAATCGGAGCCCAACTTGAAATGGAGGCGAATCATTCGACCGATGCTTGGATCGAGCTTTCCTAGGTAGACGTGGCATTCTTCCGTAAGGGCTGATGATCTCGTCGCAAGACTCTTCTTCATACTGCACGTTTTGCTGGCGTAAAACTCCTTGCAGTGACTTCGCAGTCAAAATTCCGGGGGCCACCTTCCCTTCATAAATGGTGGCCGTGTTCAAGCGAGCTGTGGTCGCTACCGAGTTGGTGCAGTGGAGCATTATACACTTTGCGACCGAAGCCCATACGTCGCTTCATGATAAGAACGCAGCTTAGCTATTCCAGGAATTGATAACACTATTTTGTATCAATGTCAGGGACCTTGTCGCTAATACCGCAGCAAATATGCCATCCTGTAGTCAATGACAACGCAGCAGTATCGCGTGTACGGACAGAAAGAGCCTGGATGGAGCCTCCGAAGTTGTGAGCTCATATTACTGGGGACCCAGCAGTCCCCGTAACTACACTGGAAGAAATCCGTCGCCTATCCCATCAGTTCTCCGAGCGCAGGATGTCCGAGTCGCCGGCGTCCAGGATGCACATGCACGACACGCGGAAGTACTTGCCACAGGCCGTGCCCAGGTCGTTGTTGGTGCCCGTGAAGTGGTGCACGCCCGTCTTGGCCAGCATCGAGTAGTACTCGACCTCGGACTTGCGGAGCGGCGGCGTGTTGTTGGCTAGGATCACGAGCTTGGCCTTGCCGCTGCGCAGGTGCTTGAGCGTCTGCTTGTAGCCCAGAGCCACCTTGCCCGAGCGCATCACCAGCTGCAGGCGCGAGTTGATGTTGTCCGCGGACTTCTTCTGCTCGCATGGAGGCGAATTTCAAGTTGTAAATTTCATGAATATGTTGTTATAGTGTTATTGGTGCATTGCCATGAGGTTCGTACCGACTTCTTCGAGGCAACCATCTTGACGTTAGTTAGAGGCGATTGATTCGATGCTTCTCAGCTGCTGGACGCTCCACAGAATGAGGCACCACCGGCGGCCACCAGTGCGGAGACCGTGGCGGTAGCAGTTGATTGGCTAAAATGGGTACAAATGTTCTTAACCAATGATAGTGAGGTATATCAGGTACTTCAGTTTTGAAGTTCTCAAAACTGACAGTGACCGTTGAAGATTCAAGAATTGTGTCGAGCAAATGAATGCACAAGGAAGTACTTGTTTATAAATTAAAGCTGTTGTGGGGTGAACTCGGTAGGCGTCTTCCCACTTGACGTGCCGATTCTCGACGCGGCTTCATTGAAATTTCGTTGCGCCGGCGAGGTTCGTGTAGTTTACAGTGTGATCATCAGAGGAGGCTGCTGGCACGCACTCAGACCTAGTGCCAACTAGGCCTTTTGCGCGCGAGGTACTGTGGCGAGCGCCTTCTTGCTGCTCGGCCGTGCTTCTCCTCCCCATTCCTGAGATTGCAGCAAACAGAGAAAAATAAACACGTCAGCAGAGCGTTAAGCAGCACACTCCACGTGATGGTATGATGGCAATGCAAGCAGCCGTACCGGGATGATTGGCCCAAGGTCAATGTCATCCGTCTCCAAGCTGGCGACGCTGTGCACGGCGGGGATCATGTGGTCGAAGAGGAACACGAGCGCGCTCGTGAGCTGGCCCAGCGCGGCGTCGCCGAGCTCCATGGGGGTGTGCGGCTTGTACAGCATGACTGGCTTGGTTGCTGCTGCTGACTGCTCTGTGGCTGTCCTTTGCTTGGTTGTTGTTGTCCTTGACAGGTCTTGGCAAATTGGGAAGTGAGACTTGGCTTGCGCCGCCAGCCGCCAGCGAGCGAGCGAGCCATCTTTGTGAATTTGCATACGTCGACGCCCGCTCGCCGCATTAAGAGAAGGCGCTGCTGGATCGCGGTGTCTTCTTTTGCGCGGCGCTTGCTCCGCAGGTCTTTAGCGCCGTGGTGCACTGGTGCAACGACATGGAAGCGACGAACGTCAACTTCAGCTTGGGCGGGCCAATCGGTGCGCGCGCCGCAGCAGAGTATCGGCCAATGGTAGCTTGCCCGAATATCTGTTGAAATCTCAGACTTTGCGAAACACTTGCGCTCAGTATGCACGGTAGGCCTTCAACGAATAGCAGTGCGTGTACGTGAAGTAACCTTTGCAATCGATGGAGTTCATAGCGCTGTGAGTGTACAGTAGAGCGTGCATGCGTGCACGATACCGAGCCAAATACTGCATGTTGTGCTGTCCAAACACGCAGTATTTGCCTCGAAGTACGTCAGTCGGATCTCATCACGACAGCTAAGATTAAGCAGCTTCTGGTAGGCTTGTAACGATGGAATTCAAATGCATTTTTAACGCAAAGCGCTTCGCAGCGGTGGACACGGCGCTCTAGCTTGCCTGTTCACCGAGGCCTGGCGCGCTTACTGCCAGACCTTCTTGGGCTTCCAGTGGAAGTTCTCGTACAGACGCAGCAGGTTGCGCTCGAGCATGGCCACCGTGACCTTGCCCACGAGCGGCACGTACTGCACGCCCTTGATCTTGAGCAGCTCGGCCTCATCCACGTTCTTGAAGGACGCGACGTTGATCACCACCGTGTTCTCACTCACCCACTCGAGCGGCAGCTTGTAGCTCTTCACGGGGACGCCGGTGATGATGACGCGGGACTTCTTGCACGCCGACTCCTGGGTCTCCTCGCTCGGGATGAGCTTGCCGCGGCGGAACAGGTAGAGCGAGTCGATGTCGGCGCTGTACACGTCGGCACCGTCGTTAGCGAGCATGGCGGCCAGCGGGCGGCCCACAATGTCACTGCGGTTGATGACCGTGATGTTGACGCCCGCGAGGTGGTCGCCATCGGGCTTGGACTTGTCGTAGATGCCGATGTGCTCGAGGATCTTGACGATGGCCAGCGGCGTGCAGGGCAGCACGCACTTCTGCGTCTGCTCGTCGTCCACGTAGCGGATATTGCGGTAGAGGTTTCCGCGGTAGAACTGGCACAGACCCTCCACGTCCTTCTTGATGCTGATGCTGTCGCGCAGGAAGTCGTCCATGGTGCCGCCGAAGAAGCTCGGGAACGGGCCGAAGCACGGGTAGTACACCAGGATGCCGTGCACGTCCGGGTCGTGGTTGGCCTTCTCCAGCGCCTCCAGCAGCTCGTCCTTGGGCACCTCGCGCAGCTCGTAGCGGATGCCGTCGCGCGCGCAGGCCTTGCCCGTCCACTCGGCGTACTTCTTGGCGGCCGGGTCGCCGTGGGCCAGCAAACCCACGAGCTTGGGGCCCTGGCCGCCCATCTCCGTGTCGATGTACTCGCGCACGGCCAGGCTGAAGGGCTCGGCGATGGTGGACGCGTTGAGCTTCACGCCCGCGGGGGCAGCGGCGGCGTCGGTCATGGTGGCAATAGTGACTTCAGGTGTGCGGCTGACGTCGGTTTGGCGGATGGCTTCAAGGCGGATGCGTCCCAGCCAGCGGAAACGGCTGTACCGGCGAAGTGGTACAGCCAGTACCGATGATACCGGTTATTGGGGACGCTACAGCTGGTTGAAGCTAAGAACTAAGAATGCAAGCTGCGACGGTCCCCCAAGCAAATGGCTGGCACGCGTAGAGCGCATGGATAGCGATCAGGAGCAGGAATATCTCGGGTTTGACGAGTGGAGTTGCTGGTTGGGGACAAGTGATATATAAATTAAAGGGGCGAAGTGTAGAGGTGTCCAGCATGAGCGAACACCCGAGCGCGCAGCTCAATCCTCGACGTGGACGGCACTCGCGCTGCTTGACTCAAATGCATCGGTGGGGACGGGGTATTTCTCCTTTTTCTTCTTCTTCTTCTTCACGTCGTAGCGTCTTGCAGTTTACAGTACATCCAGCGGGTTGTTTTACGGGGGGATAACCCGCGTAGATCCGTCGCAAAAGCTATGCGGTCAGAGCAGGCGACTTCGTAGCGAGCACCTTGCTGTTGCTTGGTCTCGCATCCTCAGCCCATTCCTTTAGTCCATGCAAAACACGACAAAGGTGACATCAGCGGTCGAAGGAAGCCTCGTGTACCAAGCCGACATTCCACGTACCGGGACGAGTGGGCTCAGGTCCGCCTCCCACGTGACGACGCTGTGCACGGCGGGGATCATGTGGTCGAAGAGGAACACGAGCGCGCTCGTGAGCTGGCCCAGCGCGGCGTCGCCGAGCTCCATGGGGGTGTGCGGCTTGTACAGCATGACTGGCTTGGTTGCTGCTGCTGACTGCTCTGTGGCTGTCCTTTGCTTGGTTGTTGTTGTCCTTGACAGGTCTTGGCAAATTGGGAAGTGAGACTTGGCTTGCGCCGCCAGCCGCCAGCGAGCGAGCGAGCCATCTTTGTGAATTTGCATACGTCGACGCCCGCTCGCCGCATTAAGAGAAGGCGCTGCTGGATCGCGGTGTCTTCTTTTGCGCGGCGCTTGCTCCGCAGGTCTTTAGCGCCGGTGCAACGACATGGAAGCGACGAACGTCAACTTCAGCTTGGGCGGGCCAATCGGTGCGCGCGCCGCAGCAGAGTATCGGCCAATGGTAGCTTGCCCGAATATCTGTTGAAATCTCAGACTTTGCGAAACACTTGCGCTCAGTATGCACGGTAGGCCTTCAACGACTCACCTCGGCGATCGCGACGTTTCATGTGCACAAATGGCTGCCCAGTCACAGGCTACACCAACAGCATAGTGTGGGCCATTCTCATAGTGTGCCCGTCGACTGTAATCGACAGAGGCTGCTGCTGCAGGCGTAGGTGCTCTGTAGCGTGTTAGATCCTCGACGGCAACCTGCGACAAAAGGTGTCCGCTTCTGCTTCAAGCGAGCACTTGCGAACAAAATTCTGTGGTGGTGGCGACGGCAACGCGTACATTTCGGTGTGCTTTGCCGCTCGAAGTGCGCGAGTGACGGCGACGAGGGGGGCAGTGATCCCATGTGACGAACGCGCGGAGTCGGGGCAAGTCGGTCTGCTTCGTGCCCTTGGGGGTCGCTGCATCTATGCCGACGTCCAGCTCACAAAGACGGCAAGACGGGGGTCTAGTTGAATTGGTCTTGAATATTAGGGAACTGCACTCGTGCTTTTGTAGATGATATCTACGCGACCGTTGTCTTCGAGGTTGCTCGAATCTGTGAAATCTGCTGTTCGTTTGCAGTTCATGCTGCTTGGGTGGAAGTTGTTGACGAAACAAAAGGGGAGAAACACGATCCGCGCTAGCCAGCGGTGGTTGTCATCGGGAGGCGAATGTTTGCTTCGAGCTGCTCGGCTTCTGTAGTCGCCGACGAACCTGTTGGGGCCAAGCTTGGGGCCATCTGAAAGAGCATGGTGCTCTTTCAGACGGAGCATGCAACACGAGCGAACAGTGCGGGCAGTTGCACTGGTGCTTGGGTCGCTCGCAGTCTGCAAGTTGCAGTGGGTGTCCACCTCGGAAATCGATGCAGGGCGAGTCAGCCGGTGGGCGACTACAGTTCCTACAGGTGGTTTGGTTGTCAAGTTGGTAGTGTCAACCCAAGGCTACGAATCAACTTCGGCACTTTGATGGCTGCTTGAATCGAGCAGTCCAGGACAGGATGTTCCTCGTTGAGGTGGTCCCGTATGCAGCGCTGCTTAGCGTAGGCAGCCGACATAACCGCAAAAATTCAAATTCAAATTCAGGATGTTACCATTCTCACGCTACAGTGTCATGATTCAGGTCGTGGTGTACGTGAAAGTGGTGGTGCCCCAGAGAACTCGGCAAATAATCGCCTCCGACGATTGCATGGCTGGAAGATTTCCATCATCATGGCCCCAGATTGCTAACGTGCAGCTGAGAGCTAAAGCCGCACTCAGGCAACCTGAATCATGACAACGTAGCGTGGCTAATTTGTCTGTTTCGCTGTTCGGGGCTGCTACTTGTCTTTGAAGGTGGACCAACCTACGACTATAAGCTCAGGTTGATTCGTAGCCTCGAGTTTACAGACTACCGGTACTGCGATATCTATAGATGGTCGATGAGACCTTGGAAGCACAAGTAAGATCTACGGTACATGCATCTCGAAATTGGAGACTCCAATATGTGCCCACATTCATGGCTCTGTAAGTCCTCTCCGCAGTGAACCAAACGGCGGGTTTGTGCCCATGCTCGTGATCGCGGCACGCAAGCCCCGCGCCGGCTGACTCGCCCTGCATCGATTTTCGAGGTGGACACCCACTGCAACTTGCAGACTGCGAGCGACCCAAGCACCAGTGCAACTGCCCGCACTGTTCGCTCGTGTTGCATGCTCCGTCTGAAAGAGCACCATGCTCTTTCAGATGGCCCCAAGCTTGGCCCCAACAGGTTCGTCGGCGACTACAGAAGCCGAGCAGCTCGAAGCAAACATTCGCCTCCCGATGACAACCACCGCTGGCTAGCGCGGATCGTGTTTCTCCCCTTTTGTTTCGTCAACAACTTCCACCCAAGCAGCATGAACTGCAAACGAACAGCAGATTTCACAGATTCGAGCAACCTCGAAGACAACGGTCGCGTAGATATCATCTACAAAAGCACGAGTGCAGTTCCCTAATATTCAAGACCAATTCAACTAGACCCCCGTCTTGCCGTCTTTGTGAGCTGGACGTCGGCATAGATGCAGCGACCCCCAAGGGCACGAAGCAGACCGACTTGCCCCGACTCCGCGCGTTCGTCACATGGGATCACTGCCCCCCTCGTCGCCGTCACTCGCGCACTTCGAGCGGCAAAGCACACCGAAATGTACGCGTTGCCGTCGCCACCACCACAGAATTTTGTTCGCAAGTGCTCGCTTGAAGCAGAAGCGGACACCTTTTGTCGCAGGTTGCCGTCGAGGATCTAACACGCTACAGAGCACCTACGCCTGCAGCAGCAGCCTCTGTCGATTACAGTCGACGGGCACACTATGAGAATGGCCCACACTATGCTGTTGGTGTAGCCTGTGACTGGGCAGCCATTTGTGCACATGAAACGTCGCGATCGCCGAGGTGAGTGCTCATGCTGCTACACCATCGAGCGCTCGACGATTTCCACATTCACTACGCTTGAGGCTATCATCTCGTCTTGCTTGTCCAAAGCTCTGACTTCGAACTTGTGAGGTCCCACCCCCAGTCCTCGCAGCAACAAGTTGCCGTCGTTCAAGTGCGTCTTCTTCACGAAGATGTTATCGTCCATCGCCACCTCCATGATGTCTACATTCACAGCAGTGTACTCCAGCACGATTGATTGACCCTGCTCGAACTTCGCACCTTCCACGGGATACGTGAGTGTCAGCTGTACCCCAGCCTCAGGAGAAGGAGTCGCTGGTCTCCAAACGTAGACATCTTGCTCGTAAGTTTTCAACTCTCCGATCAAGCCGGGAATCGGGACAGTCACCTCGAGGTGCAGCTTGAATCGCTTACGCTCCGTCGCAGTAACGTCGTCCAGAGTGAATCTCCTCAGAGGAATGGGGAACCGCACCGTTCGGTTGAATGAACTCACACTTTTGATGCCACTTTGTTCCTCATCTTCCCCGCCTTCCAGCGCTAGAAACCCAACCTCGGACTTGACCACCTCATCGTCCAGAGATACTCGATACCGAAACACCTCCGCTCCATATTGCTGCAATGCATCTGCTGGGAAGTTGGCGAGCTTCCACTCAAACCAAAGGCCTTGTGGGGTGATCTGAGCGTCGTCCAAAGGGTTCAGTATCTGCACCGACACATTCGAGATGTCGTATGCCGAGTACAGCCCTTCGTAGTCCGGTAAAGGCACCACCAATGGGTGGAAGAAGCTGTACACGCACGCAATGAGGTACGCCACCAGCACCGTAGTAACGCAGCCCACAAACAGCAACTCTTCCAGCGTCGGCACGCTCGCGTTCCGTCCATCCTGCTTCAAACTTGATTCCTTCTTCGAGGACAGATCATTGCTGGCCACCACTTTTGGCACAGCTGCAGCGACTCGACTCCCTGCTGAGCCTCGCCTTGCCTTGGTTATTCCAACCGCCTTTACCTCAGCTGCGCCGCGCTGCTCTCCCAATTTCTTCTGCTTTTCAACCTCCTTGAGCTCTTCCTGTTGCTCCTCCACGTCCGACTCCACATCAGTCACAGCCGTACAGTCGTCTTCGTGCTCAGCCTCCGAGTCGTTCGTGCCTTCAGGCTCGCCTGCAGCGTCCACAGGTTCCTTTTCTTCCTCTGTCTCGCACACCTCTACGTCGCTGGAGCCCCCCTCGCTAGCCGTCACCTGCTGGTCTCCCTCGGAATCGCAAGACGCGGCCGCCTCCGAGCCACTGGCCACACCCGACGTCGTGGTGTCGGTCTCAGGACCCTCTTCGCTATCGGACACGGGCTCCAGCACCGGCGGATCGTCCTCTACGGCAGCAGGGCCGTTCACAGCAGCAGCAGAGCAGGGTCTAACTGTGGCAGCAGCGCCCAGGTCCGACGTCGACCCCAACAGGAAGGCCAGCACTGCGTCGCGGTCGTCCTCCTCGGCCCCAGCCATTTGTGGTTCGCTGATGACCATCAAGTTGATGATCAACCGCGTATCTCCCGAGCGTATCTTTTTGGTGGAAGATCGCAACGCTTGAGGAGATTGGTGTGCGGCACACCAACGTCTGGTCACCCGCCTTTGACTCGAACCCACTATGGTTGGCTCGTTGAAGCCGACATAGGTACAGCCGCGACCAGAACTTGGCCGCAGTTGACTTGGGAGCTGTCGTGAGCCGTCGGACTGCGCCACACGGCATCGGAATTCAGCACGCTTTCCGACTGTACTGTACTTTGACGTTGTATTTTTTCGTACCTGTAATATCCACCGCGCGCTTGATTCAGTCTTGATAGTTTGTCTTGGTGGCTGGTGAAGGACACTTTTGCCAGCTGAACACGCAAGCTGTTTTGCCTCACTCTGCTGTTTTGCCTCACTGCTGTTAATATGTGAAACAGGCATGTCTCCTTGGGCACGATGCTCGTGGCGAGGAGCTTTCAACCGGCTCGTTTCGAGTGCCGGAAATTATGCCCATTAGCGGTCTCTTAAACCCCGTATATCGCCAAATAGCTACACCCAGGTGGTGCCTGAAAACCATCCGTCCACATACAAACGCCAAATTCTGGAGCCCAAACCCAGCAGAAAAAGTCGCTCCCTCGGTGGATTTAACGCGTGTCCATCCCGTTTTACGCCCTGAAATACGGCGTGTCATGTCGCGCCGCAGACAAGAAAAGGCCTGGGCCCTTCAAGGCTCTTCCTTCCCCACTCCACTCTCCCTCTGGCACCGTCGAGCCTACCGTAATTCCACAAGATGGCGAGCGGGCAGTCGGTGTTCAAGGGCGCGCTCGGCTGGGACGACTGGATCTGGTGGGTGGCCATCGGCTGCGTGGCGCTGCTGATCCTGCTGCTGCTGGTGTGCTGCTGCGTCTGCATGCAGCGCGCCAAGCGCAAGGGCCACGAAGAGGCCATCGCGGCCGTGCAGGCTCGCCAGCGGCTCACACAGGAGCGCGAGCGCGCCGAGCAGCAGCAGCAGCAGCAGCAGCAGCAGCAGCGTCTGCAGCAGGCGCAGAACGCCTACCAGCCCCCGGGCTACGCGTACTCCAAGCAGGTGACGGCGGTGCCGCTCGCGCCCGCGCCGAACCGCAAGAACCTCGGCCCGCAGATGGCCGCCAACGGCTACCGAGACAACGGGTCCCAGCTGCACAGCGACCAGTTCCCCAAGGCGTACCCGCCGCTGCCCGGTCAGCAGCAATCGGCGGTGGAATCGCCGGCGCACCGCAACTACCAGCCCCCACCGAAATGGTACAACGCCCAGCGGAGCAGTCCGTTGAGCCACGGCTTCGAGGCCAACGCGCCCCGGCTCAGCTCCGGCAGCTTCAGCTACGAGCCGCACACGAGCTCGCAGTACCCGGACAGCATGCGTTACGACGACCCGTACGCGGAGGGAGGGGGTGTCGACGGCGTGCCCTTCATGTCGGTCACGTCGCCTTCGGCGTCCAAGAGCTCCAAGGGCAACAACAGGAAGAACGGCGTCAGGCTGCAGAACCAGGCAGCTTCGTCCAACAGTGGACACGACCAGATCCCCGCCCCCGTGGTGGTGCCCAGGTACACGCAGGCGCCGTCAACGCCGTCCGAGGCGCGAGCGAGTGCTGGATCCTCCGGGGTGTCGGGGGGAACGCTGCAGTCCCGCATCGATGCATTGCGATCGGCGGACAGCAACGACATGGTGCACTCACGCATCAGTGTCGCCCCTGATGAGGTGCCAGACTCCTCTTCTGCTAGAGCGGGAGGGGTTATGTGGAGTGTACAGATGCCGAGAGCATTGGCCGCCCAGGAGTCGTACGCTTCGGGACCGGAGCGACGCTCTGGATTGCTGAAGGGAAGTGTGCTGTCGCCCAACTCGTCGGCGATGTCGCCGTCCCCGTTCTCGTCCCCGTCCGCTTCATTGCAGAGCGAACAGAGCTACGAGACCTTTGACCCCGACGCGTTCAACAGCGCCAAGTCCACGGAGCTTGGGGCGATCATCACCCACGGCTCGAGCAGATCCATTGGCAGCGACTACTCTCACGGACAGTTCGAAGACGCAGAGAGCTTCAGACCGGGAGGACGCAACTTCAAGCGACAGAGCAGCAGGAACGAGACTGCGGCCAAGCCTTCGCGGGCAGAGAACGTCTCCATCAACAGCCGCGGATCCGTCGAATTTTGAGCTTAGTGATAGACGACGAGCTGGGAGACAGGCCTCCGTCGAGACGCCACACACCACGCGCTGAAGGCCGAGTCGGGCCAAAGTCGTATCATAGTAGCAACGCCGTATCTAATATCACTCTAGTTTTTGAACAAACGCCGCGTTAACTTCAATCCTCCGAATCTTCTACCACCAGCGAGAGCGCGCACTGCCCGATCCTGTCGACAAGGGCGGCAGCGACGCAGCAAAACTACTGAGCCCCGCACTCAGACCCGAGCCAGCTCGTCCATCATCTGCATCCGTTGCTCTACTCGCAGTTTGTCGAAACCCCATGTTCCCACTGCTTACATAGCTATTATAGCTGCCCCCTCCATCCCCCCGATTAGCGAAAGCCACAGTCTGCTGCAAGAACGTATCGAAAGCTGCACTCGGCTCCATCGACAACGGCTCCGCACTCTGTCATACAAACCGTAAAAAAATAACTTCAGTCATATCTCTGTCATATCTCGCTCATATCTGCGACTTTACGCACCGATTCAATGCTCGCCACCGTTCGGAATTCGGGGTAGCCCGTTGGCCCCGTCGTCTTGGGTCTAAAGTTTCTAGGCAGCAGGTCTCTCTTGTTGCCGACCACGAGCTTCGGCAGGTTGTGCAGCGTCGAGAAGTCGTGCTCCTTGCCAGTAGAGGGCACTACGCAGCCCTTGAGCTTCTGCATGCCAGCCAGCTCCCTGCTCCAATTGCGCAGATGTTCTCCGCTCTTGGCGTTGCTCAGATCGTGCACGAATATGACGCCGTGCACGTCGTGGTAGAAGGCCCCGCGACTGAGCTCGTACTTGATGTGGCCCCCCACGTCCAGGAATTCCACGAACACCTCGCGGCCCGAAGGTCCCAGAGGCTTCAGCAGCACGTGCACGTCGCACCCGGTGGTCCAGAGCGACGCGGATCTGTCATAACTGATATCGCCGGGCGAGTGCGCGCGGCAGATCGAGCGCAAGAGCGCCGTCTTCCCCACTCCGGAGTCCCCCACGACCAGCACGCGCACACTCGGCGTCTCCATTTCAACTATGGCGTCCCAAAGGTATCAGCTTAGAAATATGGGTCTCATTTTAACCAATAAGGCTGCGTTAAATATATCTAACCTTGGAGGTATGCGGATGCGTGATACCTTGCTCAGATAAGAGATCGCAGGTCTCGACGGCGCAATCCCGCGTATCGTTATATTCAGATCATCAACATGGCGGAGGAGTGGGCGTACGAAGAGGCCTCGGACGAGGAGAAGCTCCAGATCGCGCAGCGCTTCCTGCTGGCCAGCCCGCCCGGCCAGGTCCACGAGGTCCTGCGCGACGTGGCTAAGCTCGTGCCCGCCCACGTGCTGCCCGACGCGGCGCTAAGGGGCGCGCTGCACGCGTACAACGTCAAGAACTGTCTGCCCGTGGACGTGCCGGACGCCGACTACAAGGCGCGTTCCCCTCTTATTTGTTCAAGGCATCAAGAGATAGAGGTTCTGACGACTGTCTTATTTGATACTGTAGATCTTGATCTGCGAGGAGGGGGAGGTGGACGCCGCTCACTACATCGACCCCATCGGCAACCGCATCCTGGGCTTCGACCACATCAAGCAGCAGGTTGTGGCCGACGACGTGGCCGAGATCCCCGAGGAGAGGATCTCGGACTTTGAGAAGGAGCGGTGAGGAGCTGTTTTGGTCGGTGATATTGGTTTATGAAGGGCCTTTGACTCATGATTTTTCTTTCTTTCTTATTATTTTGTAGCCAAGACGTGCAGAAGACGTTGAAGTCGTACTTGCAGTTCGAGTACATGCACGGGTGAGCAATTCTCAAGGTGGTGCTAATTACTTTTTAATGTTTTACTAAAAAAAGGTTTTGCTTTATTTTATTCTTGCAGAGGAACTGCCGGTGTGTATGTTGTGGGCTCCAAGATCGTGGTCAACCTGTGCACGGAGCGGATCAACCTGCGCAACTTCTGGGGAGGACGCTGGAAGTCGAGGTGGGAGGTGGACTTGACGGCCAACCCGGCCAAGGTCAAGGGCAACATCCAACTGCACGTGCACTACTTCGAGAACGGCAACCTGCAGCTGCAGAGCTCCAAGGACGTTGAGGTGGAGATCACGGTTCAGCGCGTCGGTGGTCTGGGCGACGCTCTGCTGCGCGTCATGAAGGAGGCGGAGGACGACCTGCAGACCAACCTCGAAGACATGTACATTAACATGTCCGAGGAGACTTTCAAAGAGATGCGTCGTGTCATGCCCGGTACGTTTTAGCTTTATCTCGCTGGTCTGAAGCAGTGTGCTGACCTGTATATTTACTACTGCAATGTGTACAGTGACGCAGACCAAGATGGAGTGGAGCTTGCACGCGCATCGCACGGCCAAGGACCTCGGACGCAAGTAAAAAAATTGTGAGCCCCAGCTGCGCTAGAGCTTTCGCGCAGCCAAACAAGTCCAAACACCGAAAAGAATTACACGTTGAGTACACAGTACGAGACTCGAGCGCGAATGGCTTATTTGTTGATCATCTGTAAGTTGCTCTTGTTCCATCTAGCTGCTGAGCTCGAGCGCCTCTAGCATCTCGTTTTCTCCAGTCTGGAAATTGGCGAGCTGCCACGACAGCTTCCAGATGTGCACGGTACCGGCAGAGTCACCCGCGGCGAGGAAGTTGCGCTGTCTTGGGTTAAAGTCAAGAGCAAACATCGGCGCACTCGCTGTCTTGGAAGCTGCAGTTGCCGCAGCACCCTTGGATGCCGTTCCTGATGCCGAAGACTTTGTGGTTGTTTCTGTTCCAGATCCAGCGACCGGGTCTTTGCCGCTGATGATCAGCACGGGGCTAACGCGATCGACTTTCAGGTCGAAGACATAGACGTTGCCATCCTCGCTGGCTGCGGCGAAAACCATCGGACGAGTACGCGACCACTCCGCAGCGTAGAGGTAAGCTGCTGAAGGTGTGACATCGACAGAAAGCAGCAATTCGCGCTGCAATGTTGAGTACACACGGGTCGTACCATCAGCAGATGCAGTGAGGAACAGACTCTTGCGGAATGGCGAGAAGCTCGCGTCGTACACTGGAGCTGTGTGAGGCTCGAAGACGAAGTCCATCGCGCTGGGGAAGATCGTTGCCGGATCCAGCCTCGCTTCGTATACAGTGGCGAGGGTCACCTCTTTGCTGCGCTTGGCAGACGCGTACGCTTCCACTTGGCGTCGAGCTGCTGGGACTTTGGATGCGGGTAGCTTCATGACCAGGCGAGCTGCGGTTGCCGTCCACTTCTTCTCGCCCTTGAAGTCCGACGAGCGGACGTTGGACGCAGCCTTGGCGAAACACCGAGCGACAACCCCGCCTTCAGACCCCACTACGAAGGCGCGACTGGCCTTGTCGATGCTGCTGAAAGCGAGAGCTTTGCCGCCGATGACTGGAGAGCGGGTTTCATCATTGTTGCTCTTACCACCATTAGCGCCTGGTAAGTGCATGACGTAGCCCTCAACAGGGAAGGCAAGTTTGTCTTTAACTCTCCAAAAGAGAATTTTGCCGTCGCCACTGACACTCGCAACCTGCAATGAAGAACAGAAAATAAGTGGACGGACTGAGGTACAGGAACGAAGGCGGAGCTCTAACTTACGTTGTAGTCGTTGGTTTGAATGTCGTAGACCCAGGCGACCTTGGTGACAGGTTCACGGTGGAAGTAGTCGCCGATTCCTGACGAGAAAAATCGATAGTCGACTGGTTCGGTGTCCCAGACGAAAACCTCTCCGTTGAAAGACCCAGCGGCGACAATCGACGGGCTTTGCGGGTGGAAGGCAACGCACATGAGTCCGCTCTGCAGTCATCACCAGCTCAACAGAATCAGCACTATCAGAAACCAACAAGATTAGAGAAATGCATACCGAAGTTTCGAGCACGAGCGAGGGTTTCTGCGGATTGAGGTCGCTCTGGAAGACATTCCACAGGCAAAGTGCCGAGCGGTAGTTGCACCAGCCAGAGTGATCGAAGCGTCCGTACGCCACTGCAATGACGGATCCCGTCGCATTCCATGACACTCCAGTGCACGAAAGTCGTAGCGAAGATGGAGCACCAGCGCCATTTGATGTTGCAGTCGCTTGCTGCGGCTGGAAGTACGTGTCATAGTCGAACTGCAGTCGAAACAGCTTGCTGACGTTCTTCTCTTCCGACTCCTCCAAGTACCGCTCCAAGCCTGCAACAAGTTTTAAGGAAATAGTAACGACAAAGTTTTTAATGGGTCACGAAATTGGTCTCGTACCACTGAAGCAGGAGCTGGTGTGGCCGTTCTTGGCCATTTCTCGCAGCATGAGCCCGCCCACATTCTGCAGACACTCCGATACCCGTCGCTGGTCTTCTTCCTGAGTGTCGGACGCTGCATCCTTGCCCTTCCCTCTAGCTGGTGCTTGTTTCTCTTGACCTGTTTGGGTGGAGGCTGAGGCGGTGGCGTCGTCCGTCTGAGCCTCCTCATCGAACATCTCGATCTCCACCGTTTGCGAGAAAACCTCGGCGACCTGCTTGGTCCGCTTGGCCTTGAAGCGCGCACTACCCAACGTCACGTCCTGGAACATTGTCTCCGTGCACTAAATACAAAGCGTGTCGAGTGAATACGAGTGTCAACGTGTCTGCGTCCTTTCGCGCCCGCAAGATACAAAGATATTTTTTTTTAAAAATGAACACGGCCAGAGAAACCAGAGTATGGAACTAACAATGAAATCTATGAACAATCGTTACTAGTCTACTGTACCCTGCAAAGCTACAATGAAGCCTCAGCTGGAAAGGGTGCAACAGGCAATGCGCTAATGTACCTAATCTCGCTGTGGATACCGTGAAAGCAAAATGATTGTTTCCCCATATAGTACAAGTGTTTTAATAGTACGGGGAAGAACGATTACCCAATGTCACAATCTTGGCTTGATAGTTTTGGAAGAGCGTTGCGGCAATCGCTGCGATACTTGCGGTCGAATTTTAATTCGATGCTTCTTTTAAAAAAGAGAGCTTAGAAGCCGAGTTTATAACGATGTACCCACTCCTAGATCTCGGGAAGCACGAATGACATCGTCCAAACAGATAAGACTGGATTGTACGTTCGCAAGGAGCTAACTCTCAGTTCAACTACTAGTACATGTGTACGGTATACATGTATTTTAATACATATTGCAACGTGTTTAGCCCCACACGCTCGGGGTTGGTCGCGACCGTGCTGATGCGGTCTGAAGTCCGTCTGGCCGTCGATGTCAAAACGTATGACACCGCGCCGGTGGGTGTCCGACTGACAGCCACACCTATTTTATTTAGATGAACTAGTCGCGGTATCTGCTACCGTCTAACTACAATACACGTCTACCTGCCGTGCACGAACTGAGTTCCGATCTTCTCGCCGTCTCTAGCCACTCGGGTGTACGCCCACTCGCGCCTACCCTACTCGTCGCAGCCGTCGATAGACTTGGAAGCCACGTGCTTCCTCGTTCGTCACTCCACCGTCGTCCACTGCCGTGTAGCCGTCCACCGAGTCCGTGGGGGCGTCTAGCCACGCTTCGTCCACCTTTCGTTCGTTCGCCTCGCGCCCGCTCCCGAGCGCGCTGTTGCTGACTTGTCCGGCTGCTCGCTAGCCGTCCAAATCGGAAGTGAGCTCACACGTCGAGCTCGCAGTACTCGTGCTACCTGGGGGACCGGGGTCCAGTGCTGCCGATCCTGCCGACCACGCTGTCCGCTGGATACACGCCCACTCCGGCACCAGCTGCAACACCGCCAAATGGCGTCGCGGCCGAGCTCACCGTCTCGCTCGTGGCCGTGACGTCCACCTTCTTACAATATTAAAAAGCCTGTACAGACAACGACGGATAAATCCGGACTCACTGAGAGACATCCTCCAAACTGTAGGACAATCACAGGCCCCGACACAAAAATCCGGAGGGTAAAAATACTAAGATGTGATTGGATGATTTACTAGCTCACAGTACATAAAACGAAGATAAACCGTATGGAAACACAAAAAAGATACGTGTATTAGATCGATACCTCCGGGTAGCCTTTTCAAAGCTACGAATTATCGTTTTCTTCGATATGGCGTTCCACGCAGCACTAGTGGCATTGATAGCACGGATACGTTTTTCTTTTGCCGTGCCTCCCGTAGCTTTAGCACTATTTTTTAGCTTCGCTTTGAGTGGCCCTATGACACCGACATCAAGCGGTTGGCACAACGCTGTGCTGTTCGGTGGCAAGGGGGCCACTGTGGCGTTCGCCTGTTCCGCCACAAGCCCCAGGCCTTCTTCTGATACATAACAATAGAAATTGTCGAGAAGAAGGACAGAGGGAGCATAGATATTTCAAATTTTAGGAGTTTTTCTACGTAGATTTTCCATACATCCTTGTCCATCCATGCATTCTCTTGAGCCGCGTAAACATGCTCATCTGGGAACTCCTTGAACTCGTTTTCTTCAATCCGACCGCCTGGAACTCCACGGATGATGAATAGAATTGGCAATTTCGCTCCTAAATTAAATGAAATAATCACACCAAACATTAGTACAACCTTATGACAAGTAATACGAGTAGTTTTAGAGAATGAACGTACCATCATCGCGAATTGTTAGCACGGCAGTCATACGACCTGCGTGCTTGCTGTTGCCCAGTCAGGGGCTCATATCATGGCCGATACCTGTAATAAATATCGATACTGTATGGCCGGATACTTGTATCAGTATCACCTGATATTGGTGGTGGTGCTGTATTGAGATCCATTGATACTTCGGCATATAAATATCGATATCCTGCGACCTAGTGTAGATTTCACCAACCAGGTTATTTCCATGTGCGCTACCGCACATAGTTACTTGCATATAGCCACTTCTCCCACCCAACAAGCCCACGGCAAGTACAAGTCTACTACTACCATCTCGGTTCGGTTGCGTGCGCGCTCTCTAGAGAATGGCCGACGAGGATACGTCGCCCAGTGATCGTGGCCGTAGAGATAAAGAAGGCGAAGTTGGAGTCGAGTTGGTATTCCACTATCTGTGCGTCACTCAAACCAGAACATGTTTGTTCTTGTCTGGGAGTTCATCCATGTACTTGCTACTCCGATTCCTGACACAAAGAAGAAAAGCAGCTCGTTCACCCACATCTGTCTCGTGTGCGCAGCACACAAAAAAGCACGGACCCGACCTCTTCTGGTCTTAATGCGGCAACAGACGACTGCTAACCCCAGGAAGCACATGCTCAGAGCTCACAAGGATCATCCCTTTTCGGTTGAAAATAAGCTTGAGAATCTGTCTCGCCAAACCCCTATCTACCGTGTGCCAAGAGCGATGTGTCAGTCTTAGTGGCTATGTGGAGAACGAGTTGCGAACCCAGCTTGATAACGACCGGGCGGAGACGATGTGCTTGATGAAGGCTAGTTGGTCCGAGTACAAGGAAGTGCTGCAAAAGAATAGGAGACGGCGACATCACCCAAATTACTGCAGGTACCATCTTTATCAGTATATGTATCATTATATTGATATGATATTGATATTGATATTAGTATCGGTATCGCTGATATCAGCTTCGTCAGAAGGCCGAGATACCCGATACGGTACCAGCTAAACTCGAGCTGGTATGAACCCCTGTGCCCAGTATCCGTGCCGAATCCTTCCGTCCTTTCATGGCCCAGCTCTTGGTAGGTGGCATGTCAAACAGAATTGCCGTCTCATCAACGTTTAACATGCCACCACCTTGATATGACCCATACTTTTACCACACCTCAAAGTGCAAATTTTGCACGGGTTTCTTCAAGTTCTTCATAGGATTTTTTTTAGCTTCTTGGGGCTTATTGAGAAGAAAATCCATAACATAATGAGCCGTAATACGGTTACACATCAATTTTGAAGAAATTATTAGGTATAAACATAATATATTACCGTTTGGCGATTCGTTGCACCATTCTTTCTAGCGCGCTCTCCCCATTTTCCTTGCCGCTAATGTACGAATGCATCCAATCTGGCTCAGTCTCCCACCGTGTAAAAGCACGCATGTTTGTCACGGGATGCCAAACCGTCTGTCTTCAAGCATACTAGTTTATAATTAAAGTCTTTTCTCACTCATCAAATCGGCGCGTGAAATACAGCTGTGGTCAGACTGTCTGAGAGTCAGACATGTTCAATATTATTGTACTGTAGTATAGTATTATTGTAACAATAACACTTATCGAGACTATCATTGATACGTGCCAAATCACGCAAATCCTGGACCATCCCAGTGGTGTACACCCTACGTACTACACTCTATAATATGCTATACTGTACTTAGTACGAAAGGTATCGCTCTCTGTGCTCATTACGCAACCTGCCTTCTATCGTACAAGCCCCCAATACTGCGCCTCGCCCCAACTTGAACCCAAGAAATCCATGCGTCTGAGGCTTACTGACGTTCTACTCGCGACGGCTGCCGCTCTGGTCTTGGCCATGGATGCTTCCTCGGCAAGTAGTGGCGTCACGCTGTCCAAGCCGAACATGGTTCTGCCCAGAGCGGATGGGGGCGTCAGGAGCAACCAGCGATTCCTGAGGGCGCATTACGCTGATGATGGTGAAGACGAGGAGAGAGGCTTCAAGGAATGGCTGGCGTCGCAGACGATATTGTTGCGTCTTGCGCGGGCGGATAATGATGACAAGGCTCGGATTATCTCTGAAGTTCGGGATCCTGACCTCTTAGCAGCCCTCTTCAAACAAACTAAGTCCCACCTGCACGACGCATTCCCGTCATTCAAGGACGGAATGCATGCGAATGACTTTACTGCGATGGTACAGAGGTCCGAGCTAGACAGTGAGACGCAGGGGATGCTGATTAGTGCTTACTCGAAGTATTGGAGCACCAATCAACACCTCAAACCTCCCAGCAGATAAAGTGTTAATCAACTTTTTCTTACCTGCAGTTTTGCAGGCATACCAATACTAAAGCGTTTTAAGAATGGTGTCTTCGATTAGTATTCGTCTTCTCTTACTGGTGCCGAGAGCTTGTGAGTAGGGAAAGTCCTTCAGAGTTACCGACATTTCGCCTATAAGAAAATTTAAAAGACTATTATTGAAAGTTCGTACTTCAGAGTACTTATTTTGGGTGAATGTGTCGTTGAAACGATTGTAATAACACCCCCACGTCAACAATGCATGTCATTTTCTTCAAAAAAACAGGAGAACGGAAAATATTTTCAGTAAACATTTTCCGTCTTCCTGACAGAGCAAATTCGACGCTCACTTCAGATATCAACGAAACGAGCGCTCACAATCTTGCTGATCCATTCTGGCTGGTCAAGCTTTAGTGAACGTTGCAACCAGAAGACATTTTATGGGAAATGATCCTGTAGTCTAAAGCGCCCTGTAATGCTAAAAAAAACACCAATTGTTGAATTCGTAGAGGAGATACTTTTTTTGTAAAATAATCTTGCCGTCAAAACCGCCTAAGGCGATCTGAGGAAGCCTTCGTGCATGTCTGACACCAACTTAACGTTGTGGGTCTCAAAGAACGCTGCGATCCGTTGGAGCTCGTACCTGCTGCCATACGTCCGTAAAAGCGTGTCGACGATAATTTTTGGGGACTCGATGAGCGAGCGTGGAGTTGGAACCTGTGATTATGCTGACATTTCGAGCTACCCCAAAGCGTATTTGATTCGTTCAGCTCGATGGAACTTTGGTTCTTGCGCAACCGGAATAAGGCCTCTCGATTTGGATGTCAGATTTTCACCAAAAAATAAATACTTACGTACACCGAGTGTATTTCCGCGATTAAACGTTTCTCGAGAAATTCTACAAGAGAAGTTTGTTGAAGCAATTTTTTTAAGCAATACCAGGGTTTTATGAAGACCTTATGAATCAATTACGGCGACAGTGGCGCAGTTGACGATACTCGCTACACCACAGTTGACTCCGACGAGCGGTGTAGCTCGAATACAAAACCATAAAAGCCTACAATTTAGGCGATGCTGCATGAAAACATACATTACGCCATTGTTTGATTGGTTAGTATAATGATCGAAACAGCTACAACCATACTTGGTAATAAATGCTGCTGGTCTGGCTTCTGTGAACACTACTACAATCATGGATAGCATAATTGAAATAGTAGGCACCAAGTGTACATGGTGTTAATCCGCACTGTGTACGCGAGAGCGCCAGAGCGCTGCGTTGCTCGGAGCTGAAATAAACCCGTGACGGGCCGACTCACGCATCCCCGGGTATTCACCCTTTCGACAGAGCGGAACGATTACCTTGAAGACGGCAATAGATCTGAAATCTGGAAACCTCACGGTACTTTGGGGTCATTAGAGGTAGTGCCGTTCTTTCTCCACAAGAAGTAGATGGCCATAACGACTCGTTATTAACGGATGACAAAGCATGAGCATGAACGAGCACCACACAGGTGATCACTTTCAAATCCGCTTCCAACGGCACAAGCCCGCACCCACCTCCATCATGCAGAAGGCCTCGTTCTTCGCCGCCCTCGTCCTCGCCATCACCGGCCCCGCCATCTTCGCTGCTGGCCAAGAATCGACCAAGGCGGCGCTCTTCCTCGGGTCGTCGCAGGACCTCGCGGACAGCGTCATCTGCCTCAGTGGCCAGTCAACCTGCCGCAGCCTTCGCGAGCTCGAGGGGGAAGCCGAGGATCTGGCCAACTATTCCATCCTCAAGCCGCTCAACGAGACGTCGGGGGACAAGGAGATGGTCTGCTTCGGGCCCTGTTGTGCCCGTTGCTACCAGTACCGCAGTCGCCGTCTCGAGGAGGTTGTGGACGAGCACCGCCGCCTCGAAGTGTCGGGCAAGAGCCAAGTCCAGGAGATCGCGTGCGTCAACGAGCCCTGGGGACTGCAGTGCAACTAAACCAACTGAACTGGGACGGCCATGTCTCCAAAGCTCATTGTCCGAGTCAAGCCATTATTGATCCGTAAACAGTCTGCCACGTCGTATTTGGGTAGTTAGTGAGTTGTGAAGAAGCCTAAATAATGCAGTCAAGAAGTTGTTTCTCCAAGATTATTCTAACGTTTCTTTTATTGTAATAACCGGTCAAAATGCCCACCTGTAGCAACCGCTTATTAGATCTCAATCACCTAATTAATCAGAGTATAAATCAGTGTATAAATCGATTGTGATCCATATGCATCGCTAGGCTGCACGATTGCCCAGTAAAAGGTGGGCATTCTGCTCCAAACGCGTGGTTTCACATAAATCGATCGTACCCATTCACATATGCATCGCAGGGACGCGATCGATTTACAAATCGATCGCGCTAAATCAGGGTGCTAATCAATCGATTTACGACCAAAATAGGCAAAAGAAGCGGTTTTCACAATAACTTCCAGCGTAACACATTTTGGTTTCAGAATGTTTAACACTTGAGTTTGCCTTTGCAAAAACCTGTTTCTCGTCGTTTTTGCCCGGGGCGGGTTGGTCTTGTGGTACAAGTGCGCAGTTGTCGGCGCAACATTGGTTGCATGAAATCTTAGCACGACAGCATTTCGAAACTCGAGTATTCGGGTAGAAGTCTTGTTGACTGTGACCATTGGTTCAATGCTTGTCAGTCGACCACAGCCGGTGAATTACACAGCTTCAGTTTCTGGTGAAAAAAAATAAATTAAGACTCGAACCGCTACGTTTCCGATGCTCTAGGCATAGCTGGATGCCTTAATTTTTATCGATAAAGTGCTTGGAGCAGTTACGACAATTACTCCTGTTAAAATCTCATACAGGAGCTTGACGCTTCGCATCGGGAACCCCAAAAGCTATGCCCTTATTCTGTTACTCAAAGATGTCGATATACCAGCACGTCCCGAACGCGCATCGCTTCTTCGGGTTGCCGTTGGGGTAGTGGATTCCGTTCGCTAGTTCGTCCATGCTCCCATCTGCAGAAGCAGTTGCCGCAGTGCCGTCGGTCTCGCTTGGTTGGCGCGTCTCCGAGCCGACACCGTTAGTACCACGACGACTCTCAGCAGCGGCCGAGTCGATGGGGGTGAAGATCACAACGATGAGGGCAATGGCGAGGCAGAGCGAAGAGCGTATGTTTGCTTTGGTAGAGCGGGTAGACTTGCGCTTCACAGTGGAATTTAAAGAAGTGAATAGAAGGTTTATAGTTTTGGCAACCCACCAACGTGTCCAAATATTCTAGGTGGTGCTTCTGTCGAATGTGACGACACAACCTACAAACGAATCGCGATAAGCGTTTTTAGTTGTGTGGCTGGGGGCGCGATGAATTACGATGATTCTTAGGTTCTAGTTCTCAAAGGTTTATCTTGTCCGAAGCTTCCTGACGGTGTTGGATTTGTCTTGTGCTCCATAACTGCAGCTTCAAGCCTCTATGGGTCTTGACCAGTCGAAAAAGAGGGGGGGGGTCATCCAAAGTATTACGATGATACACTTAGCCAAGTCACTTTTTTCCTGACCTCTCGAAAATTAGGAAACCTTTCTTGAGCGAAATCGAACCGTAGATTTGGTCGACTGTCGTCAGTTTTGACCGCAAGAACTCTGTTTCCGTTTTTTTTGGCCATGAGCGTAGTCGCCTACATCGAAAATACCGTCGGCATCATATTCAACTACCTGCGGGTAGAACGCTTATCGACCTCGGTCGTACACCACATAACCGCTCGGTAATCACGATTGAATTGTTTCTGATGCTCAAAGTACTGTTAGCTGCCTTGTTTTAAAGAGCTCGGAACGCTACGAGACTGCTACAACAATAGGTTTGCTACCATCTCGCACGGGCACTTGGCGGGTCGCATCGAAATTCCAGAGGCGCTCTCCTTACTTGTTGGCGTAGTCAAAGATGCCGACATACCAGCACGTTCCAAACTCGCAGATCCTCTTCTGGTAGCCGTGGTGGTAGTCGGTTTCTTCCTCAAGAGCGGTCTTGCTCCCTTCAGCAAGCAGACGCAACCGACCCAGAGCTGTCGGTCCCACTCAGTTGGCGCGTCTCCGAGCCAACATCGTTGACGCCACGGAGACTTTCAGCGGCGGCCGAGTCGATGGAGATGAAGGCAACCGCAATGAGAGCAAACGCGAGGCCGAATGACGAGCGCATGTTGTAGGCGGACTTGTGCTTTCCGATGGAAATTGAAAAGTGGTCAAGAGGTTTGGCGCCGATGGGATGGCTCACGTGATAGTCGCCCACCCTAAGCACGCGCAAGCCTGCAAATTCTAGGTGGTTGTTTGACTCTAACTTACTGTAGATGCGGTACAAGCGTCACCTCAAATAAGCGAACCGAGAGCTCCCTATTCGAGAATTTGAAGATGGTGATTGCTTGGACGAAAGTTACGTTAACAGATTTGTCTTCTGGAAGTGATCCGTGGTGCCAACGCTTGGCTAACATAATGCGACGCTCGAAATGTGTTATGCTGAGCATTGGTCACGTCACAGCACCTTAGAACAGACCCCATGACTGAATAAACACACGCATGTAGTTTTTGATTTATCGTTTTGTGCCATCTGCCTACTGCCAATTGCACTTGCCTACCTACCAACCTACCTACCAGGACGGAGTGGACGCCGCCTCGCCGCAGCCGACACCGCCCGAAGAAATGGGCTTGGGGGCCTTGCCACGCATCGCGGCGCGGAACAGGTCCGCCTTGTGCTGCTTGAAGAGCGTCTTGAGGCCGCCGCCGTTGAGGAAGGCCTCCTCGAGCTGCGTGAGCGAGAAGGCCACCTGGTGGTCCTTGACGCTCACCACGCGGTTGCGCAGGTCGACGGTCACCTCCTCGCCCTCGGCCGCCAGCTCGTGGAACTTCTCGTCCGTGACGACGATGCCCAGCAGCGCGTTGTTGGGCTGGTTGCGGGCGTAGATGTAGGCGAACGACTTGGCGATGACGGCCTGCACGCCGACGGCCTTGAGGCAGATGGCGGCCTCCTCACGCGACGAGCCGCTGCCGAAGGCCGTGCCGGCCACGATGATGTTGAAGCCGTCCTTGACCTTCTGCGGGAACTCGGGGCGCACGTAGGCGAACGACTTGGCGGCCAGCACGTCCAGCTCCGTCTCGCAGTCCTCGGGCCACAGGGGCGAAGACTTGTTGAGACCCATGAACTGGGCCGGGATCACGGCGTCCGTGTCGATGTTGTCGCCGAACACCTGCACCTTGCCGCTGAACTTGGGCGGCAGCGCGGCCTCCAGCTCAGCCACAGCGGCCTGCTCCTTGGCCTGCTGAACGCTCTCGTCGTCGCCGCCCGAGGCGAGCACGGGCTGCGGCTCCGTGACCTTGTACGACTTGGTCGACTTGGCCGGCGACGGGGTCGACGCGTCGGGCTCCACCCAGTTGCGGTAGTTGTCGAAGTCGTCCTTGTTGATCTTGTCCAGGTACGGCAGCGGGTCCACCACCTCCATGTCGAAGCTCGAGGCGGCCACAACCGCGGCCGAGCTCAGGTTACCGATAGAGCCCTTGCCCATGCGGTTGCGGAAGTTGCGGTTCTGGCTGGAGAGCCACACCTCGCCCTCGCCGGCGACATCGGCACCAATACCCACGCAGAAGCTGCAGCTCGGGACGCCGACCGTGAAGCCAGCCTCCTCGTAGATGCGGATGAGACCCAGCTCCTTGAGGCGGTCGATGATCTCGAGACTGCCGGGGGTCACGCGGCGCTGGCCGTTGGCCGACGGGCGCTTGCCCTCTAGCATGGCCTGCTGCAGCACCATGGCGCCGAGGATCAGGTCCTCCTGCGTCGTGGTACAGGCGCCGATGAAGCAGCCGTCCAGCTTCATGCCGAACTTCTCCTGCACGCTGACGCAGTTGTCCGGGGACGGGTACAGCGCGATCAGCGGCTTGACGTCCGCCAGGTTGATCACGTGGTGGGCGGCGTAGTTGCAGCCCTCGTCGGGCTCGAAGAACAGCGCCTCGTCGAAGTGCGACTCGCGCGCCTCGAGCACGCGCTGCGTGATGGCGTCGGCCTGGAACACGCCGGCGATGCCGCCGAACTCGGTGCTCATGTTGGCCACGGCGAACCGCGCGTCGTCCGAGAGGTACTTGAGGCCGGAGCCGCCGTAGTACACGGCGCGCTCGAAGGCCACCGTGTTGCGCTTGAGCTCTCCGAGGATGTGCAGGATGACGTCCTTGCCGCCGATGCCGAAGCGCGGGGCGCCCACGAACTCGATGAAGCAGACCTCGGGCACCTTGAACCACGTCTGGCCCGTGACCAGCGGCATGACGACGTCACCGGCGCCCAGGCCGGCGGCGAAGGCGCCCATGCCGCCGGCGCTGCACGTGTGGCTGTCGGCGCCGATGACGATCTGGCCGGGCTGCGCGCGCTTGCGGGCGAACTCGGTGTGCATGATGGTGGTGTTGGCCGGCTGGAAGTCCGTGAGGCCGTGGGTCTTGGCGAAGTTGGTGGACATCTCGATGAGCGCCTTCTGCTTGGGCAGGTGGTTCACGCGCGGGTCCACGGTGTGGTCCAGCGCCAGCCAGAAGCGGTCGGGCCGGTGCAGCGGCGGCCGCCCGATGGCCGCGTGCATGGTGTCCATGGCCTGGAAGGTGAGCTCGCTGGCGATGGTCCAGTCCGCCTTGACGCACAGCACGTCGCCCACGCGCACGTGCGGCTGCGAGAGGCCCACGGCGTGGTGGCACAGGATCTTCTCGATCACGTTCATGCGGGGCGAGGCGGCCATGGCGTTGTTGTGGCTTGGAGATGCAGGCGGAGCAGAAGGGCAGAAGGGTGCGAGTCCGGTGGTGCAACGCGAAATGCGGGCTTGAGCTCGAGGAGCTCAACGTGGACCCTCCATAAAGGGATACGATTGGCTTTGGCAGGGTGATTGCGCATACAAAAATGTAGCCATGTGACGGTTCAACTGACGCAGCAGCCAGACTGAAGGCTCGTGTGGCGGGGGCGATGGTGCTCTCTGCATTCTACTGTATCTACGTCTCAACGTGCTGGTTTGACATTGCTGCTGCAGTATCGAATGAGGGCTGAAGTTGCAGGGCTTTGATGGCGCTTCGATTACTTTGATTACTCTGGGTACATTGCCCCTTTGCCGCTTTGTGCAGTTGCTTCAGGTTCGGGTACATGTACGACGGGTTTTTACGGCGCAGCGTCGGCGGAGTAGGCGAGTCCGAGGTCGAGGCGGACCTTGTCCATGATCTTCATGATGCCGAGCGACTCAGCGTGCGAGTACTCGCTCCTCTCGGTTCGGTTGCTCTGGATGGCCTCCGCGACGGCCTGCGCCTCGTAGAGGAAACCCGAGTGGTGGTCGGTTGGCGTCGGCCACGGGAACCGCGAAGTCTTCTCCGTCTCCTTCCCGTTCGCGTCGTACGTGACGACTGAGACCTCCATCGTCGCGTGGGCTGGCGGGTGGATGAAGATCCGGCCCTTGGTCCCCGTGATGGTCACGGTCTCACTGATCCGCGCCAGGGTCGAGTACTCGACCGTGGCGAAGCGCTGGCCGCTGTACTCGAGCGTGATCGAGCTGTACACATCCACACCCTCATCACTGAGCTTCCCAGCGGCCGCCACCTTCTCAGGCTCGAACCCGAACACCATCGTGGCAGACGCCAGCACGTAGACGCCGATGTCCAGCAATCCGCCACCGCCCAGCTCCTTCTTCCAGATGCGGTCGTTGTCCGCTTTGAACGGGACGCCGAAGGCTGAGTGCACGTGGTGGACGTCTCCGATCCCGCCGTCGTCGAGCAGTTGACGAACGAAGCGGATCGAGGGGAAGAAGCGCGCCCACATGCCCTCCATGAAGAAGAGCTGCTTCTGCTGCGCCAGCGTGATGACCGCTTCCGCCTCCTTCGCGTTCATGGCCATGGGCTTCTCCAGCAACACGTGCTTGCCATGATTCAAAGCCAGCGTCGCAAGCTTGCAGTGCGTCGGGTGGATCGTGCCGATGTACACCACGTCCACCTCTGGATCGGAGCACAGCGCCTCGTACGAGTCGTATGCATTAGGGATACCTGCACGCGGTGACGTCAGGTTGTCGTTTGAAAGTTCGCGCGGAAGTTGAACTCGTTACCGTGCTTTTTGGCGAATTCCTCGGCCTTGTCCAGTGATCGAGCAGCGCAGGCGTGGAAGATGGCAGTCTCCAGAGGCTTCACGTTGCTGACGAAAGTGCGGCCGCAGCCGAGAATGCCCCAGCGCAGTGCGACCTTCTTGTCGATGGAAGTCATGGCTACAAGTTCTGTGTCGAGTGAGACAAAAACGAGAATGGCGTGGCGACCTGAGGAACTCACGCGGTCGAGGGCTCTGAAGGCTACGATTGCTCACGATGTTGGTTGTGGTTGAAGTTTAGAGCTACTGAACGTGCATACTGACTGCCTAGCTACTCCTAGGCATCGGCCGGGTATGCCAGACTAATGTCTTCACGGATTTTGTCCATAATGGTCATGATGCCCAAAGACTCTTCCAGCGAGTATTCGTCTGCCTCGAGCTTCTCGGACTGAATGGCCTTCGTCACAGCTTCGCCCTCGTGCAAGAATCCAGAGTACCCGTTGTCTGGGTCCGGCCAGGGGAACGTCTTTGTTGTCGCTTCCTCTTGGCCTGGCCCGACACTACGAATGACCGAGACTTCCGTCGCCAAATGGGCCGGTGTATGAATGTGGATGCGGCCAGTGGTTCCTGAAATCGTGACGGTCTCACTGAGCTGCACCAGCATCGAGTACTCGATCGTAGCGAAGCGCTGGTCGGTGTACTGCAGCGTCACCGAGTTATGGATGTCCACCCCGCCGTCGTTTAGTGTACCAGCGGACGTCACCTTCTCGGGCTTGGTGCCGAACACCATCGTCGTGAAGGCGAGAGTGTAGATGCCGATGTCCAGCAGCCCTCCCCCTCCCAGTTCGTTCTTCCACAGACGCGCCTCGTCCTGGGGGAACGGATAGCCGATCTCGGCGTGAACGTGACGCACCTCGCCGATCTCATTGTCAGCCAGCAGCTTGCGCACGAAGCGGATGCTCGGAAAGAAGCGCGTCTACATTCCCTCCATGAGGAAGCGCTTCTTCTCCCTCGCCAGTGCAATCAGCGACGCCGACTGCTTCGCGTTCATGGCCATGGGCTTCTCCACCAGAACGTGTTTGCCATGGTTTAGGGCCAGCGTTGCGTGCTCGCAGTGCCAAGGGTGCAGAGTGCCGATGTACACAACGTCGACCTCTGGGTCAGAGCAAAGAGCTTCGTACGAGTCGTACGCGCGAGCGATACCTGGTCGAAGCAGACAATAAACCACTTCAGCACCAAGTTTGAACTATTGTAAAGACAGACATGGAGCGCACCGTGAGCATTGGCGAATTGCTGCGCGCTTTCAAGCGACCTGGCCGCACAGGCCTGGAACGTCACGTGCTCCAGCGGCTTGATAGCGCCAGCGAAGGCGTGCGAGATCCGGCCGCAGCCAAGGAAGCCCCACCGGAGCGAGGACGTCTCAGCCATGGTTGTCAAACGGACAGAGTTGTCGGCACGGTGAGAATGCAATTGTGGCAGGCTGCTGTGCTGCCTAGCGCGACTTCACTGCGATGATTCGTGGTTGAAGAGAAGGCGATCCACAGCTGAATCACGCTGACAAATCCCATGCCCTTAGCCCACGTGCGTTCACGCAAGCCCGAGCTGCTCTACATGTACATTATTGCACCGTGGCTCACACCAAAATGATGATCCACGTGCAGACGCATGGTGTTAAGTTCTCTTAACGCTGCTTCTAACGCTTATAGGTATTGACGTTGTAGCTTACAGGCGACGACAGGATCACAACATTACATGCAAGGACAAGTGCCAAGTGGGTTTGATGAGTAGAGCTTTCAACGTTACGCAAGTTAACGAAATATAACGTTAAAAATTTACCGTAGTCGCTAAGATCTTCACGTAAAGATACCGTTATTGGCGACCCTTCCGTGTGCGGCTCAGGATGCCTGCAACACACTTCGCGATACTCACGTCGGCGATTGCCATGAGCTCCCAACCGTCCGCACCTCCTGTGCAGAGGTGGCCGCCGGATCCAGCTCACGACGCTCCATCCGTCCATGGTCAGAGTATTCAGTCATCCGCTCCACACTTCGCGATACTCACATCGGCGATTGCCATGAGCTCCCCTCCATCCGCACCTCCTGCGCCAAGGCCGCCGCCGGATCTAGCTCACGACGCTCCACCCGTACATGGCCAGAGTCTTCGACCTCGCGATGAGCGCCGAGCGCTCGGTTCAGCCCCGCCAAGCTTTCTCAAGAGCAAGAAAGAGTCCTACCAAGCATACTTGATGCCACGCGCTGCGTATAACACGAACCAACCGGCGGCAGTTTACGCATCGAGTCCACCCCTTCGCGATCGGCTTGTGTTCGACGACGAAGCCTTGCTTGCGGAGGCGGCATCGCCCCCTCACGGGTATGCTACACCTGCAAAGTCACCCGGCACCCGTTTTCGGCGGGCTACGCCCACCGGTGGACCTCCATCAAGTTGCGAGTCAGTGGTTACGAGAAGTGCTTCACGCAAGCGACTTGCTGCTAGCATGGAGAGAGAGCATGGCGGGGCTACATCTGGCGATCGATCTGCAACTCGTGAAAGTGCTCAGCGGAAACGAGCCACTCAAACCAACAGTTGTCGTCGCGGGCTATCGCCACACCGGGGCCACCGCGAATGCGATGGCATGACGTCTCCCGTAGGCGAGCAGCAAACGAGCACTCCATCGAAGACACACCAGAGGTCAAACAATGAGAAAGGCAAGCGGACGTCTCGAAAGAAGAAGCAGCAGCAGCAGCGAGATGACGCGCAGCTCGATCGCAGGACTGCTCCATCTGGGGTTGAAACTGGGTCCGTTGTTCCGAATGCTAGTTCGGTACTTCCACTAACCTCAGCACCTGTACTTTTTGAGATGTACAAAAAGCGCAAACCCCAGAATTGGCAGTTTATCCAGCTCGTTTGCAAAGATGAATTTCGGGGAATGAACAAGCAACATCTCCGGTCCGAACACGCTCGCTGTGCGTATTGCACCAGGTGCAACAAGGAAATCAAGTTTGAGAAATCCTGCACCACTTACGTCTCGAAGCACATGGCCAAGGTGCATCCCAAAGATCTCAAGCAAGCGGTTGAAGCCATCGAAGCCCAAAAACGGGACCAAACGCAGACCTAGTTTTCATCAGGACGTTGGAACGATGCCAAAGCGCTCGGCATTCCAAGAACCGGCCACTCCGGAAGAGCAGGATCGATGCGATAAGTTGGCGTCGATTTGGATCGCGAAGTCAGGTCGACCTTTTACTATCGTCAACGATAAGTACTCAAGGATGCTCAACTCGATTCAAGGATATGTGAAAACTGTTAAGCCTTGGAAAGCGCGAGAAGGAGTGGAGATTGTGGCCGCCGAGTTGCGTGTTGTGCTCAAAGAGAAAGTTGGTGTTGACTGTGTGTATTATTCAGCTTCAACGGACATTTGGACGGCTCGGAGTAAACGCGGCTTCATAAGTTTCACGCTGCATTATTTGGACGAGAATTTCAAGATGCATTGCTGGATCCTCGAGATAAAACCGCTTCCCGGAAAGCACGACGCTTACAAAATTGCTGATGCGTTGCAGGAGTGTTTGACTGACTGGGGTCTACGCAAAGAATTCTGCGTCAAGTTTCTTCGCGATGGAGCTTCGAATGGACGGAAAGCGTGTGAGTTACTGGGCCTCGATTCGATGTCGTGTCTCGCCCATACGCTGCATCTCATCGTGGGTGCTCGGATTGTCACGAAAAAATCTAAGAAGTCTTCTACTGTGCTAATGGCGGCAGCAACAACGGGCAATGATTTTGAAGCTGCACTTGATGAAGAAGCGTGTGAGGCAGTCGAGGAGTTCGTTGAAAAATCGTGCGAGGCCTCAACGACAATTTCGCGTACTGATCTGGACAAGCTGCGTGCTGTAGTTGATAAATTTCGCAAACTGGCTACATTTTTTAGCCACTCGACTAAGGCCATGGATTGCTTGAGAAAGCTTCAAACCAAGGAGTTTCTCCCCCAGACCGACTGTGCGACCCGTTGGAACAATACTTACGCGATGTTGCTGCGAATGATTGAGATTCGTGGTACATTGGATGGTTTTTCGAGCATGTTGCCACAACAGGCGAGTTTTCGGACTCTACCGCTGAGCAGCCAACCGCTGAGCATTGGCTGGTGATACGATGTTTGATTGTTTTGCTTCAGCCGTTTGCAGACGCCACCGATGGGCTAGGCGGCCAAAAGTACCCTACACTCGCTATCGCAGTTCCGGTACTTCGTCAAATCGAGAGGAAGCTCAAGAATACCGAAATGTTCGATGCGACCATTCGCTCTGTTGGCAAAGAAGACTTCGCGGGCCGAGTCAAGTTGCTTATGGACTCCGTGAGGAAAACGTTCATTCAACTCTTCACGGATAGATTCACAAGTAAGCTTCCTGAAGAGTTACTATGGATCTCGGTTCTAGACCCCAGATGTGCTGAGCTCATGCACCAATCGCAGCAGGAAGCGGCCATCGCCAAAACGCGTCTGAAGTCGGCGGCAATAGTGATGGCCAAAGAGATCAGTGCCGGCAATGATGATGGCAGTGCTCTCGGTCGCCGTTCTTGCGCATCGGACCCACAGTCAAGCGCCAAAAAGGAGCATATAGCCTGGTTGACGGATGTTTTCAGTGGCGGTGTTGGAAATCGCGCAGTCCAAGAACCACCAGCGGTCAATGAGAGCCTGAAAGATAAATGTGAGTCTGAGATCACGCTGTACTTGAGTGATGCACAAGGAACTGCTGCTACGGTGAATCCATTGAAGTGGTGGACCAAGGAGCGCCGAGCGAATTACCCTATAATAGCAGCTTTAGCGCGGAAGTGGCTTGGGTGCATCGCAACTTCAGTGCCGTCTGAACGAGCATTTTCCCAAAGCGGAAATGTGGTTACGTCAAAACGTTGCTCTCTGGATCCTGAAATCATACGTGACATCATGTTTGTCGGAGAAAACTACGCGGACGACGATGATAATTTACCGAGTGATGAGAGTGACGGCAGTGATAAGGATTAAATACGTAAGTAAGCCCGTAGCACGTGAGTTAAACTGTCAACATAAAATATATAGTGATCCCGTTTATTGTATGATCGTTGCACCTTCAACAGCTAAATTCCTTACCCGGTCAAATCTTGCTTTATCCAGCAAGCAGCCCACTGCGGTCATACTGCGAAATGTCCGGAGTACGATGCGCACTACGCTGGATTTGTCGTTGATGTCCTTCTTGAACATGGTCACCTTGGTAAGCAGCCACCGACGCATACAGCAGCATCGGTGTACCTGGCAGCTACAGCTTCTTCGCTTCACTGAACTCTCCCAGGCGCGTCGCCCTACGTAAGCAGAACTCAAAGCACCTTGTCAGTCATCGCAGCAGTGTATATCGTCCTTGCAACATGCCCTACTGAGCACACCGCGTGGAGCCCGCGCACAACGTAGTTCATCCTCCGCTGCTTCTTAGACTACCGATAGACTCACCACGACGAATAGAACATGCCGTCGTGCACAGTCACGCACTCGGGACGAATCCATCAGTCCAGCGATGCTCACCGCTAGCGACGATGCCCGCAGTTGGGCCCTTCAGCGGGGGAATAAAATGATGCGTGGTCTACGGCACTCGTAACGCAGTGTAGACGGTTGATTAGACGTCCAGCGTGTAGTCGCACGAGAATACTACGTACCATATTAGCATCTTCATCCCGCCCGCAGCAGCAGCTTCCAAGCTTCTCGCCTCACTAGACTTGCTGTTGGTGTGAAAATGAAGTAGTCGGACCAACCGAGGACAGGGACCAGTAGATTTTGATTTTGATCCAATCATCTGAGCTGTTCGTTATCGCTCGTTATCTAACGTAAAAAAACGGATAACGCTAACTTTTTCGTTGTCCAGATAACAGCAAACGTTGAAAGGCCTATTGATGAGCCCCCACGGGCTCTCGCAAACTGCCATGAGATGATAGTGCAGACGTCAAGTTGACGAAGGCGCGGTTCAAGCGATGGGTCCATGGCATCTGATTAACCTCCACCGCGGACGTAGATGCTCTGCAGTCTGCCAATTACATTGCACTACAGGTACTCAGACGTTGTGGCGTGACAAGACTGCCAGCATCAATGATGCGTGGATGCACGTTTCATCATGCAAGCATTTGCCCCTGAAGGGGCTCGTCGACTTGAAGCTCTATTAGTATTTTAATATTAAAATAGAGCTACGCATTATCATAGGGTACATACGTAGACCAAGTAAAAATACTATACTTAAGTATCCGTTGTAACAAATCATCGGGTGCGATTGACGATTTTCGTGTCAGCGTATCCTTGTCCATTTCGAGTTTTTCGGTTTGAGCCACACATAATAACGGATCCCATGACCGCCCCTCTTCGCTGGGGCTTCCTCGGCTGCGGCCGCATCTCGTCGGACTTCGTGAGCGCCATGAAGTCGCTGGACGACGTCGTGTTCCAGGCCTGCGCCGCGCGCTCGCTCACCAGCGCCCAAGCCTTCGCCACGGAGCACGGTACCAAATCAAAACCTCAAACTATATTAAGATGAGGACACAAAAGTACTCAAACTATTTTCGAGTATTATTTGCATAGGCATCGCCAAGGCGTACGACTCGTACGAAGCGCTGGTCTCGGACGCCGACGTGGACGTCGTGTACATCGGAACGCTGCACCCGTGGCACTACGAGCACACGGTGCTGGCCCTGAACCACGGCAAGCATGTTCTGGTGGAGAAGCCCATGGCCATGAACGTGACTCAAGCCTCGGCCGCCATCGCCCTCGCCCGAGAGAAGAAGCTCTTCCTCATGGAGGGAATGTGGACACGCTTCTTCCCCGCTATCCGCCACGTGCGCCAACTGCTGGCCGACAAGGAGGTCGGGGACGTCCACCACGTCCACGCGGCCTTTGGCTGCCAGTTCGACGCCGACAACGCCCGCATGTGGCACAACGAGCTGGGCGGAGGCGGCCTCCTGGACATCGGCATCTACCCGCTGGCCTTCGCCACGATGGTCTTTGGAGCCGAGCCCGAGAAGGTCACGTCGACCGGCAAGCTGAACGACGGAGGAGTGGACATCCACAACTCGGTCACGCTGGAGTACAGCGACTCCCGATTCGCTACCATTGAGTACACGATGCTCGCCACGATGGACGAGACGCTGACTATCACGGGCAGCAAGGGACGCATCCACCTCCCAGCGCCGGCTCACACAGCCACGGAGGTGAGGCTCGTCAAGTACGCGGAGGACGGCTCGCAGAAGGAGACCAAGTCGCTGTTCCCGTGGCCGGCGCCTGCCCCCGGAGTCACCTTCAACTACGGCGGCTCGGAGGGCTTCCGCTACGAGGCGGAGACGGTGATCGAGGCCATCCAGAGCAAGCAGCTCGAGAGCAAGGAGTACCCGCTGGACGAATCGCTCCAGATCATGACCATCATGGACAAGATTCGCAAGGACGTGGGACTCGTGTACCCCGCCGACTCCCAGTAGGTCTGTCGGTCATCCTTGTCGCTCGCAGTGCATCAGCGGCATTATGAGTTTGTTGTGTAGTGCCACTAATGCATTGCAGCAGTGTAGCCCAACTTCGTAAGAAAAAAGCAAATAAAAATGTGCTTTGAGGAAGTGAGATTTTAACCTGCAGTCTACCGCCGGGATTGCATGCTCTACCGACAATGCGAGAATGTGAAGCCAGGACGGCTTCAACCACGAATCAACACTTATTCAGAATTATCCACTCATAGACAGAAGGAGCACGTGGTCCTGACCGTGCGGCTCATTGAGCTTCAACATTACTCGAGTCGGCTTGCAAACTAAGAACACTTTCGATTTATCGTTCTGGAGGGGAAGCACTAACTCCATGGGTGGCGACTCGCAACCTCCGCTCCGCTGGGGGTTTATCGGCTGTGGCAACATCGCCAACGACTTCGTCAATGCCATGAAAGGCACGGCAAATGGGACGATCAGTCTGGCAGCGTGCGCAGCTCGGTCGCTCGAGTCCGCTGAAAAGTTCGCCGCGACGCACGGTAAGACCAGTAACTCTACACTTCTGGCTATTCCAAAGCCTCCGCTAATACTTTGTAATGTGTTGCAGGCTTTGCCCGTGCGTATGGGTCTTACGAGGAACTTTGCGCTGATCCAGAGGTGGATGTGGTGTACGTCGCCACGATCCACCTCATGCACTTCGACCACGTCACGCTCGCGCTAAACCACGGGAAGCACGTGCTGGTGGAGAAACCCATGACGATGAATGCCAAGCAGACAGCCTCAGTGATTGAGCTGGCCAAGGCCAAGAAGCTTTTCCTCATGGAAGGTAGGATCTACTGGTTCAAAGCTTCCGGCGAAGAAATGATTGGTTGCCCACATTGCTCTGTGAATTCGCAGGAGTGTGGACGCGCTTCTTCCCCTCCATCAAGTTCGTTCGTCGACTCCTAGCTGAAGAGCGCATCGGAGCCGTCCACCACGTACACGGCGATATCGGCATTTCCTTCGTGAGCTCCCAAACCGAAGCGAACTTCCGCAGTTCGTCGGGGGACGGTGCGCTTCTGGGCATCGGGATTTACCCGCTGTCATTCGTGACAATGGTCTTCGGCACCAAGCCGCTGAAGATCACCGCAACCGGGAAGACAAGTTCAGGAGGGGCCGATGTCTACGGCTCAGCGACTCTCGAATACAGCGGCAACCGCTTCGGCACCTTCAACTTCACGGCGCTAGCGGAACTGGGCAACAGCGTCACGATCACGGGCAGCAAGGGTCGAATCCGTATCCCATCGCCAGCCCACAGCGCGACGGAGGTCGTTGTCACGCAGTTCCTAGAAGACGGGTCCCATCAAGAGACGACGACCAAGTTCCCGTGGCCAACACCTTCCTCCAGCATCGCAACGCCGTTCAAGTACCCAGGGTCGGAAGCTCTCGTCTACGAAGCGGAAGCTGTCACCGAGGCAATCCGAGATGGTCGACTGCAGTGTGAAGAGTACCCCCTCGAGGAGTCGTTGGCCATCGCCGAGATCATGGACGAGATCCGAGAGGCTATTGGGGTAGTCTATGCAGCGGACAGCGGAGGCAAGCGCCATTAAACAACCTTCAACTGGTCGCAATTCCAGTGGTGCGGTCGAACACAACACTCAATGAATGGGCGGCACAGGCGATAACGAGTCGTCCGTTTTCGTTATCGTTTGCCATTATTCGCCGGCTATGAATACGATTAGGGAACGATCTTAGCGGTTGCATGTCCTCCTTATCACGTAGCCTGCCTGCCTTCCCCCTTGGACGGCCCTAGACGCCAACTTGAAACAGCTACCTGGCCAGGCTTGATGAGTGTAAGCCGAAGCACGAATGGATTGCCCGCGCGACTGCTGGTAGCTCACATTGGCACGGGCTTGAGTCTGCCCACAAGAGTCTCACTCCCACGAGTTTCCAGCATCGCCAGCAGCTCGGGAGCCCCTACGATCACCACAAGTCGTGATGTCTCCGACCTTGGCACCCAACCTGGCAGCAACATTACTGAGAAGACCAGCAAACATGTCGAATTGCACGTCATGGACGAAGAAACAGCAACAAGCAGTGTGTTAAGCCGATGCTTCGAGTGGCAGGGGCCTTCGCTCAAGTATCAGGGGCGGTATTCCATCGACAAGCTGCTCGCGTTCGAGGATTATCAGCGCGTTGTGAGTCCACTGCGTGTGCTTGGAGTTCTCGTACTGACTCCGGTTCCCAGTCTCATTGTCGTCGTGCTGCTCGCTGCCATCCCGCTCGAGAGTCCGCTGCTAAGTGTGGAGGAGAACGTAACGTACTTTTTGCAGTCATTTCTCGCCCACGCCGCCATGATCTTCAGCTTGTCGCTGTTTGTTCGGTGTTCGCTCGGATTGCCATCGAAACTCCATTCCCACTCGGAGTCGGCTCTGGTCTCGGTACTCACGGCGACTTGCAATGAGCTTGTGATGCTCGGAATCGCCGTATTGTGGAGATTTCCAGTTCCATTCGACCCATTCGTGAGATTCCCCACGCTAATTGCGCTATTCGGCCTCTTCCAGAAACTCATTATCGGCTCGAGACTGCGCCATTACCACCAGCAAATGATCCGTATCGAGTACGCCCTGCTCGTCGTGTTCCACATCTTGGCTGTTGTGTTCATCAAGGCGCCGAGCTCAGTACAGGCGGGGCTCACGGCGGCGTTCCCGGTACTCTTCGCCATGAACAAGCGGATGGTGTGGTGCGTCTCCCATCCGCTGCAGGACATGAGCACGGACGTCACGCTCTGTGTCGTGGTGATTTTCGGCTCGCTGCTTCGAATGATCTGTCTTCAGAGTGTCCACTCGCTGGAAGTGGGTGTGCTGTTGGTGCTTCTTGACGCGGTTCATGGATTAATCGAGACGTGGCTTTACCTGGGACACAAATTCATAGTCGACGGACGCCAGACGACTCGAACTGCCGTGAAGATCGTGGAAGGAGCACTTTTCCCCAGCGTCGTGAGCTCGAATGACGTACTGGGAATAGCCAAAGTCCTACCAAACACGTTCGCCTTCCTGGGAGATGCACTCAAAGGTGCCTCGGTGCCCGTCGACAGGCCGGAACGACTACTAAAAACATCTCGAGTGGGCTCAAAGAAGCACAAACACAAGAAGCTCAACAGTGACTTCACTAAGAGATTCAGTGCCAGCGTCGTGGTGATGGATACAGAGCCTTTTGCTCAACTGGGTCTCACTACCGCCCCATCTCGGAAACCTACGCCCTGCCTTTGGTTTGTATCGACGACGTGGACATCCCTCATCGCGAGCACGCCAAGTTGTTATCGCAGGCGCTGCAGCTCCTATTCGCCTCGGAAATGCTCATCTTTGCCGAGTACTTTGAGTTGGCGGGTGCGGTGGTCTATGGTTTGTATTCTTTTGCACTCTACCACTTGCCGTACGCCAACTACAACTTCAGCTTCATGGGCGTCTCTACTAGAGAGTTTTGGTGTTCTTTCGGGAGCACAGCGGTCTACGCCGTGTTCAAACTACTGTCGCTAGCGGCGTTGTTTGCGCTGGTTCGCACCAAGTGCGGTGTCTCGACGCTCTACCAACTCTCGTTCGTTCTGGAGAAGTACTGGATGAGTGTACAAGGCAAATTACTATCTGCGCTGCTGTTCACGTTTTTTCTCAACACGGTTCACCACGGTATGACGGACGGAATCTTTGCTCATATCGACATGCTCTTTTTTCAGATAAATAACTTTGAAACATCTTGGATATTGTTGGAATGGACTTGTCACTGAAGTTCGACTGGGAAAACATCTTGAACGGCGCATCCGGTTGACCAGCACCAACTGCTGTAGTGGCGAAATGGCTCGTATGGTTTCAGTCGTGATCCAATCCGTGAGGCCGATACAAATATTTGTTGTGCTCTATGCTCGCTGGACTTGTGATGTACAAGTTGTTGATGGCTCATATCGTTCTCAGCGCCTATAGCATATTGGCTGGCGATGGAACGAGGTCTGGGGATCCATTCTCATTCCACATCGTGCTGTCTGAAGCATAGAGGAATCGCCACTCTCCTGAAGCGAAGTCATGGCCAAGTGGGGGATCTTCGTCATACTATGGATGGCCCTCCTCGCCTCCATTTCGGCTGATCACGACCCGCGGATGCGTCGAGCTGAAGTTGTGGTGCGCAAAGCGAATTCATCGTCGTCTGGAAGCTTCGACCAAGAGCTGACGAGCCCAGGCGAGCTTACGCGCGCGATTTCCAAGCTCAAGGACCACATTCGGTGCTTCAAGAGTCTGTTCAACGCGGAAAAGTGTATCATCTTGGCGACTAAACCCTCGTGAGCAAGGAGGTAGGCATCATAATCCCACGCGTCCAGAACTAATGTCATACCTCCATTCGCTCGAAGATGGACTTGTTCGATTGCCTCGTACGACGAGGCTGCGCTCATAGCCTACAGCCGACGGAAGCACCACCTCGAACATATAACTTCCTATCGCTGGTAAAACCTCTTAACAACTCTTCAATTTCCATCGAGAAGCACAAGTCTGCCAACTCTAAGTGAAAGCATGCGCATTTCAGTCGGCCTCGCGTTCGCCCTCATCGCTGTCGGCTTCATCTCCATCGACTCGGCCGCCGCTGAAAGTCTGCGTGGCGCTAACGATGTCAGCTCCGAGGTTCGCCAACTGAGCGAGACCAACGGTTCTGGGTCGACTGCTCCGCTCTCGTCTGTGGATGCCAGCAAGGCTGGGCCTGAGGAGAAGACCAACTACCACCAAGAGCAGCGCTGTGGGCTCGGCCAATGCTGGACCGTCGACGTCTATGACCAATAAGCTCGAAGCATCGGCAGAAGCATCTTCCAGAGTCGCTGACGCGAAGATTCAATCCACGCCTTCAGCTTGTCGCAACAGTGTCGTAAGTGTGAGTGTACCAGAAACTTTAAAAATGTCAAGAATGAAAAATTCTTTGAGCATCAGATAGCTTGATGGTTAGTATGTTTTTATCGGTTCATCAAACTACTAATGCGCGGGAATGAATTTTAGTGTGAGAGGTACCTTAGATGACGCCTATCAAAGAAATCAAGTGGTCAACTGTCAAGCATTCTGATACGTACCGGCGAAGACGACGTACGCGGTCATGTTCGCGTCGAGAAGAATACAACCCACGATGAATGGAAGTACCTCCTGAGCTGTATCCAATCCGTATCCAAAAATTGGGGTTTTCGGTTTGATGTTCTCACTTCGCAATTGACGTCCTCAACGTCACGCTACCTCGGAAGCATGACCAACTGGACCGTTGTTGTGTCAATTTGGATGGCACTCTTCTCCTTCGTTACGGCTTCGCATGAGCCACGGACGCTTGAACAAGTCGCCGAGCTGCACGATGCAAACTCGTCACTCACCGGGGACATCGACCAGGAACTTGTACATGCAGCCACTGCGATCCGCCGCACCTCCAAACCGCCAAAGACCAACACACGGTGCTTCAAGAGCTTATTCAACACGGAGCAATGCGTCACCCTGGCGCCCACATCGTCGTAAGCGAGAATGAAGCGACCAGAACCCAGTACCTCTTCTTCCCCAAGAATGAACGTTCTAATTTGAAGTCTTCATAAACCTTGGAACCGAATCACCAAAATGCCCTCAACAAGCCACCACCCAAAATGGATGGAATTCCCGCGTGTTGGCAACTTTCGGACAACTCCACGGCTTCACTCACTTTCCAAGTGGCACCCTGAAGCTTCAACCTCTTTAGTCATGCGCGCCTCGCTTGCCGTCATCGCTGTTCTTGTCGCTGTCAGCTTTTCACCCGAAGTTGCCGACGCTGCTGCAGCGTTCAGGGGCGGAGATAACATTAACTCGGTGGAAGGGAGCAAGTCTGCGCTGGAAGAGTATGCAGGACTGGGCCACGCTTGCGACTTTTGTGGTGATAGAACGGATGATTTCGTGATCTATCTTCTCAACCGCGTCCAGACCTCCTCCTCCACCTCCACCGCCACAGCCGCCCCCACCTCCAAGCACAGTCCTCGCTCCCTGCACCCTATTGACATCTTCTGAGGCATCACAACGGGTGCTGCCAGCTTGTTCAATTACAAATTGGCCACTTTTAGTTTTCACTCTTTCTTGGGGTTGCCTTTATTTTGGTTCTTATACAGATCAGGTCTAGGATTTGAACAGGCTGATTATGAGACCGAATCGGTAGACCTGAACCAAACAGCCACAGTAGTGGAACATGGTACTACTTGTCACCATTTGTACGAGCTCCGTTCAGCTTTCCTGCCCAAGCAAGCATCCATAATGCTACTTACTTGTACATGAAGGCTGAGCATTTGGACCCACTGCTTTAAATGAGAAGGCATGGTGCAATTAGCGGAGCCTATCATTGCATTAGTCGCTTCACAGTGTACCGTGGTGAGATGGTGGCTACCTAAGCCGCGGCGGAAGGCGTTTGCTCAGTCCAATTAATAAAGACGATGGACTTACACGTTTTCTAAAGAGTGCAGTGACTACGCATTTTTACCAAACCAATGCAGCAGTTCAACGCTGGCTCACCTCGGTCGATCATCATTGCTGGCATCTAACTAAGTACTTGCAAATATGTTATTTGTATTAGTTTTCCATTGAGTTTGTTGCCGATAGTTTGCGGCTGCAAGAAGCGAATACATATCCTTTGACCATACTGGACGTGTGCCTTTGACCATGCTGGACATGTGCTTCGTACTGATAGCAAACGATATACTACTTCCTAGAGCAAGAAGTAGTTTTTAACCCCTTCCAACAGGTAGCTGTAGAAACTGCGTTTAAAAATCTAAAATATAACCTAAGTAGTTGATCATTTGTTTTCCGTTCTATTTCGTCCGACTCAACTGAAGCGCTTCAATCGCCAGAACTGAGTGCTTGCGCATCTCGATCGGTATGGTCTCCAATTCAGCGTGTTGCCGCAAAAATAAACGTGAGATTGACTTGCTTCGGCGCTCGCAGGAAATTCCAGCGCCGTCCCTATTACACTCGCTCCGAGATGTCTACACTACCGACGCATCCGCCCACACCACCGGTGTTCACACCCATGCCGCCAAGCACGTCCTGTTGGTCACATTGCTGATGCTGCAGCCATGAGGACGTGGCTGCCCACCGCGCGGTGTCGACTGCCTTGAAGTTTTCATCTGTACAGTAGACGGCCCGCTCGCCTGTATGCCAACCCTTGACACGTTGCCAGCGCTGTGCTGCGCGAAACACAACACCAGCACTGTTCCGCTGGCCACATCCGTCCCGCTGCCGTTTTGAACGGCCATACCACAATCTGCAGCCGCTTCTCGTGCCTCGCTTCTCTTCGACACGCCGGAGATCTGGACCTTGCCTACAACATGTACACCGCATCGACATCGTCGTCGCTCGTCGCCTATTATCGTGCAGGCCTTGTGTCTGGCCCAGCACGCCGTCGCTGTCGGTATCCTTGTCCACCAGAAGCACCACGCCGCGCCGCGCACGTAGATCTTCTTCTCCACACGGACATGATCATGTCGAAGCATCCGAGCCACCTCAGGGTTGGCCCCCTCGTGCGCGTTGGATAGGAGACGTAGCACAGCCTTCACGCTGAAGTAGACGCTCGGGGTCCCTAACGTGCTCAGCGCAGCAGTGACGAGAGGAGGCTCAGTCCATGGCGGTGCTAGTTTGGCTTGCGCTTGAAGGCTCGGAATCACGGAGCCGTAGGGTGCTGGACATTCCTCCACTGAAGCTCGCGTAGTAGAGTGAGGCAGGACTTTAGGGCCTCAGTTCACAAACAAATGTGATCCAATCACTGGATCAAAGATAAAGTACGGTATGATCAAATCCAAGACCTGTTCTGCATAAGACCCATTTAAAAATCTTCCTTTCTTGGAGTTGAATACCAACATGTACGTACTTGTGAGCAGGTTGAAGTGGAGATGGCTACATTTAGAGCGTCTTGACGCGGGCCAGCAGATCGGCCCTGACGTCCGTGTTCTTGTCGTGCGTGTGAATTTCGTTGTTGATGAGTTCGCTGTTGCCGCTTGTTGCTGGCGAGAGAAGCGATTGGAAGTTCCAATAAGGGCCGACAAGCAGTTGTGCATGATGGCACGCGTGGTGCCCGGCGAATGGGTTCCAATGCCCAACAAGCTCGGTAATACCCTCCGAAGGTGGAGACGACTGTATCGATGGGCCACGGTGTGGATGGGCTACTTGGCTTTCTCGCGCGCAAAAGAGCGTCCTCGAGGGGACTCGAACCCCCAATCCCCGCCTTCGGAGGGCGATGCCTTATCCATTAGGCCACGCGGACGGCACACGAGCTCCAGTCAAATTTGGCTAAAGCACCGACACCACTACCAGAAACGTGGCGACTAATTGCCAAGGTATCCAATCCCATTGATGTTTTTATCGGTAGCAATTCATCAATTCAAAATTGAATTCAATTTCTACCTCCACGCGATCTTATTTTTAGAACCGGATCGCTGGTACACTGTACCATTCTTCCTATCCCCTCGCCGTCTGAGGCCTCCGCTGTATTTTTAGATCCCCAAAACAGCAGCAGCAGGAGAGCGAGCTAAAGGCGGCATCTGTCGTCGCTTCGCTTCACTTCCGCTTCGCTCGCGCGCCCCCTACTGAGCCAGCGCCTCGCACGGCAGTTGGGCCCATTCGACGCGCCTCCCTCAGGCGCACCCCGCCGTGTGGCTCCCCTCCCCCCTCGACGCCCACAAGGCGCGCTAGAAGAAAAAGTCCGCAACAGCCATGAAGTGGCTCCGCTCGGCCGAGATGGAGTACATCTCGCTCATCGTGAACGAGGACGCGGCCCACGACTGCGTGCAGAAGCTGGGCGACCTGGGTGTGCTGGAGTTCACGGACCTGAACCCGGAGCTCACGCCGTTCCAGCGGCGCTACGTCAACTACGTCAAGCGCTGCGACGAGATGGAGCGCAAGCTGCGCTACTTTGAGGTGGAGCTGGCCAAGTTCAGCATCGCGCCCAAGCCGGCGGGCTCCGTCGACCAGTTCCTACAGGGCTCGGCCGACATCCGCTACGGCTCGCAGGACACGGCGGCGCGCGCGCTGGACACGCTCGAGCGCCTGCTGGAGGACAAGGAGCAGGAGCTGCTGCAGCTCAACTCGATGCACGAGAAGCTCACGCGCGAGTACAACGAGCGCAAGGAGCTGCAGGAGATCATCTCGCGCGCCGGCGAGTTCTTCGAGATCGAGAGTGAGACTGCATACCCTCCTCACGTTATTTTTGTCATTTGAGGATGGTGCTGACCTTTTATTGTTTATTTAATTGTTGTTGCTGCTGCTAGTTCCTGAGGTGCAGGCGCGCCGCAACTCGCGCACGGCGTCGCGCTCGGGTGGGTACAGCTTCGTGGAGACGTCCCCGGGACTGGGAGCTGGCGAGGACTCGTCCACGCTGCGCTTCCGCAATGTGACGGGCGTCGTGCCTGCCGATGAGCGGCTCAAGTTCGAGCGCATGATCTTCCGCACCACGCGCGGCAACTGCTTCACCCGCTTCTCCCCTATTGAGGAGCCGCTCGCGGACCCGTCCAACGGCCAGCCCGTGACCAAGCACGCCTTCGTCATCTTCTTCCAGTCTACCTTCATTGAGAACAAGCTGCGCAAGATCTGCGACGCCTTCCATGCGCGGCTGTACTCGCTGCCGCCGATGGACGACCGCGCGGCCATTGCCCACCTGATCCAGAGCAACGCAGGAGAGCTGAACCAGAGCAGCCACATCCTGCGCCGCAACCGCGAGAGTTGCGTGCTGCTGTGCCGCGACCTGGCGGAGACGCTCGAGTCCTGGAAGTGGTCAGTGCTGCAGGAGAAGGCCACGTACCACGCGCTTAACATGTTCCGTGCTGACGTGAGTGGCATGCTGCGCGCGGAGGGCTGGGTCATCAAGGAGGCGCTTCCAAGCGTGCGTCATGCTGTGACGCGAGCGCACACGGCGGCTGATGACAAGTCTATGCCGTCACTTGTTGACACTGTAGCCAAGCCGTGGCCTGTGCCACCCACGTACTTCGAGACGAACAAGTTCACGGAAGCCTTCCAATCCTTCGTGGAGACGTACGGCTGCCCTCGATACCGTGAGGTGAACCCTTCGGTGTTCACCATGGTGACGTTCCCGTTCCTCTTCGGTGTCATGTACGGCGATATCGGTCACGGCCTTTGCGTGTTGCTCTTTGGTCTGTACTTGATCCTGACGGAGCGCCGTCTCGAGCAGCCAGGGGGTATGGGCGAAATGGCGGCGTCGATTTACGGCGGACGCTACATGCTGTTTATGATGGGAGCCTTCGCCATGTACGCTGGCCTCATTTACAACGACTTCTTCTCGCTGCCGCTGAACTTGTTCGGCTCCAAGTTCGCGTACCCGGACTGCCTCGAGTCTCACGACCGCGAGGCCAAATGCGTGGCCGAGTACATTATCGACGGCAAGATGTCCTACGTTAACGCTACGGACGTCTCTGGTGGTGATAACGTGTACGCGGTTGGTCTGGACCCGGTCTGGAAGACGTCTTCGAACGAGCTGCTGTTCTTCAACTCGTTCAAGATGAAGATCTCGGTGATCTTTGGTATCGTCCAGATGACGTTCGGTATCCTGCTCAAGGGCTGGAACAACCTGTACTTCCGCGACTACTCGACCTTCTTCTTCGAGTTCGTGCCGCAGATTGTGTTCGCCGTCTCGCTCTTCTGCTACATGATCGTGCTGATTGTCATGAAGTGGAGCATTGACTGGACCGAGCGCATGAGCCACGAGGTGTGCCCGTACAATTTCGCCGGCGAGCACACGGGTTGCCGTCCCCCTTCGCTTGTGAACACGCTGATTAACATCGCGCTGGCACCTGGCAACGTGGTGGACCCGCTGTACGAGGGCCAGCTCGAGACCCAGCAGACGCTTCTGATGATGGCGTTTGTTTCCGTGCCGGCGATGCTGCTGATCAAGCCCATCTACCTCAAGTTCCAGAACGACCGCGCTGCGCCCCCTGTGAGCCACCACGTGGACTTCGACGACGAGGCCGAGGAGCGCTTGGTGTCGCACCACCACGGCAACTCGAGCGGCGGTGGTGGCCACGGTGGCCACGGCGAGGAGTTCGAGTTCGGCGAAGTGGTGATTCACCAGGGTATCGAAACCATCGAGTTCGTGCTGGGTATGGTCTCGAACACGGCCTCATACTTGCGTCTGTGGGCCCTGAGTCTGGCCCACTCGGAACTGGCCACCGTGTTCTGGGAGAAGACGATGCTGTCCACCATCAACAGCGACTCGTTCATCGCCATCTTCATCGGCTTCGCGGTGTTCGCGGCGACGACGTTCGGCGTCATCCTGGCCATGGACGTGCTGGAGTGCTTCTTGCACGCGCTGCGTCTGCACTGGGTGGAGTTCCAGAACAAGTTCTACAAGGCCGACGGCCACAAGTTCCACCCCTTCTCGTTCAAGCAGACGATCAAGGACTCGCAGCAGCTTTAGATAGCAGACGCAATGAGTGGAGGGGGCTCTCGAGCGCATCGAGAGTGAGCGACCCTGGAAAGCAAGCTCCGACCAAGAAAAAAACGATCCATCGACGCGCAGGTGGGCCGGCGACCGACAAAAAGAGAAACTGAAGTTGAAGTGCAGACTCTGGATTATAGCGAAGAGGCAGGAGGAAAGAAGAACAGGTCTGCAGTGCATATGGAAGCGTTCGCGTCTTCCCTTTTTATAATAGGACTTGCCAGCTTTTGATCATCATGTTGTGTCTGTCTCTCCTGCAACTCCTGTGCAAGTCCAAGGAGTCTCTCCAGCACTTCTGCAGCCTCTCTCTCTCTCTCTTACTTGGCAGACTTGGCCGCCTTCTTCTCCATCTCACTGCACCCCCCCCCCCCGACACGTACACACATTAGTCCATGTCTCTCTACCTACTTCTACCAATGCATTGCAACTCACATCTGCTGGTACTGCTTGCGCAGAGTGCTGCTGGCGCTCAGGTCCTGCACGCGTTCGAGCGCCTTGCTGTCCGCGTAGAGGTATCCGGCGCTTCCGCCAATGAGGACGCCGCCTGCAATAGCGAAGAACTGCACGCGCTTCGGGAACGGCCCAAGGGCTAAGAGAACAGCATAGCACCAAGCACAAGAGTCAGCAAATGGACCAAAAGCTCTGAAGATCTCACTTGTGTCATAACGTACTGGTGATGGCAGCGGTGACAGCGGCTCCAATGGCGCCGCCGACGCCCGAGCAGTACTCGATGTCGTTGCGTCGTCGGTCCATCCAGACCTTCTCCTCCAGCGTCAGGCGGTGCGGCGTGCGCGGAGCGGGAGCGGTGGCGTTGGCGGTGGCAGGCGTCGAGCTCATGGTTGCTGTGTCTATGATGCGGTAGTGTGGGCAATGGGACCAGCTTATGTTGCGACTATGTTGCGCATTATGTAGCGAACATTAGCGCAACGTGCAGCACATGGCCGAGAGCTGAATATTTGAGCTCGCTGAGTCACCTCTGGCGCCTTGCGATGACGAGCCTCTCGCCTCTTAGACTGCAGGAGGGCCAGTCGAAGCGAAAGTGATGGTGTGTGGTCAGAATGAACTTGCAGTACAAGTGCAGCGTACAGTAGTAGATGAATAGATCTACCTAACTTACCGTAGCGTTGCTAAGGCCAACGTGGCGTTCTGCAAACAGGGCGCGACCTTCTCGTCGTCATCGGCACGATGTCCGTCAATGATTTCAGTAGTTGGTGGTAAACTCGGCGACCGGAGCAACTGGTTGCAGCGAGTAGACTTTGAAGCGAAACTTTAGAAGGACAAACGCAAATAAATTATGTGACTACAGTCTACGCCTTTCACACACTATCCTCTCTCAGTTGACGCTGCTGGTGTCGAAGAGCTTGACGTCGTAGCCGGGGTGGCGCTTGAGAGCCTTGGTGGCCAGCGACGGGGTCGGCGTCTGCGGCGTGCGAGCAATGCAGGCCGTGCGCGTGACCGTCATCGTGGACGACACAGCGGGCACCGAGGTGCTGATCTGGCTCGGGTTGGACGAGTACACGTCCATGAGGAAGTCCATAGACTCGTCAAAGTCCGGCACCGTCGGCTTGATCTCGACCGCGGCCGCGTTCGCTTCCCACGACGACGGGTAGGTCGGGTTGCCGATGAAGGCGCTCGAGATCGTGGACGTGCTCAGCTGGCTGAAGTCCGAGCTGACAGTGGACACCAGCGTCGGCGGCATAGCGGCCGACACGTACGACGTGTGGTGGTGGTGGAACGACGAGCTCGGCATCGCTGGCAGCGAGGTGGCGCGAGCCAGGAGGATAGGCGGAGCGGCCATGGAGGTCATAGCCGGGGTCATCACGTGGGCAGGCATCGACGTGTAGCCCATGGTAGACGGGTGCTGGTACACGCGCGTTTGCATGTTGCCGTAAGGGGAGACGGCGTGCTGCGGGTACCCGACCATCCCCTGCACCATTGCCATCGGCGGGGTCTGCAGCGTGCCGTTGCGGTTGCGGAGACCGCGCATGCGGCGCGCGAGCTTCTCGCGGTACTTCTGGGCGTGCGTCTGCGTTTGACGAACCGTGCGGGTGGCGACCATCTCGGCGATGGCCTTCCAGGGGCCCTTGGGGAACGTCTCCATCGCGCGCAGGAAGCGCTCGTGCTCGGCCTTGGTCCAGGTGCCCGAGGCCTTGACGACTTCTCCGTTGGCGCCGAGCTGCTGCTGCTCGCGGTCGAGTGACTCGGCCAAGCGGACCGTGCCGTCCTTGACGATCAAGAGATCCTTCCGGTCGAGCTCGATAATCGACGAAGTGGATAGACGCAGGTCATCGTAATCTTCACTGGTCTCGGGCTTGTCCTCCTTGTTGCTGCTCACAGTGGTGACGTCCTTCTTGCTGACGTCGAACTTGGAGTCCTGGGAGCGGAGGTGCTGCTGCTCGGCCATTCCGAAAGACATTGGAGGTCGCTGGTTGTTCTTGTGCTGGCGAAAACTTGAGTGAGTGGGCGACTGACTCGTTGGCGTCTGTCTGTCGTAGGTATGTGCTGTAGATCTGGAGTTGGATCTGGTTTGCTACCGACGAGCGAGATATGAAAATGTGTCGGTGTGTGGTTGCTGTTGCTGTAGTGGTAGTCGCGTGCGTGGGGCCGGCGACTGGAGCTGTTTGGGACTGAAGGGGTTTCTACAACTGAAGCTGGTTGGTTGGTGCTTCAGGAGTCAAATTCGAGAATGAGCTGCTTCCGCTTTCGTGAGACCCCTCTCCAGTGTCTGGTTGCACCGCTGGCACAAACGCCGACAGCCGTGATACTATCAACGCCGATAGCGCCGGGCCGCCGTGGCCCGCGTGCGTGACTGACTTGAGCGCGCCGGCTGGCAAGCGGGTCGAGCTGGTTGCACTGTCTATGGGTTTTGCTCCGACCCGGCGCGTCGGACGATGTGCGTGCTAGGGGGGAATTTGCCGCGAGACGGGTTTTCCGTCAAGTCAAGCCCCGCGCAACCATCAAGACGTCGCCGCAAGGCGAACAGCGCGCGTGAGGGAGGAAAGAGGAGGCGCTTCGTTTGCTCGGGGGCCGGAGCAAAATCCAGCATTCGTAATGCCGGAGCCGTTGATCCTCGGCGCCGTGCACCGGCGGGGCCGCCTGAACCGGGCGCTCGAGAGACCGAGCGAGATATGCCGGAGAACAAGATGGCGGGACGCCATCTGATCTTGAAGCAGCGAGCGTGTCAATCGAGTGTCACGTTTGAAACGGATGGCGCGCATAAAGAGGCCAAGCGGCAACTCTACGAAAATGCATCATAACAGGTAAATGTCGTTCCATAGGGTGAAATCAGCAGCACAACTCCGTTTCGTGCATGCTCTATACAGGTTCCATGCTAAACAGCGGTATTGCGCCCGTATCCTACGGCCATCACGCGGCTGAAGAGGAAGTTGCCTTTGTGTTGCCTTTTTTGCGCCGAGCAGTATCGAGCTCGCCTGACCTCGCTAACGGCCAAAGCAACAGCGAGTACCCATAGAGCCAAGCGTGTGCATCGGAGGTGGGATGTCCGAGGGCAGTAGCGTCCTCGACGGACGACCGGCGGCACCATGCGCGTGAGGTCTGCAGCGTCAAAAGATGAAGCTGTAAGTGGCCCGCGCGTGAAATTTTGCAGAGCTGCTTGACCGCCTGCGTCTCGGCATCTGGCCGCTCCAGGTGGGGACTTTCACGCGCGCGCACTCTACTGCTGCGCTGAGTTTTCGCTGAGCTTTCGGGCTCCACCTGGTGATGCCCGCTGTTGGGATGAAAGATGCGGAGATCGGGCTCCTCACCCACCTGCACGACCCGAAACCAGTCCGTACAGACTAGAGCGCGAGAACGAGACGAGTAACAACTAATACCCGATTGTACCGATGAGATCAGGTATTAGAGTCAATGTAAAATTGATAAAGTGGTGTCAGCTACATATGATTCCCTTTTAAATCTGGATGTACCACGCGTCTCGTTCTAGTCTGTACTCGGAACGCAGCCGCCTCAGTACGCGAGCGAGAGTTCCCATCATGTCTGCAAACAGCTTGGTCAACTTCCGATGCCATTCGCCCCGTCGGTTGTTGACTAACTGGGGCACATCCTTTCTGCCACTCGCATCAAGCGGTTGACCCTACGGAGTACCACGTTCGCGACCGGAGCGGTGCAGCGCGCGGTCGACCGAGCCCCTTCTTGCTCCGCAGCGCGCGAGCATCGGAAAAGCGGGGCGGCGCCGGCCCGGTCTTTGACGATTGAGGAACGATTGATGAACTCCCTACGGGCTGGCGGAGTCATTGGCAAGCCCCCATGGTGCGCTCTATCTTGGTTAGCAACAGCAATGCGGGAATCCGCCGCAATGCTCTTCAATGATGAGGCCCGCGTTGGAACGACCGTGACAAACGCGTTGCTTGGGTTTGGGCGGACCAACCAACGCAGTGAAAGTCTCCATTGGCACCACTTCCTTGACTTGACGGAAGATTCGGTCAAGCGAGTGCGGCGTGGCACGTGCGTGGCGGTACGGTACAGTGCCAACGGATCGCCCTGTGAGCCGGTTTAGTTGCTCCCGACACTTGTCAGCGACAATAGCTACAGTACACTGTGCATACCTCCGAGAAAATCAACTTAACCACTGCAAGGAGCCGGAGTCGTCAATGAGTCTGCACCGAGGGCTAACCACCAAAGTCCACCAAAGTTGAAGTGGCCGTCTTATTCGCGCTCAAAGGCTCTATGCACTGACAGGTCGGCCACCTCTCCCTGCCTATGTGCTTGACCAACACACTGTTGGGGATCTTTTCTGCGTCGGTCGACCTTCGTCTCACTTCGTGTCCTCGACAATCTTCAGGTGACAAGTTGCGTGTTTGCCCTTTTGCAACTTCCCACTCCCACCCATCACATCCCTGACGTCGCAGCGAGCTCGCCTACAGGGCCTTTACCAATGCAGCAACGGCGAGTGGCTCGACGGAGTCCGGTCACTGCGCTGCCAGCCGCCGAATTTCAAAAATTTTCACGTCTTCTAAAGCTTGATTTGCACTTGGAGGACCACCAATCGAGGGAGCTTTCGGAGCGGACTTCTCGGAGGGAAGCCAGTCGATCTGCTGGCAGGAGAAGCTGCGCGAGAGTAGTTCAAAGAACTGATGCTCCATGGGGTTGCGCGACCGATGAGCCATCAAAACGAGCGTCTCCGTCGTCGATAGCGCGTCCAGAGATGACACGAGGGGCGCGTATCCTTCTGGATCGTACACGACGTCCGAGAGCACCAGCACGTCCGGTTGAGACGGCAGATCGCGCGGAGGATCTCCCCAGAGATGCGCTCTTGCAGCAGGGACGACGGCACCACCTCCTTTAGCAGGACCCTTCGTCGGCTCGCCTTCGGTTTGGTCGAGAAAGTTCAGGCGGATGTTGTACTCCAGCAACGGGATAACCTCCTATGTACAAGCAAGCATCGTCAACGCAGATCAACATGATGAGTCCATCGGATCGGCAAGATGAGGTCAGGAGCATGGAGTTGCTCTAGGAAGCCGGCGCTTGCGTACCTGCATGTCTGTTAGGGTGACGCTGGCACCTAGCATGGCGCAGAAAATGCCAACGAGGCCCAGGCCACTGCCGAGCTCCACCACTTGCTTCCCGACGAGTATCTCCCATCGAGCGGCCAGGTAGCGTGTCAACACTAAGCACGAATCCCACAGCTTGCCTCCGATTCCTAAGAAAAAAAATCAACCAGCATTAGCTTTGTGTGACTTCCATCCCCAGCGTTGAGGCCCTGTCAAAAAGACTCGTTACTTACCCAGATTACCGGGCGACTCGGCAAGAAGAATGTCATGATGCAGCCCATCCATCGCCACGGCACGACAGCAATGCACACCGAGATCTCCAGTCACTCCCTCCTCCAGCTCGCCACCAGCAGGCACAACGGTGAACGGCAACGATACCACGGGAAACAAGTTCCACGTGACCTTGGACATGTCATGGGCGCGGACCTGAAGCGCGACTGGTGTGGTCGAGTCTGCACGTTCTGACGCATCGACGGCAGCCACCACGGCCACCCTGAAGCTCGCCTTCCCTCGGTCATTCAGCGTCACCTTGCCCGTCGCGTCCACACTCCCTGCATCGCCGACGTCCGACGAGTTCAGCGGCTCCTGGAACACCAACTTGTACTTATCCGCGCTGTTATTTCGCAGTGAGCACTGCAGATAAATATGCTCCCCGCTCTTCACGTAATCCCGTCGGAAGAGGCCGAACTCGTTGCCGATGTTGACATTCACGTCGAAGAACTGGTCTAGCGGAACCTGCGACGGCAGCAGACACCTACCTCGAAAACAGCAAAAGCACCCACAACACAAAAGAAAACATTAGCGTCCAAGTGTCCGTTTAGCCAGCCCCAGCGCCTGCTGGTGCCCGCCATCGGCACGCACCCGAAATTGACCCGGAGCTGCTGTTTGTCGTGCACCATCTTGCCCATCTGCTTGACCTCGCTGGCAGCCACCTCGCGGTCCCGCGCCAGATTCTTGCGCAGGCGCCGCCTGGCCGCCACGCAGTACTGGAAAACCGTCGGCGCGCTCCTCTCGCCGTTGTCCAGCACGGCGTTTACCAGGTGCAGCGCCGCCTCGAAGCGCTCCAAGTTCTCGAGCGCCACGAGCTTACGGAGCGTCGCCTTCTCGTTCCCCGGGTCGTGCTTCAGCGCCAGCGTCGCGTCTGGCAATAAACAATAACACTATTTTAGAGTTTTGTAGAGTTTTAGAGCGTCGCAACGTCCGCTACGGACCGTGCAGCGCCGCCGCAAAGTCGCGCTCCTGGGTGGAGGTCTGCGCGCGGTTGGAGAGCAATTGCGCGGCCGTCAGAGCCTTCCACGAGGCCGCGCTGGCATCAATAGACGCGGAATTGGACGCGCATTCATCTCCTGCAGTTAGCAGCGCGATGGCGCGCGTGTAGCTCGCGCGCGCGGCGTCGTAGCGCCCCTCGGAGTAGAACGCGTTGCCCTCGGCCTGCAGCTGCTTGACCTGCTCCATTTTCCACGAATGAGAGGACGGATCGCGAAAAACGGCTGGTTGAGGGCTAGGGGGATGGGCCAAGATACTTTTTGGTTTGACAAGCATGACGAGCTGGATGGCAACTTGTTAACTGGACATTGCATTGCTCCTGGGGGTGAAGCAGGAGAGAGAGAGAGGCTGCAATGGAGAAAGTAAACGAAGTTGCTATTGTGCTGCTGTTGGTTCGGCTTTGAATCGTTCGCTTCGGTGACGGAGTTTTAACGTAGGGACAAAACTGGGTGGCCACGTTTCTGCTTGGGTGTTGCGGACTGCGTCTGTGCTATAGCCGAGCTTGACTGGTGATCGTGTGTTGTCCGCGTGGCCTAATGGACAAGGCATCGCCCTCCGAAGGCGGGGATTGGGGGTTCGAGTCCCCTCGAGGACGCTCTTTTGCGCTTTGGCGGAGTGAGTCTATTTTGTGAACCAGTGTTTTTAGTTGCCGAGATCATAGCGACAAAGCTTGCGTCGTACTGCTACGATCGCAATGCAAATACAGGGCCACATATCATCGACTGGTGCTACATGCCTCTAAGACACTGTACTTCTGCGTCTGCCGGCAACTTATTCGCTATTTCGACAACACCAAAAGATTAAACGAATTCATTTTCGACGTAAAACAAAACGCCTTAAGCTCATTAATTGCCAAATGCAGCAGCACCATAGTGCTCGTCAAGCCAGAGTTGAATTTCTGGGTGGGTCGGGATCCCAGTGTTGTCGTCGACGCGTCAGGCTTGGGATCGGGGCTTCCGGAGCCTTCTGGTGCGCTTGAATGTAGAGCGCTACTTCAAACTTCTCCGAACTAATTGCGTTACCCAAACTTTTGGTCAACGCTAATTGAGAGGGGACACCTCGAGGGATGAAAGTAGCCATTTAACCACTCGCAAGTGTCCGCCAGCAGCAGCATCCTTGATTGCCTTTGTTGTATGGCCATCCGATTGGTTAGCGTGAAGCCACTTCAAAACTTGCAAGTGGCCATTAGCTGCTGCGGAATCCATCGCTAACGTTGTGCACTCAGCCAGTTGCTTTACATGAAGCCACTCCAAAATATCCAATCGACCCAAATCTGCAGCACTATCCATCGCAGCACTAGAGCAGCCTACGACGCTGTTCTCGTGCAGCCACTGCATCATTTGCAAATTGCCGTTGGCTGCGGCACCGTCCATCGCGTTCGTCGTGCACCCTTCTGAGCGGTTTGAACGAAGCCAACGCACAACTTCCAATTGATTCTCATAAAACAGTGAGGCAGCGTCGGGGCAAACGATCCCGAGCTCATCACCAGCGGGATGGCCGAAGCGCTTTGACGCTGCACCATTCATTGCAGACGTTGTGCAGCCTTCAGATCGGTTCCAGTGCATCCACTGGACAACTTCTAGATGCCCGTTTTCGGCAGCGGAATCCATCGCCTTTTTGGTGCAGCCTTCGGAGCGGTTTCGATGAAGCCACTGAACTACCTTCAAATGTCCATTTGCAGCTTCAGAATCCATGGCGTCTGTCGTGCAGCCCTCATCACGATGCGCGTGAAGCCACTTAACAGCATTAAGGTGTCCGTTGCTGGCAGCTCCGTCCATAGCATCCTCGGAGCAATTCGCGTCGCAAAACCCAACCAGTTTCGTGTCTCCATCTTGTTTTCGGCGCTTGTACGCAGCGCTATCTGCATTGTGCAAGAACTCCAGAACGTCCAAATGCCCATTACCAGCAGCAGCATCCACCGCAGAGTAAGAATCCGTTTCCTCATCATCGAACAGGCTACCTCCGATAGCGCTGGCTAGTCGTTCATACAACCACTGAACGGGATCGATTTTCCCGTTACAAACGTAATGCTGGCCATGTCAAATCCACCGTCGTAGTTACCTTCCATATACCCCAAAAGCCACTGCAGTATTTCCACATGACCACCAAGAGCTGCGTATCTCGCGGCAAACACGAATTCACCCAGTGGGTAATCACTTCTCTTGATATGACGATTCGCTAGCCTCTTGACGAATGCGAGATCTCCCACTTCTGCTGCTTGTTCTGTGCCAACGAATTGATATCTTCGCAATCCCGTGCTTTCACCAAGAAGCTTATAATCTCCGTTCGAATTGGCCACTCGGCCTCAGGGCAGCTAGGGAAACTTTCAATTGTAAATAGCTCCATAACCAGCCGATACCGCGCTTGACGGCGCTCTCGACGACAGCTTTGTTTGACATTTTCTCTTCCAGCGTAGAATTCAGACGCCCGAACAGCCATCGAACAACGCTCCAGTGTCCATGCTCTGCAGCTTCATTAAGACTCGACATACTCCACTGCATGCCTTCAACTGTCTTTTCTCTCTCCAGAAGCTGCAGCATGCCCAATTGCCCGCATCGAGCTGCTTCTTCCACCACATCTCTCGTAACGACGCACCCTGGAAAGTGTTGCAGTATTCACTGCATCATGATAAAATTCCCCAGACGGAAGGACTGCAGCAAGGCTTGACAGAACTCCCATCGGTAGTAGTTGCGCTCACTCTGGAGGAGCTTCGCTATCGTCCAGCGAGGCGATTTGGCGTCTCGAAGGCTTCGCATCCACACCAGATCCAGCGGCGAGACAGATCCAACGTGGCTCAATTCGCAGGCCCGGGCCAGGGACATGTCGGCTATCAACATGTCCGAGATAACGGAAGACACGTCGTCACGCGCGCTAGCGCTGGCGAGTTTGCTTTGCACGGCAAAGTTTACGATTTTCAGTGAGTGCCTTTGGCGCGGACCCGTGATATTCGAAAATAATCGTTTCTTTCAACTTGCAGTAGCAGAATTCGCAGTAAAGTGCAACCGTTGGAGTCAATTCACATCCATCATGAGCGTTAAGTATCCGTCGTATAATAAAATGCGAGGGAAGTAAACGTAGACAGGTCATGTGAATCCTTATCTGGTCAAAGCGGCATCAACCGCATCCTCAAGCTTTCTCAAATACGCAACACCATTACAGCAAGAAGGTGAGTAAAGTTGTATGCTTGGGAGTGCGTTGCTGCAACTAAACAGTTTGCATGTAAGTATGTTTATCAGGAGCGCGGTGCATATAAGGTGATATGACTGTATGTGTGTTGTTCAACAACAGAAAACGAGATGTTCGGTCGATACACGTCTTACTAACGTTAAATGCATTTCATGTTGGACAAGATGGTTGCCCATTTGTTCGCAACGTGGGCTTTTAGTAGGGTACGGTTGTTGCTTCTTGCTGCCCTGGTACACATCTACGGTAAGTTACCGTCGGTAACCTTACATGTATTAATAGTAACTCTTGCTGCTCTTTGCTAAGCTTAGTAACTCACAGAGACCCCCCCCCCCCCGAAGCGGTTTCCTTGGCAGCACAGGAGTAAATGAGTACCGTGGTATCCCGGTGTCTACAGCAGGAGAACAAGAGCAAACGCTGGTAAAGAGCGCGAAGTATTTTTATGCATCCTGAAGAGACTCGCCAAAAGATCCGGCGCCATGGTCTCATTTACCAAGCAGCGCCTTGCGGTGGCAGACTTCGTCCTGCGCTACAAGCTCGTCCCAAAGCCCACCGCGCCGCTGCCATCATCTCGAACTTCCTCATCGCGGACATTTCCCTGTCTCGTGCCTGTCAATTGAGCCGCGTCGGATCGTTGGCGTTGCTGAATCTTGTGTGGTCAAGAAGCTCTCAAGACGCCAACACTACCACCTGGAGCCTCGCAAAGCTTCTGCAGACGCAGCCTCTTTACTTCCGATGGGAGTTCTCCACATCAATGGTACAGGCTGCACGTCGCGACGACTTGAGTATGCTCCATTGGCTCCTGGCCCACTTCCCAAAGTGCCCAATAAACCAAGATGTGATCGAGGAAGCTGCTCGAGGGGGACACCTCGGTATACTGCAGCTTTTGGGCTCTGATCGATCTCGCGGGGCTATTCCTTGGAGTGAATCCAGCGTGATGGAGGCTGCCAGGGGGCACCATTGGGGCCTAGCTCACTGGCTGTACGACCGTGCCCACCTTACACTTGAAAAGAATCAGGCTAACACCCAACTCGTTCAAATCGCCGTCAACCAGAACAACTTCGACCAACTCAAATGGGCCATCTCAAAGGGGTTTGGAGTGGGGAACCTACGTTTATCAGTGTACTGCTCAAGATTGGCGAGACCGTGTCGAGATTCTGCGCTTTATTATCCAGCGAGACCATGATAAAGAGGAGAACAACGCGTGGATAGCATTGTACCAAGCAGCAGAGCAAGGAGATCTGCTCTTTATCCAGTGGGTTGTGTCTCACTACGCGAAGAGAACCCAGGACTTAGAGTGCGTCCTCCGTGTTTGTATGAATTTGGCGAGTAGGAGTGGCTATCTCTATGTGGTGCAATGGTTGATCACGTACACGGACGCTCTCGATCTGTCTGAGACCATGTTTGAGGCATCTAAATGCGGGAGATTGGAGATAGTGCAGTGGCTGTATGAAAACTATTCGAGCGATCTGAGTGTCGACCTCTTCCAGGAGCGGGAGCGGAGCTCTCTAGGCGATGAACCGACTCCGTGCACTGCCATGGACAGCCGCAAATGGCCACTTGAATGTGCTGATGTACCTGCGAGACGCTGCCAATGCATCACACAAGTGACGCACAGGAGCGAAAGGCAAGAGAACGCGCCGTGGACGGCGCCCAGAAGTGCGATGCACCTCTGTGGCTATGGATCTTGCCGCAGCTAATGGGCACTTGAGTGTCGTGAAATGGCTACACACCTATCGAACTGAAGGATGCACAGTACTGGCAATGAACTATGCCGCTTCAAACGGGCATCTAGAGGTGGTGCAGTGGCTCTACACGAATCGCAAGGAGGGCAGAACGGATGAAGCTATCGATGGTGCAGCCGCCTCGTCAATTGCAGTCGTGGATTCACCCAACTTCACAACAGCTAGTATGCTGCGCGAGCGACAGCTTGCGGTTGTGCAGTGGTTGAGTACCCATACTGCAGCAAAATGCTCGTCGATTGCCATGGATGGAGCCGCAGCCAAGGGCGACTTGGACATGTTACAATGGCTACACTCGCATACAACGAGCGGATGCACACACAGTGCAATGGATGTAGCCGCCAGCGTCGGCCACTTGGATGTTGTCAAGTGGCTCCATACGAATCGCTGGGAAGGGTGCACTACAAATGCCATGGACGACGCTGCTGTTAATGGCCATTTCGCTGTGCTTACGTGGCTCTATGCGAATCGTTCGGAGGGGTGCACGGCTACAGCGATGGATAAAGCTGCAGCGAATGGACGCTTGCGCGTGGTCAAGTGGCTAGTACGCCATTGTGCTGGCGTTTGTGTGGACTCTGCGTTGTCCCAAGCCATTTTATTCGGTCATTTAATTCCAGTCGGCCATTCACCTACGATCAGCTGATAAACCTGAAACAAGCTGTAAATCGTAGATTTCCGGCAAGATCAAGCTTGGCTTGACATTAGTTGCTAATCTTTGGCAGCAAAGGGTAAGCGAGCACCTAAGATATGGATCATCCTATCCCACGTAGACTTTAGAATACATTGTCAATAGCTTAACGAGTTAAGAAGGTCTTCTAAGTTAAACGCTCGCAGGAAGCTGCCACATTGCAACATCATACGCATTCCGCTTACGTATATTCAACTTGTAGCATGAACTTGAGTTTTGAATATCCATCAGCTTCTGTGTGCCAGAACCAAGTTCACGCTTTTTGTTATGACAGCCAGCCCATGTAACTACAGCGGTGTAGCTGATGCACGAAGATTCACATCGCACCAGTTCCGAATTGCCTCGAACGACTTCTCCTCATGGGTGGCACTTGTCAAGCTCCGCACTTCCTCGTCGCTGTAGCCATTTCGGTTTTGAGCATGTTGGAAGAGCGCGATCTCGAAGTGCCCGTGCGATATCGCTTCAATCATAGCCTCTACGACGTGGAGTCTCTCCGTATCATTCCCAACGAGCCAGCGAACAACCTTCAAATGCCCTTCCGTGGCCGCGCATACTATGGCCCGAGAAGAAAAGTGCTTCTGCAGATTCACACTAAGCCATTTCACTACGTCCAGGTAGCCATTTCTGGCCGCACCTTCAATTGCAGCAGTCGAACACCCCTCCGAACGATTTTCGTGTAGCCATTTCACAACTTCCAAGTGGGCATGAGTAGCTAGCTGCCTTGTCCATAGCTCTCGTTGTGCATCCCGCATGTGTATTGAAGTGCAACCACTTCACCGTCGCAAGTTTCCCTTTTGACGCAGCGGCATCCATCGCCGGAGTTGTTACTTCAACCAAGCGGTTCGAGTGAAACCACTGTACCATCGCAAGCATCTTTTGGTCTAAGATCCTGGCTGCGTTCGTGGGCGCAACGTCAACTCCAGGAAGGTACTTCTGCTTTAAGCGTTTTCCAGCCAATTTGTCCACAATGGCAGGGTCGCACCCTTCCCATCGATTCCAATGCAGCCACTGCACAACTTCCAATGTCCATTGAGTGCCGCACCCTCCATCGCTTTTGTGGTGCAACCCTCAAGTCGATTATTATGAAGCCACCGCACAACTTCCAGGTGACCATTAGCAGCTGCACCATCCATAGCTGCTGTCGTACACTTTAACTGTTGATAATATGACCCCGTGCCTTCCTTCGCTTTTTTGCGTGCCATGGCATCAGCTTCATAGAGATATTGAACGATCCCGAGATGTCCATGGCACACCGCCAGGTCGATTGCAGTTTTCGGACGTAAGTCAAGGTCATCCCCAGGATGTCGGAAGCAGTCTAGGTCATCCTCATGAAAGAGATCGACATTTCGAAGACGAGAGTAGCGATCGAAAAGCCACCGAACGACTTCGATGTGCCCGTTTCCAGCCGCAGCAAACATCACAAGGGACGGATCGCACTCCTCTGATGCGAAAGAAAGAAACCACTTTACAACCGACAGATGATTCTGGTGTGCAGCGCACGTCGCCCCACCCGGAAAAACGTCTTCCAGATAATTTGAGTCAATAATGCCGTCAGCTATAATGCGCCGTACAAAATCAAGGTCTCCGTATGCTGCCGCTTGCACCAGCGAGTACGTGACGATTCCCTCGGTCTTTCCCTGGGCTTAAAGTGCGGCGATTCTCGTCAGCAAAAAGAAGAACATCCGAACTACGACAGTAGCGCTCGAATAACCACTGAACTAAATCAAGACTTCCGGTTTCAGCAGCAGCAAACATGACATCAGATGGATTACAGTCACCCGAGTCAAACGAAAGCAGCCATTTCACCACCGAGAGGTGATTGTATCGAGCCGCACATTCCACCGCAAGCTCAAGTGGATCATCCTCGTCTAATAATAATAAAAATAATGTTGAGGTGTATTGAGTTACTGGCTCACGCCCAACGTCTAATACCCCTTCCGCCTCGAATTGAAGAGGGCTGGGAAACGCTACTTAAATGCAAAAGGTATATATCCAGAGGGAGGACTGTCACCGTGGTTCGCCCTCTCTTGCTGACCGTCAGTGAGTAAAGTCCCCGCTAAGGTGGCTCAGTACTCCTGGGTAGCGCCAATCTATCATCTCATCTGTTGTCGGTTCATCTTCCTGGCTGCGTCTTGAGTCCATTGCCAGGTTCGCTATACAGTCTGCCATCTTATTATGTCGCCTCAAGTGGTGGGTCCACGATACTATTCTGGCCATGTCCGCCAGCGGTCGAGCGCGGTCATACCAGCCTTGGAGCTTGCGAGACTTTGGCCTTCGTCGTTCTTTCATCATGCGCAGGATCAGCTGGCTGTCGCCAACAATATGAACTGTGGGTAGCTTCCGTTTGGCTACAAAGAGCAGAAGACTGTAAAGTCCCCGGAACTCCGCAACGTTGTTGGTGCATCTGGTCCCTGCGAGTGATGTACTGCATATCCAGATAATCTTTGGTGCACCTACTCCAAATTCGACCAGGACGCTGCCACTCCCCCCGGGACCTGGGTTACCCCGTGAACCTCCGTCGAAGTATCCGACATACTTCACCGTCGATTCGGGTTGGGTGAGAGGGCTCTCAATCGCGACTCCACTTTCATAGCGCAGCATTTTCCGGATTTCCATGGCCGCTACCCACTCTCCGTATTTTTCCCCGGTAAGAGGAAACGAGAATGCAATGTTGTCGAATCCTTCCTGCAGTTGCCGTCCTAAGAGAGCCCGCCGTTCATCTACCGTGGGTATTCTCGACTCAGAACTGTGTATTAAGTCCAGTCGTACTCTCCATATAAAGCTGAGAACCTGCATCACTGCGTATTTCCAATATTTATTGACCACCTCCGCGATGGTATCCGTCGTCATGTCTTGATCTTTTTTGTTGTTACTGTCTAACCAGGCCGTCCTGAAAGCAATGCACCTCGACGGCGGGTAGTTCAAACTGAAAGAGAAAATTTCCTCTGGCCCATGCGTCGCAGGTTCCTCGTGGAGGTTCGTGAACAGCTTTAGCATCCAGCTCCATGCTTGTTGAGCGAAGTAGCAATCCCAGAAAACATGTCCCAACGATATATCAAGGTGTTCGCATTGGTCATGGGGGGAGCGCTGATACGTGGAAATCCCAACGATTCTAGCCAAACTGCCCCATGACACCCGTTTCAATGCTGAGCTAACTTTTGGGCAGTCCTTGGTCCATGCTGCTTCGGCTTGAAACACTCTCTTCTCCCCTTTGTTGGTTCGCTTCGCCGTAATAGTCGTCTGGTATCGAGCTCTCGTGTGAGACCAACGACGCTGGCCCACCCAAATTGCTGCCATTCGCGTCGCCCACACGTGGGGTGCGGTCCATACAGAGGTTCTTGGGACCGCAAGAAACGTTGCGATTTCTTCGTCAAGTAGCGGTGGGGATGAGTGCTTGAACACAACAGGGTCCCTGGAGCCCCATGTGTGCGTGACGACTAAGCCAGGCAGTGCTTCTATTTGAAATACATGGTGGGGGTCATCGAGTTGGTGTGCCACCACAATCTGGGAGTTACAATTCTGATGAAGCTGCAATTGTGGGAAAATCACAAGCACATCCAGTGCTAGTTCACGAAATTGGTGAGCCAGCTGCGAGGTCATGGGGTATTTGTGAAGTACACTTTTGACTCTAACCACTCCCGGTCTAATCCACTGCCAGTCGAGAACCTCCGCCAAAGTGGTCGCGCTGTTTGTGAGAAGGCCAAACTTCGTCCTCAATGAAGCAAGGTGACCGTGATCGCTGAAGACCGGTAAATCAAAGACGGGGAGATGTTTTACACCCTCAACTGCAAAAGCACCGAATCGTTTTTCCTGAAGTTGGGCCAAGCGCCTTGATTCAACCAACAAACTCCTTAAATCACAGAGCAGTCCGCCTTCACACCATCTTGCCGTGACTTTGTGAACAGCTCGGCATTGAGAGCGTATGTGTAGTGATATCTTCTGTATAGTGGGGGGTGATCGAACGGGAGACCCAAAGGAAGCCTGTGGCTCGAATTGAATCTCGGATGGTAACGGGAGCCGCCAGCTTCCAGCTCGGAGAGACATGGGTACGGCGATCAATTCCATATAGTATGTCACCGATAATTCGAACAATACGTGAAGTTGAAGTAGACCACTCTCCCACAACATGGGCGCTTAGCGCATGTAGCTCGTTTTGTAAGTTCGGCATTGCTAACCCCCCCTCGTTTTCGTGGTAGTTCTAGGGCTTCGCAGCTTGCCCATCCACAAATTTTGGTTGTTGGTCGTGCAAAGGAGCTATTCCAGATGAAATTTTGCATCCGCATCTCTGCTTCCCTGGCGATGCGCGATGTCGGCCATGCATGCTGGGCTACATACAGCAGTTTGGGCATGATTATTGCGTTGGCGATGTCGACTCGCTGCATAGCGGAGTTTGTCTTGTCAATCGCCAACGCAAGACGTGGAGATAGAGCCGAGAAAGCTCTTTTCCAGGCTTCAGCAGTGGTATCCAGAGTTCCAGCCCAGTGACCAAAATACCTGCACGCAGGTTGGGCGGAGATTGGTCCTGAAATGATATCGGTAGTGTTAGAATTTTGGTTGGCATTGCTCAGCGGAATCGCAACGGACTTCGCAACATTGACTCTTAGCCCGGAGACGTCCGAAAACCGCTTGACAGCTGCGATGATTCTGTCTTGCATTGCTTTCTCACGAATGTAAATAGCTGTATCATCCGCGTAACCAGCTACGTGAAGTCTAAAGGAGCCCTGTAATCCCACTAAATCCAGACCACACTCTTCTGCTGTGAACTCCAGCTCATCGTACAGCAGATCGACCGCAAGAGTAAAAAGGAGCGGGGCTAGAGGGCACCCTTGCCTAATTCCTTGCGTGACGGAGATCGGCTCAGACGGA